GAGCGTCTGCATCACCTGGATCGAGCAGTTCTTCCAGTGCTGCTGCGACTTCCAGCCGGTACGGTCTAACAAGGAGACGATTTTGAGCGTCATCCCAGTCTTGAGCAGAACCTAGCCTAGTTGGTGCAGAATTTTGCGCTGATTTCGAATCTATACTCCAAATTTGTTTAATCGGCATTTTCAAGAAGTACAGCGCTTTGTGGGGTGAAAATGCTAAAAATATCATCGTACAGTAATATTTATTAAAGCCCTTAGATCGTTAATCCATACCTTTAGATCCCGACCGCTCTTCCATCTGATGCGGCGAGCACCGACCTCCCATCCGAGGAACCCAGCTCCGACCTGCCCACCGAGTTCACCGACTACACCGACTTCACCGAGGTTTTCCCGACCTCAGGAAGCTGCGGAGAGCTCAGCGCTGAGGAACAATGCAAGTACATCATCGTAAGTCGTATCCGTGAAGACTCACCTTAACTTCTTTCCTTTCAGAATTACTTCTACTTTATTGCCCAACTCTACATTGACGTCGAATGGCGCGCTACACTCAATGGATATTGCACGACTTTCAAGGTGAGTTGTTCCCGAGAATCCCGGTAAACTAATGACTTCAGGAGGAGAAGCCCGACTGCACTGGACCCGAAAAGGCTAAGGCCTTTGTCGACCAGACAAGCAAGTGCCGTCGCGACAAGCATGGAGGTAGCGGAAGTGGCAGCGGAAGTAAAGAGGACGGTGAAGGCTCTTCGGAGACTACTGGCGCCGCATCTGCCGCTCCTACTGACGCGGTCACCGCTGCTGTTACTGACTTCACTGCCTTGGTCACCGATGGACCTGCCCCGTCTGGATCTACTGAGGAGGTAAGGAGAGAGAGTGCCGCTTCTGCACATACCTTCACCGGCTTTCGACTTTTGTACCTCGACTCCGTACGCTTAATTAGATGGCGTACGATTCCACCACCTACTTTTAGTGCTCCTGGGAACTCTTCATCGACTTCAGCATCGAGATCTGGCTCAACGGAAACTGGGACCTCCTCCTCGTCGGCGCCAACACCATGTGTGAGACTGACGATGGAACTGATGCCACTGCTGTTGTGCCCACCGGATCAGGAAACGGATCCGGATCCGGATCCGGAGAGGATGAGTGCGCTCAGGTTCGTCAAAACTTGACTATATCAAAGGCTCCTTCCTTTTAGATCGAGGGTCCGACCGGCATCTTCTTCTTCTTCGAGATAATTGCCATCGAGTGCGGTTTCTACGAGACGGCCTGGTACTCCGAATGGATCTTGAAGTTCGAGGCGCTGTGGTACCAGCTCGACTGGGATTGCGGATGCTGGGGAGAATATGAGTGGAGTGGGTTACTAGATGTCTAGTTAACGTACCAACCCCTTTTTTAGCTTGGGACATTGAGTGGATCTCCCTGATCGAGGAGTTCCTCGGGTACATGACCTGCGGATGCGAGCCGACTACACCTCCGGAGCCGACCACGACCGAAACCGGATGCTATGGTATCTACGACTTTATCGCGTGGTTCTGCTCGGATGAGTCGCGCTGCGAGCTGTATGAGGCGTTCATGACCTGGTACTTCGATGTAAGTTTGGGGGTGATGGCGCAGTTCCGTCCCGAACTTGCCCAGCGTGTTGTATCTCCACTCTCCATTGCCTCACAAAGCTTTGAAGTATACCAAAAGTGTACCACTGTTGCCAGTTTGGATCCTCACTACTCACTTTAGGACTCACACTAATCGTTTTAGCTCTGCGGCTACACCCAATGGGAGCTCCTCACCGAGGAAGAGTGCTACGACGCCATCTACATCTGCCTTCAGTACATGATCTACGTCGTTGAGGTGGATAGCGTTTTCTCAGTTCTGAGCGACGCACCATGCACTTTTTTATCCCGATCTCTTTCAGAACCCCGACTGCGAGCCCAAGCCGGCCCCGGTCAACAACCCATCCCTGCACATCACCTGGGACACGTGCATCTACACGATGATCTACTGGGGCAGCTTCGAGGGCAACGCCGAGTTCATCACGATGATCAATGAGGTCGCCAGCGAGGTAGATGCGCAAGTTCTGGCGCCGAAATCAAATATTTAGTGCGAGGGTCTGGCCTCGAACGAGGGCAGCGGATCAGGATCGGGTGGTGGATCTGGAGAAGGTGTCTCCGGCGAGGAGCCGTCCGAGCCTGGAGCGGTAAGGCGATGCCGGTTAAGTGATAAGCTTGTCTTCAGGACTACTGTGTGTTCATCTGCAAGTACATGGCCGTGACGTTTGGCTGCTGGGAGGATGCTGAATTCCAATCGGTACGTCGTAGCGTCTGAGTGCCTTAGGCTGAGGCTGAGGCTTATGCTTAGGCCTAGGCTTAGAATTAGGCTTAGCCTTCGCTTATGACAGCTATGTGTGCCTACCAACCACGCCCTTTCAGGAATGGTCCAGCTTCATGATCGGCGTCTCCGTCGCCAAGTCGCAGTCGACCCCTGAAGATTGCTGGGCCCAGCTGCAGATGCTCATCAACTACATGACTCAGCTGATCTGTGGTTGGGACGTCTCTGGCGTGACTGGCGCCACCGATGCCATCACCTCCGCCACCACGGCCTCCGCCTAGACCCCGGGTCACCCTCATGCTCGTAGGGATTGATACTCACATAGCGCACATTTGATGATTCCATGTGCTGAATTTGGTGTAATAAACCTGCATGAAAATGAGAGAAAACAAAGCTACAGGTTCAAAATAACATTAAGCACAGCTTAAACCATGCAGGGGGCGTCGGGTCCTCAGTTGCAACTTAAAAAATCGTCAAAAAAACCCACACGCGATGTTACAGATGTGCCAGTTAGCACATCGGGATCAGCGCTTCAAGCTGGTTCGAATGAGTCTCCGGCGAAATTCTGACGAGCTCGACTGGCTGACGCGAATGTGTCATCCTTTTGCTCGAAAACCGCGTAGAGTACCCAAGTTACGGGCAAACCGGATTCGGCAATATTTTTCATGCTTCCGAATGGCACAATTTTCGAAGTTGTATCATCCGATTTTCTGGTGAATTTCGCAGCGGCCCTATTGACTTGCAAAAGCCGCGACAGCTGAGAGCCGTTACAACTAGACTCATATTGGAACATGCTCCGAGTTTTCCTGGCTGTTGCTCTCGCTTGCCTACAACGGGTGGAAGTAGATTTTCGATAATTTATCTAAGCCATAGCCGCCTAGGCAAAGATCATACATGGAGAAGCCCTGAAAATACATGACTATCCGTTCATGGCTTCTATTCAGTGGAAAAGAGATGGGTAACGAATTAAGGGTATACAAAGTCATGATCTGTTATTGTTATATTGGCTACTTATATGGTTTTCTTGTATTTCAGATGTAAAGTTGATATATAATTTTAGAGAATGGGAACACCGTTGCGGCGCGTCTATTATTCACCCGGAATGGATTTTGACGGCGGCCCATTGCATGTATTTCGTTTGCCAGATCTAATTTTGATTAAGCGACGAAATCGACGTAGAAAATACTCGAATCATTGTCGGTGCTACAAATATCTTTGCGGAAGTGGAGGAAGAAATGGTAGACACTTCAAAAAATCTGTGTACGCTGTAATTTAGCAAATTTTGCGTCCTAAACGTTTACTCATACACCCCTATTTTGTGCACGAGAAGGCGATGGAATTCCCGAATGATGTTGGACTTATTCAGGTCTGTATTTTGAAGGCTTTCTCGGATTTTCTAATTAGGATTTTGAATGATTGAGAATTTCGAAGCGCTTTTTGTCGAAATACCATTATGTAAAAAATCATTGTGTCGAAATGTCATTTGTCGAAAAACATTTTCTCGCAATCTCGGCTTGTCGAAATTTATTTTATGGTTGTCGAGATCAGGTTTGAGACGAATCATCGGGGGCGAAAATGGTATTAAGATCTGGACAAATCGGCGTTTTGACAAGACTTTTCACAAAACGATATTTCGGCAAAGCAAAATTTCGACAAAGTGAAAATAAGTTTTTTTTTCTCGAAGGTGCGAATACTTCCGATTCTTTCCAGTTGATTTCTTTCAGCTAGAAATGCCTATAAAATATGGCGACACTGCTCAACCTGCCGTCCTTATTAGTTGGAAGCTGCCAGCGGAAGATCTGAACCCGATCTACTTTCTAGGCTGGGGAAACATTGCGCCTGGAGGTAATAATATCAGGTTGGATAATAAGTTCTGTCACAATTTTTAGAAATCGCTCGTTAAAATAGCAGATGTTCCCGATTCTGGAGTATGAGGTGTGGTTTGATAGGTCTCACAACACTCTATTCTGGGAGGACCCTCAGTTCACCCAAAAATTGAGGGACGTCGAGATACAGGCCCGAATTTTGAAAAGAGGTTCGGAAGGGAATTTAAAATGTTCTCAGAGACTTTCAGCCCGATCCGTACAGTAGTTTTCGAGTTCTGGCATAAATAAACTTTATTTTACGCCTTTAATCTGGATTTCACCGGAATTCAGCACAGGAATGTATGGAGAAAATGAAGCGCCGACCCGTTTTTATCCTAGGAAAATTTTTATTTCGCAAAATTCGGCTTGGAAATAGGCTATTTAAGTAATTTCAACAAGGTATTCGCAACTCCGATGTTTAGTAGAATGAGGTAATTAGAGCCGGAAATTTATGTTGGTTGATGCAAAGTCCAAAAAGATAGCCGAAAAACTCAAGCGAAAATATCAGAAAAAATGTATTTGCCGTAACTCAAAAACTACTGTACCGATCGAGCTGAAAGTTTCTGTGAACATTTTAAATTTCTTTACGCACCTCTGTGCAAAATTTCAAAGCGATCGGATTTCAAAGCAAAATGCCAGCGTGACCTTTTTTATTGGGACACCCTGTATGTAGTGAAAGCCATATATTTTGAGGAATACGCCAATGAAAAGACAGAAAGATGACACGGCATGACACACAATGCACAGAATGCACAGGTTCTAATAAAAGAGGAGCGGCAGGTGCTCTTCCATTGCCGAGCCCACACCATTCGTCTGAAAATGGCGCTTGCTATCAACATAATTTTCATCTTTGTTGCTGGTAGTGCCGCGGCTCCAGAAAAGGTTTGCATCGTTTCCTGGTGCTAGCTGAGAAACTGCTTTTCCCCCGTTATATATAAGTTTAGAACTTCATAGTCAAAGGATGGGCAAGAGAAACCGATATTCATCGTTACATGGTCTCGATTCAATCTGAGTAAGTTTTGGTCTAAATACCATAGTTGTGAACGAAGTACCAAAGTTATCAACCATAGTTGGATCTGATAGAATCCCTGAAACCGCAAGCAGCTGCTCACCGTAACGCTTTGGTAATAAATTAAAGGTACATTCCTCTCTCGTTCTGAACCATTAAAGGGATGCCGACGGCATAGTCAATCGGTTACGCGCTGGAAAGCAAATGTCTCTGCGCCTCTCCCCAGGGCGCGCTCTCTGCCCAGTTGGCTACTTGCCAATTTGTTGATGGGGGGATCGACACATGCCGTCGGCAGCCCTTTAATCAGTGGCGCGAATGTGACTCTTGGGTGGCTCGGCGCACAGACCCTTCATATATTAGACCTGACCTGATACCTCTGATTCTAGACCGGGTATGCATCGGTGCGGAGGTTCTATCATCGCCGACGATTGGGTGTTGACCGCAGCCAGCTGCGTAGCCGCTGATCCCATTACGCCGTACGTTTTATATGCTATTGGAGCCACACGCCACGATTTCAGCTATGATACTTCGAAATACACAATCATCGCTGGAACTCCTTGGATAAACGACACAAAGAACCATCCTGGTCCAACGGAGGTGAGGTCCATTTAGCCGGCTTCTATGAATCGAAAGAGTCCAAAAAAAGAGGTGCCAAGCGCCAACAGGATTTTCAGCAACGCCTTGCGGTCGCGAAGGTCTACATCCACAAGAAATGGAAGCCCTCGGGGATTGACGATAATATAGCGCTGATCAAGGTCGGTGTATGATGTATCAGCAATAGGAACGAGGTTACAGTTGCGAGGAAAATTCAGCTGGGACAAGCACGTAAACCCAGTGATGCTATGGCGGGCACGAATGCCTGCCCGGATTGCTGTAAATATCCTCGGTTGGGGAATAGCTTGGGCGAACGGTAGGTCATATCAAGGCACCTTTGGACTTTGATTTGATTTTGATAGGGGATTTGATTGACTTCACCTGACTATGTTTATGCCGGAATAAATGCCGAAATTCAGGTGAGGATGAATATCAGCCTCGACTGCGTGGCTACATCGCTCAAATGCTGCCGCGGGGTCAGTGCAAAATTGGAAAAGAGGGCGAGAGGACCCAGTGCTTCGATGGCGGACAGAAATCTTCCAGTCCTTGTCGTGTAGGTCTTTGGGCCTTCCTAGAACTGTTATTTTTCCAACTACGACCAAAAAGGAATCAGGACCAAGTCATGCCAAGGTGGAATCACTTTAGGGTGACACAGGGGGCCCAATAACGACTTATGCGCCTGCCGTAAACAAAGCCTGGTACTATGTGCAAGTGAGCTTGATTGGCCGTCTTAGAGACGAAGATTGCCAGACACCTGACACCACAAGTAAGCCTGCAATCTAAAAGTTTCAATATTCCTTTTTTAAGAGTTTTCTGTGTTTTTGTAATGCAAAATTCGTTTTTAGTCCAAGGGCCCGAGATCGCTCTCTACTGCGATTGGATTCATGCAACCACCGGCGAGAAATTGTGTCTCGAATTATGAATTTGTTAATTGCAAATGTTGCCGCCGCCGATCGAACATTCTGACCAAAATTGTTTTTCTTTCTTAAAGCGGAACCAGGCCTCTTTAGGACATAAATAAAGTTTTTTAGCTGCCGTTACTGTAGCTAAACAAAGACGGTTGATAATTAGACACACTCGATCAACAAGCTGAAGAAAACGAGTTTATTCACAAGATTTCCAAAACAAAATAAATTTACAAGGTTAAGCTCATCAAACCTCTTCATTTCCAAAGAAGTTTTTGCGACTGGCCCGATGAAACGCCCTGCTTGGCCGTCAAAGCATACAGGCATTGCAAGAAGGTGTTTTGATGAATCGGAAAATTAAAGGAAGAAAGATGAGACAGCTTGACACACAATGTACTGAATGTCGTCTTTGGACTCACAAAAAAGCGCATCCTCTGCCATTCGCCCATCACGGCACACGAATTTCGCTAGAAAAAATGCGGCTTGTCATAAATATAATTCTAATTTTCTTCGCTAGTAGCGCAGCAGCTCCAGAAAAGGTTGGTGCCTGATAGCTGGATATAGGTTTTTAGATGCGCATAACTGGGGGCGGGCCGAAAAAACCCGATATCTTCCGCTATATGGTATCCATTCAATCCGAGTAAGTTTCTGCTCCCCAGTAGTATAAAGCTATATGAAATGAGAGCGGTGCATGACTGCAATATGATAACGAATACTGTTGGATCCAAATGCCTGATTCTAGACCGGGTATGCATCGGTGCGGAGGTTCTATCATCGCCGACGATTGGGTGTTGACCGCAGCCAGCTGCGTAGCCGCTGATCCCAAAACGCCGTACGGTTTATGTAGATTTGGTGGAATCCGAAGCGTCGACATTTCAGCTACGATACCTCCAAATATTCGATAATTGCCGGGAACTGTTTGGATAAACGGCACAAAGAGCCCTCCAGGCCCAACGGAAGTGAGAATCGATTTGATTAGCGTTTAGAATCGCAAGAATACGATCAAAAGCACCTTGTGTCAAATTGCCTATTTGCAGCAACGCCTTGCGGTTGACAAGGCTTATATTCACCAAAATTGGAAGCCGTCAGGCATCGACGATAATATAGCGCTGATCAAGGTTTGCTGATAGGTTTTGACGACAGAAAGAGCCGTTGCAGTTGCGAGGAAAATTCAGTTGGGACACTCACGTGCAGCCGGCGTTGTTATGGCGGACACCACGAATGCATGCGTGGATTGCAGTGCATATTCTCGGTTGGGGAATTGCGTCGGCGAACGGTAGATACCTTTGGATTCAAAAAACCCCAATCCTACTATCCTACTATATATAAAAAAATAGTTCCTGTGTGTGTGTATGTATGTATGTGCATTTGCATGCAACTTCCGTCAGCGTGTTCCAGCAGTATCTCAATAAGGGGTGTAGTTAGGGGTATGTTTTATACGTCATTAGGTGCGTAATGGCCTTGGGATGACTGCACACTAATAAAATTTTCAAAAAGTCGCTGTTTTCGACGTTAAAATTAAGTTTTTGTTGTAAAATCGGTGACCCTCTTTGTTAGGAAGCAATTAGCATACGCCGGATGTTGTGGGAGCTTATATAAGGGAAGAGAGGTAGCGTTTCTCATTTTTTTGTCGTCGAAAAACATGAGAACTATGCAAAGTAACGAATATCATGGGATCAGACGGGGCCAGCGTTGAAAAGTCGCGAAGCGGCTTTTCAACCCTGGTAGGCACTTAAGATTTTATGCCGCTAATCAGGACCGAAGTTCGCAATCCCTGCCTAATTTTAGGTGGCGATCAGTATGAGCCTCGACTGCGTGGCTATGACGCAAAAATGCTTCCGCGCGGACAGTGTAATATCGGAAAAGAAGGCCATCGGACACAGTGTTTTGATGGCGGAAACAAATCTTCCAGTCCCTGTCGGGTAGGTCCTTCCGTTTCTATAACGTTACCATTTTATCCAATATCCATTTATCCGGAAAAGGCAGACCTGCTCCTTTCTAACAATTTCAGGGAGACACCGGGGGCCCGATCACGACCTATGCGCTGGCGCGCGACGGGAACCGGTATTATGTTCAAGTGAGCTTGATTGCCCGTCTTAGAGACGAAGATTGCCAAACACCGGATACCACAAGTAAGCCTGCAATCCAGGAATGATCTCAGGCTTCCTATCCATCGTGGTTTTTTACTGAACTGCAACGTTTATTTTTAGTCCAAGGGCCAGAAATCGCCCTCTACTGTGACTGGATTGATGCAACCACTGGGAAGGAAATGTGCCTATAATTTTTTTAGACTTTGCAAAATTGCCTCCTTTCAAACAGTAAAATCACTATTATTCTTGTTCGTAACGCTGAAGCTAACCCCTACAGGACAAAGATAAATTTTTGATGTGCTTATCCTGTATCTATACAACAGACTGGTTGATTAGCAGCTATTGATAAAAAACCTAACAAATAATGTTTATTTACACCCAAAAATTAAGCTCCTCCGAACATATCCATCGTTATAAACGAGCCGCGTTCATCAGTTTCGAGCTTCAGTCGCAGCACTTTTCCATCGACGCTCCCGAATCGTACTTCACCTTTGCCACCTCCGGAAATAAAATTGGTGTGCTTCTCAAAAAACTTAAGATCCGGCCGGATAGGGATATTCCCAATATAAACATCCTCTATCTCCCGCTCGTTTCTTGTCCATTCGTCGATAACAATCCCCAGATACGTCTGGATTTCGGCATCATGTTGGAGCTGTAGGTAGAGCTTTGGCATCTTCAGTACGGTATACTTTGAATGTGGAAGGCTTAGGAGGCCTGCTGTGACGCGATTTGCGTTTTCGTTCAACCAAGCCATAAGATTCTCCTCGGCAGGTAAGCCCCAAAGCATCACGCCCTCATATTTTCGATTGGCTTCCTTGTAGCGCTTGAAAATCTCCATTAACTTTGCAGGCCTGGTCTCGCTACCGACCATGGTGAGGTATTGAGCTCGAAGGTTGATGTCAGGGAGCTTCCCTTCAGAAATACTTACAGACAAGAGCACCGCGTCGCGCAGCAAAAACTCCAAATTTGCCCAGGGAACATCGTAGGAGCGCCAGCCGCTCTCCTCTTGAACCATAAAACCGCATTTGTTGCCAGAGTACTCTTCGAATCGAGCGTTAAAGAATTTCCGAGGGCAATTCTTGGCCAAGGTCCGGCAGTAGGTGCTCGTCGAGGAGAGCTTCAAAAAGCTTTTCGAGTCGAGGAAGTTGAGAACCTTGTATTGGCAGGCCAAGGGAACGTCGAGGAAGTTCATTGCCTGAAAAGTTGCGATTAGAAAAAGATTAGAGAGAACACGTCGGAAAGGGAAAACATGTAGAAATTATACACCCAAGCTATTGAAGGCAAAAGACACTTTTTCCTGCTGTTCATGGTGTAAAAAATTAAGGTTATAAAGTAGTGTAGAAATTAGGAACGGGATACTACAAAAAAAGCGGATAAGCTAGTTCCAAAGTTGCGGGCGCCATGAAAAACTTATTATCATGGATGTTTCTCTGCCCTGATTGCCTGAAACGTAAACCTTCTATCAAAATATTTATTTCGTTTTCACACATGTAGAAATATCGCGAAATAAGGAAACTATCAAGTTCAAGCAAATTGCTGTGTAACAATCGAAAGAATGGGGTCGAAGGCGGAAGGGAAAGGCAGCGTAATTCGGCTCGTGGTGTAGTCTAGCGTAACCGAATACGGTAATTTTCATTGCGTAATGTATCGTATATTCACTTGGTTTGCAAAATTTTACATACATAATAACGTCGTCCTCACTATTTTATTGAATTTATCACATCAGCGCCAATGATTTGGATCTTAATACAGCGATGATCGTCATATTCACATATCCATAACGATTTCCCGTCGTTTCTGTTAACGAATATATCGCTATTAACATATAGTCTTTGCTTAATTTCGGCAGGATAATTGCGGAATTTGTCTATAGAAACAGGGATGGCATGAGGGTTGGCAATTTCAATTGAATGAAAGCATTTCCCCAATTTTAGCCACTCCTCAATTATCAGCATCAGGTAGCGATCGAGATTCATGTCATCGGAAGTGGATGGCCATAAAGTCAACCTCTGCGGCCTCAATTGGAGATAGCGCGGCAGCGGCGAGGCGATCCTAAAAGGTTCCATTTTATACTCTGCGCACGACACTCAATAATGGGCATCCAATTAGTGAATTAATTAGAATAGGGGGGGGGGGGGGAGGAGCTAATTTTTATTTCTTCGCCTAGCTGCTGATAATAAATAGTGTATTTTCATAACGCTTTGGTATTTTTTATTCTTTTTTGATTGCTCAAACGCTATACAAAATTTCAAAAAACTTCAAAAATCGAAATTTTCGACCTTTCTTGGTCATTTATCTTAATTTTTTGCCAAAAAGCCAAAATTTTCATACATTTTACATTTTTTACAAAACTTTTGATATCTAAAAGTAAATATAATAAATCTAAGATAATTTAAAATAAATTTAAAAATTGTAAACAACTTAAAAAATAGTTTATATTTCGTTATAAATCCGTAAATTACTGGGGGAAACAGTGGCATTCCCCCGTTAACCCACCCCCCACCCCCGATTAAACTGAAAGCGACAAGGAATTTCTGTAACGGTGCTACTTACGTGCATTGAACCTCATCCGCATATTCGTTCAGCCATTCGATAAGCCACGGGTTCGGCGTGAGGTCGGTAATCACCACTTTTCGATACCTGGTGCCGGCCGGCCGGTGGTTCACCAAAACTTGCAGTCGGTACTCGACTCTAGAGGATATCTTAATCCGCTGGGCCTTTATTTCGAAGGGTGGCGCATCAGTTCGCGTCACCGATAGCTCCTGCACCGTGGAATTCGCGAAAAGCATTCGGAGGGTCGGTTCGTACATGAGTCGCACAAGGTAATCACCGTATTTCCCGTAGACATACTCTCGGCCATCTGCCCATAGCAAGGTGCCGTCCCAATATTTTCCGGGGGCGCACTCGACAACTTGCCACATCCGCTTGCTCGCTGGCGCAACGTTGAGTAGATCTTCCATATCGAGAAGTCTGATGATGCGATGCTGGATCTCGGTGGGCAGCGCGAGGAAGTCCATTATCCGGAAATCAAATTTTATTGACAACTTCACACAAACAAATTTGAGAAAAAGGAAAGTGTGGCAGTCGAATTGGGAACCATAGTGTGAATTATAATTTGAGCTTCAAACAGAAAAATTTTTCGGATATAATCGAGCAACAAATATTGCGAGGGTGAGCCGGCATCAAAATTTTCGGGATTTTGAAAGCCTCAAATATTTCGAAAGGCAAAACAGGATCAAAGGAGAACCAATTACATGGAGAGTCTTAAACAATTTGGGAGTCAATACCGTATTCGCCAGCCTATAAAAAGGTTAATCATAAGAATTTTCGGCCCTTTCGCATTATCGGGGGGGGGGGAGGAAAATTGCCGTATTAGGAATCAATTTTTTTTAATTATTAGCTGAAGCATTTTTGAAACTTTTTTTTACTATTCCTAAATGTGAGAACTTTAGAAATTTTTATGAAGAAAACACAAATCTCGATATTTGGACCAAAAATGGCGTTTTTTGGCCAAAATTTCGGGTTTTTTGAAAACAATTTTCAAAGTTTTTCGAGAGTTTTCGTAATTAAAATATAGATTTATCTTACTAAAAACCATACAAAAATACGTCCTATTAAGTTACTAAGGTTTCTAGATTAATGCAAAAAAATTACCTTGGAAATAACCAGGTTACATTAGAGAAAGTACGGTACCCGTATACGTCAAGGTCTTACGATTATACGACTGTTTCAATAGGGCCGAAGATAAGTGATTCTTATAAATAGTCCATCTTCCCTCGTTACTCCCTTCTCATCGTCGTGTAGTGGTGGGGCATCGTCTTCTGATTCATATCCGGTCACGATATATGTGCTACCGCGATGCTCCATCACAGTTTGTAGGCAGAACTGCCCGCATTCACGTTCCCCATCTAGCCACTCCTCGATCAACTGATTCTGGGCCGCCTCGAGATTTTCTTCCCCGTCTATCCGGTCGTCGACCCGTACGTCTATCCACGTATGCTTGAGCTTAAGGTAATTCCCTAGCGGTGCCGTCAGTCGACGAAGCACAAGCTGGCTGTCTTTCAGCTCATCATTCATGAATTGTATTAAGTTTGCATTCGGGGGCAAGTCCCAAATCTCGGCCACCGAATAGCTTGCGTCGCGTGGTTTGTGCTGTTTCAGTACCTGCAGCATGTCGTCGACAGGGTACTCGATCTGAAAAAAGGTAAAGGTACGTACAGCTATTTCTAAAGCCTTATTTTGACATAAACAAAGTGTCCCAAAAAATCGACGCCGTCTAGCGGTCCGGAGAAAGGTCAGACTGGGATGATTTTCACACGACTCGAACGCGCTCGAAAAGGCGAGAAAACAAGCGCTTTTCGTTTTGCAAAATTTTCTAGCCCGTGCTCGAGATTCAACGATTTCTTAAAAAAGCGTAAAATCAGCATCGTCCTGTTTGCTTTCGCAAGAAATTAACATGCAGATTTTGCTTAGAAACTGCGGTTTTCACGGATCATTCTAAAATTCGTAAATTCAAACACCTATCTTGAAAAACGAAAAATACTGGTTTTCTCGCCTTTTCGACGCTTTTTTTGGGACACTCTGTAGCTTAACTAATCTCTATCCAAGATCGCTGAGTGAAGCAAACCCACCAAAATCGAATCCGCCCGGACGGTAGGAAGCATTCCAGCTTTGAATAGCAGCAGCCGGTTGACTGTAGAATCGCCAAAAAGCAGGCGGCATGTGCTTAGTTGAAGTGGAGCCCGTCTTTCGCCCCAGTACAGGTAGGTGCCGCCATGATCGTGGAGTAAGGTCTTATTCCAACGCTTGCCCGGCATTTTCTCGACCAGCCGCCAGCATGCCTTGCTGGCCCGGGCAAATTTGAAGACTGTTCGTACGGCAGTCTCGTCCCGTCTCTCACCAAGCAGCATCATCGTTTGAAGAATTTGATTCTGCACCTCAACCGGCAGACGCAGGAAGTCCATTTTAATTCTCTGAAACGCAAATCGATGGGGTCATCAGGGGGTGGCGTCTAGTTCGCCTAAACCCATTTCGGCTAGTTTTTGACCGTTGTCGCTGCTGTATGGACGAAAAAAATCGCCATTTTCGAAGTTTGGGATTGTTTTATTATTTTACAAACAAAACTCTAGAAATTCCTTGCAAAAAAAAACGGTTTTGAAGCGAATCGGATTTAGGCGTAAGCGACGTAAAGATGCTGCCGATCAAAAGCTCCGTAAAAAAAGAGAGAGTATAAATACGGCAGACAAATTTGAAATGAGGGATGACAGTGGAAAATAGTAATTAATACGCCAGAAATTGTATTGCGACACAAATGGGGGGCGCACAGTCATCTTCGGCCCCGCTCATCGATCGGAAAGGATTGCGGACGATTGCTCAATGGTTGCTAAAAACCTTTTGCCGCAATACGTATTGATACGTATCCATACATAGCTTGTAAGATCGTCAAAAAGGGTTCAGGATAGGAGGCTTCGAAATACTTTCATCGAACGAAATTTGGCGCATTGATGAGAAGACATACAAGGTGCTCTTTTAATAACGTGGCGTAACGGATATATTTTAATGAATGAATCAATGGATTTGGCTAATTTAGCTCAGCTGTGCTCCCTTTTTGTAATGACCATAATATTGTTTCATATTATAAATAATTATAATATTAATTTCCACTAATTGTCCAGCTGATAAGCTGTGTAACGAAGCGTGGAAGCTGTTTTATTCATTGCTTTATTGTATACATTATTCATAAATCCATTGCAAATATCTTGTAGATATGGCTTTTGAACAAATTGATTTATCAAGCCGTTTATCTTCACAAGAGCAGAATGTCTTAGCATAATTTCTTTTAGCAAATATGCCATTAAGTAGGGCCGCCGGCTAATATCAGTGGTAAGAACCTTATTCATCTATACTGTGGTAAGAGTCTTATTCATCTATTTATCTATACTAACGGGTGTAGCAGCCAGGTTGGTAATTTAGATTATCTGCTCCACGTGACAATCGACACCCATGACGTTGAAAGTGAGATCATAGCACGTCAAGCTGTGCGGCTTCAACTTGAGGGAGCTCGGTAGCGGCCGGGTGATTCTAAAAAAAATTTAGATTAATCGAACGCACTCGAAAATCAGCCCCCAAAACAAACCCTTGCGGGTTCTTGGGCGCTCGTATCCGTGTTTTACATATAGTATTTGACTTACCGTTGGTTCGTGCCCTGATAAATCGGCCATCACCCCTCCGTAATTCTTTCGCATTGCCATATCGTGGCGGCATATGGTCTTCAGATTCATATCCGGTTACAATATATGTCCGACCGCGACGGTAGTCCAGCCTTTGTAGGCAGAATACTTCGCATTCACGTTCCCCAGCCTGCCACTCCTCGATCCACCGATTTTGGACCTCGTCAAGGTTTTCTTCTCCGTCTATCTGGTCGTCGACCTGGACCTCTATCCATGCATGCTTGAGCTGAATATAATTCCATAGCGGAGCCGCCGGTCTCCGGAGCCTGAGCTGGCAGTTTTGGGTGTTATCGTTCAACCATTGTATCAACCCGGCATCCGGGAGCATGTCCCAGATCTCAGCCACCGAATAGCTTGCGCCGTGTGGTTTGTGCCGCTTCAGAACCTGCAGCATATCGTCCTCAGGATACTCGATCTGCAAAAAAGGGAAGTTAGGATTAGATATTTAAACACCTGATTGCAAAAAATAACTTATCAAACCTCTATCTAACTAGAGAAGTCCAAAAAACCTCCCAAGCCCAGGACTTTTTCAAAATTTGCACACAGAGGCCATCGGCGACACTGATCCACACCTCGTTTTCCGAATTTGCTACAAAGCTTTTAAATTCGAGATATTACAGGTTTAGGGCGATCTTTCAGTCAAAATCGTGGGATTTCGGAATCGATTATTCTGGTGTGTATGGCAGTTTACGGGAAAACGAGCATTACACCTTATTCAGAAACGTTTTATCTTTCGAATGATTCTACTAACACAACATTTTCAAAAGGTGAAAAAAATTTAATTGTAAAACTTCGATTTTACTATGGGAAATTGTAGAAAATGCCGTTTGGCAGATTTCGAAAACACGTTCGAAATGAACGCGAAATTCCGCAAAAGGCAGGCTTGGTCGATTCCGAAACCGATTGTCACTAAAAACGTGTTAGTAAGAGTAGAAGCCCTGTTAGTAAGATATCTGGAATAAACGAAACTCACCAAGATATGTTCAGCTTTGACGCTAGGAAGTACACCGTCCTCGAACAGCAGCAGCGAGTCGATGGTGGAGTCTCCGAAAAGGAGGCGAAATGTGCGTTGTCCGAATTGAGCGTCTGGGTAGCCCCAGTACAGGAAGGTGCCGTTGTTACCGTGCATTATATTCTTTTCCCAGCGCTTGCCCGGCATTTCCTCTACCAGCCGCCAGCATGTCTTGCTGGCCAGGGCAAATTCGAAGAGCGTTCGTACCGCAGTCTCGTCGCTTCTTTCACCAAGGTGCATTATGTTTCGAAGAATACGATCTTGCACCACACTCGGCAGCCCCCGGAAGTCCATTTGCGATTTTCTGAAATGGTAATGGGTTGTGGTAGGGTATGCGCGAAAAAGGAACAAAGTATTTCATAGTCCCTAGACATCATCGGTTCTGAACGTTAGTGGGGCGGGGGATTGAGCTGGGCGGGGACTCCCCTTTTTATTTTTTCCACGTTTCCTGCTGATGAAACATAATGTCGTGAATTATTCTGTTGGTTTTAGTAGTCTTTCTTTGCTGGGAAGTTATCAAAAATATTTTTAAAAATGTTGTGAATTTTTTACTATTTTTCATATGGTTTTTCACTCAAAGGTCAAATTTTGATTTTCTTATGAGTGTTATATTTTAGAACTATGCAAAACTGGTCTATACTTTGTTATATGGCCGTGGAGAAAGGGGTCTAGGGAAGTTTAGACAATAAAACACCGGTTTTCTGACACTCAAAAATGCCGGTGAAGATATCCATAACAAAATAAGAGTAGTAATTTGTCAGACGAATTTTAAATGAAGTATGTCAGTGGAAGCCACAAATTAAGACGGAAAAATTCCTTTGCAGCAAAGATGGGGGCGCACAGTCGTCGTCGATCCCGCCCATCGATCGTGAAAGATTGCCGACAATTGCCCAATGGTTGCTAAAAACCTTTTTCCGTGGTACGTACAGATACGTATCGATACGTAGCTTGTAATTTCGTCAAAAACGGTTTAGAATAGGAGGCATCGATATCGTAAAATGTAGCATATTTATGAGAAGAAGCGGGGATGAGTGTTCTTCTAATAAATAAACGTAATGAATAGATCCTACTTCCTACTATAGAAAAAAGATGTTTGTGTGTGTGTGTGTGCATTTGCATGCACCTTCTATCCGTATGTTCCAGTCGTATCTCGATAAGTGAAAGAGTTAAGGGTATGTATGTATGGCAAACCGGGCAAAGTTCTAAGAAATGGGCCAAATTTCAAGGGGCCCTATCTCCGCCATCCAGTGTCCAATTTTAATAATCTCAACATCTAGCGATATCTGCTCCTTGAGCGCTATCGATTGGCGTTAATGGTACCGCATGCAAATTGATCCATGCAGAGACAACTTGCAAAAACACTTTTGCGTAATTTTTGAAAAATGTTCTTAGGCCTGTATCCCGCGCGTTTTTGATTTTGAGGACCCAGCCCTTGTCCCGAAACGGTTCGCCCAACAGCTACAAAATGACATATCGCATGTTCGGATTAGCTATCTACGATTTTAAACCAGCCTTCCAAAATTTCGGCGACAGGACTTACCTTCCAACCTGATATATATAAAAACTAGTGCTTGTGTTTTTGTGTGCTTTTGCATGAAACCTCCGTCAGGCTTTCTAACCCCAAGGCGGGTCAGGGGAAGTCGTTTAGGGCAGCGAGTTTAGGGCAACAGAATTTTTTGTGAAAATCCCGGGCACCCCTTTGTTAAGGGGCAATTAGCATGTTACGGAAGTGAGGGACCACTATATAAACTGGCAGAAGGAGGCGTTTTTTATTTTTCGTTTGCGAAGGCATATAATCATGCAATCATTAGTGTTTCTGGGGGTCAATGGAATTCAAATGGTTCTTTGAGGATCATTCTGCAACTTTTGAAAGCCCGGCACTCGCCAGGAGATGGAAATCACCAAACCATCTGCGCGCTGACTTCGATTTCCATGCTTTCATGGTCGGACACAGATTGATGGATACTATTTTCGTGTTTGCGCTATTTGCTTGATGTAATCCTTGAATAACAACGATTGGACAACATTTCAGGAAATGGACAAGCCGGATATACTACCTGAACTCATGAATTCCATGGACCTTGGCCTCGATGGCGACGATGATTTTTCAGTAAACGGACGCTCCAAGGTCAGAATTTTTCTTAAAAATCTCTTTCAACAAACCAGTAAGCTAATAAATACCGGCGATTGAATTTTTAGGTGGTTCAGAAAGCCCAGAAATTCTCAGCCTTCTCGCGGTACCACCTTTCCAGAAAAAGCGAGATTTCGAGCTGCCCGAAGTGGTTTCAGAAATGGCACGGATCAGCTTCCCGACTTTCAAAAGCCAGCTTCAACCCGAGGAGGTAAGTCCAAGATCATCTCACATACCCTCGCTCCCTATCTCTCACCATTTCTCTCTATCTCTCTCTCTCTCTCTCTCTCTCTATCTCGCTCTGTCTTTTTATCTTTACTAATATAATCTAACCGAATCTATAATTTAACCTAATTTAATTTAGCGACTCGAGTTCTTCCAAAGCTTGCCATCCGTGGTGACGCGTACGCTCTTCTCCCACCTCGGCCGGGACCTCATCAAATTCGCGCAAACGAGCCGGAAGAACTGGGAACTCGTCTGCACAAGTCGACGCCAGTTTTCCACGGTTAGACTAATGGGCTGTGACGTCTGTCTATTGGAGCATTGCGGGTTTGAACGAAGTCTCCACGATAAGCGCTTCTGGGGCCCGCTCCTGCACGGCGCTGAAGTCACTACGCTGCACCCAGGTCTTCCCGGCAATTGTGACTTTCCGGGGCTTCGTGCCGACGTGCTGGCGCTCCAGTGGCCTCACTTTTGGACGGCCGCAGAACTAGAAAGTTACAAGCCGCTGAGCGTCAAATTCAAAGAGATCTTGCTAAGCGACCCGACGAGAGAGGAAATTTCTGAGGACGTGATCAATTTTATACGAGACTCGGCGGAACAGATCGCCTATGAAATTCCGCCAGTCGAGCAAAAGCGAATGCTTTGCCGACGATTCAAGAACACGCGCGTGCGATTCCGCTATGTCTGGTCGTTTGGTAGGGGTTTCCACGCTTACCATAAGCGCTTGATTGACGAATGGCTGGCCTACAAGCGGGATCTTTTCTTGATCACTTCTTGCGCCCAATGGCGCGACATCGACAACCATGCGGATGATTGGAAAAATACCTTCGTTGGATATGACGTCCAATTTATTGAAAATCGTCTCGCGGTGATTACCCGGTCCGACGGGAAAACCGTGACTTCCGTCCTTCAGATGGGAGATTTTCCATAAAAACCCGCGACTATCCTGCTTTTTGCTCTGCTCGTAGGGCCGGATTTCTCGCTTGCTAATAAACGCTTTAGACTCAATAATGCAAATGCAATTTGCAATATCGCAACCAACCGAAAAAAAAGAAAATTCCCTGAGAACAGCATAACAATCATTAACTTTTCATTGCCTCCCCGAAATTGAAGATCCAAACCTTGGTAACTCTATAGATCACTGCGCAGGAATTGGCGATCGTATGAAGTAAAAAAGTAGCCAGAAGTCGCTGAAGCATATAACCATGCAAGCATTAGTGTTTACTGGGTGATCAATGGAATTCAAATGGTTCTTTGAGCAACATTCTGCAACTTTTAACCGCCCGGCACTCGCCAGGAGATGGAAATTACGAAAACATCTGCGCGCTGATTTCGGTTTCCTTTCGTTCACGATCGGACATCAATTGATGGACACGTTCCTTGTGTTTAACGCTCTTTGCTTTATCGTATCTTTAAATATAAACGATTGAACAATATCTCAGGGAATGAACAACCTCGAGGTACAGCCTGAAATCGACAATTTCATGGAGCTTGGCCTCGATGGCGACGATGATTCCTCAGCAATCCGGCGCTCTAAGGTAAGAAACCGCTTGAAAATATTTTTCAACAAACCGGTCAGCTAATAAATACTAGCGATTGAATTTTTGACTCGTTTAGAAAATTCCAGAAATTCTCAGCCTACTCGCAGCACCCCCGTTTCAGAGAAAGCAAGGTTTCGAGCTGCCCGAAGTGGTTTCAAAAATGCCGCGGATCAGTTTCCCGTCTTTCAAAAGCGAGATTCAACCCATTCAACCCGAGGAGGTAACGCAAAGATCATCTCACACACCCTCTCTCACTCACTATAACTTGCTCTCTCCCGCTCTCTCTCTCTCTCTCTCTCTCTCTCTCTCTCTCTGTGGCTCGCTATCTCTTTCTATCTCCCCAGCTATAACCGACTTTCCACGCACACAGGCAATGGCTTTGGCTTTCAGCCATTCGACTTCTTCCAAAGCTTGCCATCCTTCGTGAAGCGTTTGTTCATCTACCACCTCGGCCATAACATCGATGTGCTCCTCAAATTCGCGATGACCAGCCGGACGAACTGGGAACTCGTCTGCAAAAGCCGACGGCACTTTGCCGCCGTCGCAGTTATTGATGGTGGTCTTTTTCTGTTCGACCATTGCGGATCTCATCGATATCTCCACGATAAGCGCTTCTGGGGTCCGCTCTTGAACGGTGCCAAAGTCTCGACATTGCACGCTATATCTCCCGCGAATTGCGAGTTTCCAGGGCTTCGTGCCGACGAGCTGGCGCTCAGTTGGCCTCACCTATGGACGGTCGCACAACTGGAAAGTTACAAGCCGCTGAACGTCAAATTCAAAGAGATTTTTATATGCGACCTGACGGAAGGGGAGATTACTGAAGACGTTATCAATTTTATACGAGACTCGGCTGAACAGCTCGCCTATATGGTTTCGCTAGTCGAGGACCAATCAATGTTGTACCGACGATTCAAGAACTCGCGCGTGCGATTCGATTGTTTTGACTTTCTGGTGTGTTTCCACGCTTACCATAAGCGCTTGATTGACGAATGGCTGGCCTACAAGCGGGATCTTGTCTCGATCACCTCTTGCGCCCCACGGAGCTACTACGATTATGAAGAAAATATTTGGAAAAAGGCCTTCGTTGGATATGACGTCCAATTTATTGAAGATCGTCTCGCAGTGATTACCCGGTCCGACGGGAAAACCGTGACTTCCGTCTTTCGACAGGGAGCCGTTCCCTAGCAAGCTACGACTATCCCACTTGTTGCACCTCTTATATGTAATGCCGGATTGGTGACTTGCTAATAAATGCTTTAAACTCAAAAATGCAAATGCACAAAATTTTGTCAATATCGCAATCATAATCGGAAAAAATGTTTATGGGGGGGGCGCCGGCGTTTTGCTTTTTGCCCTAGATTTGACAATACCGTTAAATTGAAACTTTCAAATGAAAAATTGTTTTTTTTTCAGAAAATTTAACATGGCCGTCGCCCTACCAAACTAATTATGAACTTGGAAGCTGGGTCGGTAAAACCCAGAAGTTTCAGATGTGCGAGGGACATTTATTTAACTTTTCTTACCACCCGGAAATTTGACGATCGAGATCTTGGTAGGTCTATACCATCATAGTTACGTCCGATACGCGGGAATTAGCGACAGCCCAAAATTACTGATGAATATACGCGACAAATGAAAAATTACCCAGATTTTACCGAAGCATATAACCATGCAATCATTAGTGTTTTTAAGCGATCAATCAAATCAAATGGTTCTTTGGGGATCATTGTGCAACTTTTGACTACCCGGCACTCGCCAGCTGATGGAAATTACGAAAACAACTACACGCTGATTTAGGTTTCCGTGCCTTCATGATCCGGCACAATTTATGGAACCAATTTTTTGTGTTTCTCGCTTTTTGCCAAAACTATCCTTGCATAAAAACGGTTGGACAACATTTTAGGAAATGGACAAGCCGGAGGTACTACCTGAACTGAAGAACTTCATGGATCTCGGCCTCGATGGCGCCGATGATGTCCCAGTAATCGGGCGCTCCAAGGTCAGGATTTTCTTAAAAACATCTTTCAACAAACCGGTCAACTGAGAAATACCGGCGATTGAATTTATCGGTCGTTCAGAAAATTCCCAAAAATTTTCAGCCTTCACGCAGAACCACCGTTTCAGAGAAAGCGAGATTTCGAGCGGCCCGAAGTGGTTTCCAAAATGGCGCGGATCAGCTTCCCGTCTTTCGAAAGCCAGCTTCAACCCGGGGAGGTAAGTCCAAGATCATCTCACATACCCTCTCTCTCGCTCCCGCTCTCTCGCTCTCACTCTATCTCTCTCGCGCTCTCTCTCTCTCACACTGACTCTCTTTTTTCCTATTTTCACAAATTAATCTAATCTAATCAGATTACTAAATTTCAGCAGTTCGACTTCTTCAAAAGCTTGCCAACCTTCGTGAAGCATTTGCTCGTCTCCCACATCAGCCACGACATCTATGCCTTCATCGATTTCGCCAGAACCAGCCGGACGAACTGGGAACTCGTCTGCACAAGTCCGCGCCGCTTTTTCGAGGTTGAATTTTTCGGCAGTGACGTCTGTATGCTGTACCATTGCGGATCGAAACGATATCTCTTCAATAAGCCCTTCTGGGGTCCGCTCCTAAACGGTGCCAAAGTCACGACGCTGTACCCAGGTTCTCCCGGGAATTGCGAGTTTCCCGGGCTGCGTGTCGACGCGCTGGCGCTCAGGTCGCCTCAGCTTTGGACTGCCTCGCAACTAGAAAGTTACAAGCCACAGGGCGTCAAATTCAAAGAGATCTTTCTATCAGTAAGCGAGACGCCTGTAGAGGAGGTGTCTGAGGACGTGATCAATTTTGTACGAGACCATGCGGAACAGATCGCCTATAGAATTCCGCAAGACGAGCACATATCAATGCTGTACCGACGATTCAAGAACTCGCGCGTGCGATTCCACTCTGTCAACGTTAAGAGTTTCCACAATTACCATATTCGATTGATTGACGAATGGCTGGCCTACAAGCGGGATCTTGTCTCCATCACCTCTTGCGTCCCCATATCTCCATTGGGGTGCCACTTCGATTACGCGTATGCAGATATTTGGAAAAATACCTTCGCTGGATATGACGTGCAATTTATTGACAATCGTCTCGCAGTGATTACCCGGTCCGACGGGAAAACCATGACTCCCGTCTATCAATATCAACGGAGGGGATCTAACCTTGATTCTTAGGATCCTTTTTCCGAGGACGTTATCAATTACAAGGATTTTTTTTTCCTCTCTAGTATCTTTTTAGGATCGCAAATATGAATTGCGGAAGTGTTTTAACCGTCTTTTACTATTGCTAAAGAGACACAATTGACAGATTTTTATTAAAAAAATACGGAAACATATTGAGCTAAAAACGGCTGTTGGTGGACAAAAATTAAGCTTTTTGACAAATGTTAAGGGTTTTAGATGGTTATTTTAGATTAAATGTAATTTTAGGTTCGTAAGGACACTATTAAAATACATCCTAAAGCTTACCTGAATTTTTTTCTGAATCTGAAGAATTTCGAGACTTAAACAAAAATGTCGGTCCTCTCCCCCGATAATGGGAATCTTAAAGGCTCAATTAATATCACCTCAATTGCGCAACCACGTTTGAAATAATATGCAGAATTACTACGAATAGGAGAGCTGATTAAATTTGGTAATGGTTTATTTACCGACCTTCTTTGCAGATATTTCGAAAACTTTGAATAAATTGTTTTATTAAAACAGTCCCGCGCTTGCACGCAGGAAACCCCATAAATCAAGAACTTCCATTTTAATATCGCGATGATACCTATCTTCACAAATCCATAATGTTTTCGCGTCATTTCTTTGTACAAAAATATCGTTAGAAAAGGGCCGCCGCCTAATATCCGTGGTAAATTTCTGGAATTCATCTATGCTAACGGGCGTAGCAGCCAGGTTGGTAATATCGATGAAATTAGGGGTTTTCTCAAATTGGAGCCATTCTTCGATCATCTGCTCCAGGTAGCCATCAACACCCATGTTCTTGTAAGTGGGATCATAGAACCTCAGACTGTCCGGTTTCAATTTGAGGTAATTCGGTAGCGACGAGGTGATTCTACAAAAAGAACTTTAACCTAATCAAATTTCATAAAAACAAGAAAGTAATAGTTTATTCGAAACCATAGTTGAAAAACCGCTTCGCGGCGTTTTAATTTGGCTCCGTCTGGGACCAATGAAATTGTTAATTTGCATAATTCCGACTCACAAGGAGTCGCTTTTAGGTGCTTTTGGAGTTTCGGGACGGGACCTAGCTAGTTCGCTAGAGAAAAAAATTCTGAGCAACATGCCATTTTCAAAAAGTGCTGATCGATAAAGCAATTCTAGAAAATTCAATTTAAAGTTAGCGATTTTTTTTCTAGTTTTCGGGTCCATTTCCTCGGTTCGCGTCGTTGTCGGGGCTCTGCCGGGCACAATTCATAACCCTCCGCCAAGGCGTCCATCACAGGTTGCATTGGCGTCTTGGTAGCGCGCTTGCTTACCAACTTTTTAACATTTTTTTGCCTCGGGTTCGAATCTTCGCGCTGGCTAACCCTTTGCTTTTTGTTTCTTGAACCCGTTATCGGTGCATAAAATTTTAATTAGCAAAAAAGCAAAGAGTTAACAATAAATAAGAGTCGAACTTGTGGCAAAAGGTAAAAAAAAGCTTCGTAGGCCAACGCGCTAGCCACTTGGCCATGCCTTGGAGGGGATCCATGACGCGTGAAGTCCCCATGTGGCAGGGGCGCTCGACACCCGCAAATCACCTCAAATCACCACATGGGTGCCGATACCGGGAACATTTTTAATTAAATTCAATTTTCTAAAACACCTTTATCGATCAGCACTTTTTGAAAATGGTATGTTGCTCAGAATCTTTTTCTCTATCGAACTAGCTAGGTCCCGTCCCGAAACTCCAAAAGCACCTAAAAGCGACTCCTTGTCAGTCAAGCTGACAAAAATGAAAAGCTCTCCTCTTTATATAAGCTTCATCTACTTCCAGCGTATGCTAACTCTTTCTTAACGAAGGCGACGGCCGAAAAATTTTAGCATTGAAAAAGGCTTATTTTGACAATGCTGATAAGCGTGCAGTCGTCGCAGGAACATTACGCACCTGATGACGTATCGTACGTACCCTTAAACCGCCCCTTTATTGAATTATCACCCGTACATTATCACGCATACACAGACACTATTTGTTATACATAAAATGGATTTGTTATTTTATATTATATTTATTTTTAGTTTTCTATATTTTCCAATATAAGTCATTTATTTTGAATACTTACCCGCATCGGACCTGTTCCGCAAATTCGTTGAGCCAATCGATAACCCAAGGATTCGGCGGCATGAGCGTGAGATCAACGAGTTCATACTTGCTCCGAGCCGGGCGATGTCTGATTAATATTCCAAGTAGAGTCTCGGCTGGGAACATCAGTTTAATCTGCCGGGCCTTGATTTCGAAATATGGCCCATCGGCGCGGAGCAAAAATAGCCACAACACGGTGGAATTTCCGAAAAGCATCCGGAAGGTCGGTTCGCTCATCTGGAGCGTCGCGCGGGACATGGATTTGTGGTACGTGTGGTATTCGCCATCTTGGTACATCAAAGTGCCTTCCCAATATTTTCCGGGGGTGCACTCGGCAATTTGCCAAATTTGCTTGCTGGTTTGCGCGAAATTGAGCAGCTCCTTTTCGTCGAGAAACTGGATAATGCGATGCTGGATCGCGGCTGGGAGGACGAGGAAGTCCATCACCTAGAAAGAGAATTTATTAGATTTTACAAAACTAAAACCGGAAAACATGCAACTAAATTCGTTTAGAACCGCAACGGCAAGGTGAATTTGGAAACCGGTTCTTTCGAATTATCGGGGGGGGGGGGGAACCAACTTTTTTCTAACGATCTTACTTTTCAAAAACAAATAGTGGAAATGTCTCTAAATCATTTTTTTTTGCTATTCCTAAACGTGGAAACTTTACAACTTTTTATTAAAAATATCGAAAATATGGATTTTCCGCCCAAAAATGGTCGAGTTTTGACCCAAATTCGATTTTTTGAAGTTTTTTAGGTAGTTTTTAGTTGCAATTTAGTTATTTGTTGCTCAGCACACTATTAAGTCACTTTGTATTAAACAATTATGAGTTTATGCGTTTGTAGAATTTTACACAATAAAAATCGGAGATAAAAATTAAGGAATCCACCAGAAATGGATCTTAAAAATAACCGGAGATAAAGATCAACGACAGGGATAATTCGCTTGCAACAGAAATGGGGGACGACGCATGTTTTGGACCCGGATCGATCAATCGGGAACGTGGGGCGGCACCTGCTAAAGGGCGTAAACCATCTAAAACGGGGCGTTATGTACCGATACGTATCGAAAAAAATGAGTAAGGTTGATCGCATATTCTTGCGCATAAGATCAAAACTGCTCGCCTATAGGTTGTAGCGCCTACTTCCTTGAAGCAAAAATTGAGGATTTGAATGTAGTGTCAGTGTATTGAGTTTTTCCGGAATTTTTTTTGCTCTAACTACTGAAATACCTCCAGATATTAAAAGTATTCTGTATGTAGGGAACATGAGCCTGCCAAACACGCTCAACACACAGATAAGACGCGTTATTTCCGGCCATAAAAACTTATTCGACATACAAGGAGGATCGATATCATGAATTATTTATGACCCTCTAACCTATAATTGAAAAAAGGTGCATAAAATTGGCTGTATGAGGCGGTTCGCCAGCACAGATCGGGGCCTGCAAATATGAAATTTATAGTGCTTCTATCTTGCAGTTTAGCGTTAGAGAACGTGATCGTCGTAAGTTTTCACTACGGTAAAAATAGAATATTTCATTCTAGGCCAAAAACTACGAGACGGACAACAAAGACAACGAGACGGATCTGACCAAACTAGACGTTGCAAACGCAAACAGAATCGCGATAAGCATAATTTTAGCGACGCCTGAAGATTGTGAATGGCTGGCCGACAACGATCGAGAAGTATCCATTTACCGTATCCCTTCAGGATCGACGTCGACATGGGTAGGTTAGGTGCCGATACGGTGTCCCATCAACCTACTGTAATTTTAGGAGATATGGGCATATGTGTGGTGCCTCTATAATTGGACGTCACTGGATCATGACTGCCGCACATTGCTTGACGAAAGAATATAGTAATCAGCTGTAAATTTTAGAGTTCAGATTTATTTTGGTACTTAACAAAGTCGTTGATGGGAATTTTATAAAAATAGCCTGCGCTGCATCGTCGTCACGTTACGCAAATTTTCTAATTCGTTGAGTACGCTTTGAGTCGCAGGTTTACTATAGCGCGCCTCAGGTTGAATTTTGGGTGCTTTAGATGACCCTTTCAGGATGGATAACGTCATGCAGCTTCGAATTGTTGTAGGAGCAACAACGGTCGAACCAGAGCCCGATGCAGCTGCAGTATGTAAAATTTTCAGGCTTTCCCATAGGTTAAGGTATACCATAGCATAGAAAGTGTGCACGTCTCTCCCTGTTGGATGGTGAGACCGAAAAAAGTGGTCGAGTGTGACATCGGGCTCATAAAAGTAAACTTTTCGAACTCTACACTTTATAATGAGGATCGCTCCAAGGGTCAATTGAACCAGCTTTCAGACCACCAAGGCTATCGACTTCACGACTCGGGTGCAGCCCGTGAAGCTGTGGAAGTACACCCCGGTCTACCGACTCGGCGATGTCGCGGTGTTAGGCTGGGGCAAGACCGCCCGGGATCAGAGATTGCGTCGGTTTTTGGTCCAGGGCTGGGGGGGCCACGCTTCCAGAGAACCTAAAAGATTCCTAGAACTACGTTTGTAATTAGCGATTCAGCAATTCCATGCGTCATTTCGCAGCGATTCCATGCGTCATGCCCCTGTAACGCAAAAATTTTAACATCACGAGAAACCCACTAGCGAGGGCCGGGCTTAAAGGGATAAAGTCAGCGTCTATTGAGCCCCCTCCATGGGAGTAGGGTCTAAATTTTTGGCAGAGAGCGTGTCTACGCGGCGAGACACAGAGTTTTCCAGCGCGTAACCGATCGATTTATCCCGAGCTTATCTCTTTAAGTGCGTTTAGAGTTTTAGGATCTTACTTTGTTACGGGCAGGAAAAAATTTCACTTTAGGGCAAGTAAGCTAGTTGTTCAGTCATTTCGAAAGATGATGTTCCTTATTGAATGAGCTAAATGGCCATTGCAAAATTTGCAAAAACGCCTAGAAATGATTTAGTTCAGGCCCTAAAGTGACATCCCCTTTCTTTCAGCACCACAGCCGAACACACTCCGTGGCGTCTATTTGCAACCGATCAAATGCCACAATTATCGAACGTTGTGCTTGAAGGCCGGCTACGGATATGATGCTGCTCACGTACCGAAAATCGCAAGAATTATGGGCAGTTTTCAGGGTGATTCCGGTGGCCCGGTTGTTGCGCACGTCAAGATGGTACAGGGAGAGCCCGAATATGTCCAAGTCGGCATCGCCAGCGGCGGATTTCGTAAATTGGAGGGTAGATGGCATAGTGAGTGATCCACAGTGATAACCAAGTCTTCCAAAGTGTGAAAATTTACTTTTTTCATTACATTTTTTTCATTTTTTTTTAGATCGAAACACGGATGTCGCCGAATTTTGTGACTGGATCCGGGACACCACCAAATCCGATTTCTGCTTCCGGAAACCGAACCAATAATATTCATCGATAAACTGATTCAACGGTTAAATGCGGGGTGTCCCGATAAAAACACCCCCTCTAACTCGATGTAGAAGTATCAGATTAGAATGGTAGTTACACCATTCGAAAGCGCTTAAACGGCGAGTTAGATACCCCCTTCAAAACCATGTCTTTAATTTAAATCCGAAATTTTTCAAACTATTTCGTAAGATTTTCCAGTTTGTCTGGGTTACATACGAGCCACTTTAGAGCAATTTCACCAAGCAAAACGTCCGGAGGTAGCCGTCAATTCAATGAGGCCATTCCTTAATGTTTTTGAATGCGTTTAAAACGCCGGCCCACTTTTTAATGTAATCTTCGCAACAACCTCCTCGTTCATAAAGTTGTTATGCCAGAACCAGACAAGAACGTAGCCCTGCCCCAGGCCCAAAATCGGTTGTCAGTAAAATTTGGAAGGCCTGAATTTTAAACAAGCTTTTAAGCAATAACCAGCAAAAATGCAAAGTCGATTCGGCAGAGATTCGTATAAAGCAACCTGATCTTTGTTTTTGCGTGATATTTCACGATTTTCAGCGTTGAAAAGATGCAGTTTCTTGCAGTTCTGCTTTTTAGCTTTCTCGTTTTTTCGGTGAGATTTTGGGTTTTTGAACATCTCAGATAATTATCAGGTTGCGGCAAAACCCGGAAATCAAACGTCCCCAATAGAGGTTGGTTGTAAGAAGGTTTCACATGAATTTAATACCTTTAGAGACATCTTAAAATACCCTACGGCTACCCTCGAAAAATTGAAGACTACCCGTTTGCGGTGTCGATGCGAAAGTATTATGATGGGTAAGAAATTGTGCAAAACTTTTCGATTTTTCAACGGTATCAACAGAGGTATCTCGTTCAGGAGCGTAAAGCATCACTGCACCGCCAGCATCATTGGGGTGAATTGGATTTTGACGGCGGCGCATTGCGTCTGCGAGCATCCAATTTGCACAAGATTGTAGGTTGAGTTTTTACAAGGGGAACGTACCAGAAAAAAAAGACATTTTACAAGAAAGTATTTTTTCCAGGTCTCCAACTCTACGCTTTTAGGGACACCATCATCCCCGATTACGTACTGGTCTACGGGGCGACCAAAGTTGGACCGGATGCGGATCAGGGCGCGGTTTATTCAAACCGTGTTGCCTCGGAATGATCGAATTTTTAGATTTACAATTCAATTACGAAGGCCCATATTCACCCGGATTTTAACGCAAAACGTCTGAACGATATTGCGCTGATCAAGGTAGGGAGAGAGAGAGAGAGAGAGAGAGAGAGAGAGCGTGAGAGTGAGTGATAGGGCCAGAGAGAGAACGCCATTTCCAGACCAAGGACACGATCAAATTCTCCAACAAGGTCAAGCCCGTACATCTTTGGAAGAATGTCCCCTCCTATAACCTGGACAGAGTGGAGATTATCGGCTGGGGAGTGGCGAGGCCGGATGCGGACAGTAAGGACTTTCTGAGGCTAGAATGCGTTAGAATTCGACCCGAAAATACCGTTCCTTGCAGCCCTCCCGGACCCCAATCTCCTTCTCGGCTACACGACCAAAATTTTACCGGCCGGAGAGTGCGATCGATTCCAGATGCTGTGCGCAAAAGCCGGGCCGCTGCTCGACCACGGCGCGGTAGGTGCAATTTAAACTCAATCTACATGGAAATACGCATTCAGTTTCCAGGCCGACATATTTATTTATAGACATAAATCCACTCATTTAGGGAGATTCCGGAGGTCCCGTCGTCACCAGGGTCCAGATGGCGCCCCCTGACTACACCTGGGTCCAGGTAGCTCTGGTAAGGTCAGGATACCCGGATGTGACGCAGATGTGGCATAGTGGGTTTCTACAATCAAGAAACACGCTCATTCTGACTTTGTTACAGACATGAACACCGAAATCGCACCCTATTGCGATTGGATCTTCGAAAGACCGGCACCGACTTTTGCTACCGGGGCCCTGGATAATTTAGTGAGCGTGATAAATATTGATTTGGGGTCTATGCGGCAAAATTCAAAAAATGGAATGAATTGCAAAAGCAAAACTGACCAAATTTGCCGTTACTGCTTGGTTTTCAACGCCATATAAGGAGAAGAATCTTTCAATTTATACAGCACGGAAACTATTTGGGGTTTGGAATTTTTCATGCTGGACGGACGCCCTTTTCGTAGCATTTTCCAATCTACTCTTCCCAAAATGTTGTCCCTAGCCGCTTACTGGCCCGTTCTGGTATTTATTAAAATAGCTCAGGTAAATTTTTATGCACTTTCCGAAGTCAGGTGGAAAAATTTAGGGACACTTACCCGCTTATCGTCAGATGAAAATTGTTGGTGGTGGCGAAAAAGAGATTATCGATTATCCATTTATGGTTTCATTTCTGAACACAAGGAATGGCAAAATGTCCGTTTCCAAGTCACGGGAACGATTTAATGACTTCGCTGACTTTTTTTTTTTTTCCTCTAGGGTTCCAAATCCCTACTGTGGCGGCTCGATCATCGCCGAAAGATGGGTGCTGACGGCCGCGCATTGTTTCCGTACCTCGTAGGTTAAAAGTATCGATTTTCTGCTCGACTTCATCCTTTTATTCCCAATTATTTCTTCCTAGATACGACAAAAACGGCGAGCCGGTTGTCATGGGCAGCACAAATGTTGTGCGAGAGTTTAGCCCAGGAAAGGTTTGATTTAAGAGATTTTCCTGGCAAAGAAAGCAAGAACTGAACTTTCAAAAATCGGGGTTTAAGCAGCAATCGACGATTCTAAACATCTATCAGCATCCAGACTTCAAACCTATAGTTGCCGATACATGTTGCGATATCGCGATTGTTGAGGTGAGGAGAGAGAGAGAGAGAGAGAGAGAGAGAGAGAGAGAGAGAGATGTGCACTAATCGTGTTCCTATTATTTTTCAGCTATCCTCCTGGCTAAATTACACAGACTCGGTTTCTCCTCTAAAGTTGTGGAAATCACCAATTCCGGCAAACAGTGAAATCGAAATCCTGGGATGGGGTCGGAGAAACTGGACGAGTATGTTGATTGCGGCTACCGTCCGGTAACGTAAGGCTATTTTAGCCCCTTCTTCTCCTCATCTATTCGGCTTCAAAACCACCCTGATACCCGAGCCAACATGCGACGGAGCGGACGCGCAGCAGATTTGTTTCCGCACTGATGCTGCGGGATCTGTGTGCATGGTATTAGCTATTTTTCATTCTTTTTGACCTTCCCTATCAGCCGCTAAGTACAATTTGAACTGCAGCGTCTCGCAGATTGATGTGATTTTTAGGGAGACTCCGGCGGTCCCGTCGTCAGCAAGATAACTCAAGGTGACGGGAACGGGTTCTGGGCCCAGATAGGCGTAATTTCTGGTACCTCGGAGCCGAATTGTGGATTCCAGAGGGAACATACAGGTTCACTTGCATCTGCTCTAAATTTCCGTTTTTTAGGAGTTGCTGTCGACATCATCCCATTCTGCGACTGGATCCAACAAGTCACAAAACTATCGCTCTGTTTTTCGGCACAATAAATATTTATACAAGTTTTTTAATCAAAATTCGATCTGCAATACGTCCAATATAGTTTTATAAATATTCAAACAAAAATGAACCACTCGCAAAAAAGATTGCCATCAGTAACCGATGTTTTTCCTCGTTTTTCTACTTCGTTTTAATGTTGCTGCAGGTCAAAATGAAGTCAATGAAGCTACACCTGAGATGATTGCGGCTAATTCGACTATTTTATATCGAAATGTAAGTGATAATTTTGAACGTAACGTTACATTAATTACGTAAAATGAAAAAATTGATGTAAGGTAATATGTGTAAAGCCATATAACGCGTAAGCTACATGAAACAGCTCAATTCAGATAAAAATCATCAACGGTGAAGAGAGAAATATCATCGACTATCCATTCGCCGTATCGATCCAAAGAGTTGCGGGGTAACTAACAGAAATTTTTAAGGAAAAGAAATCTTATATCTATTTAGCACCAACCCTTTTTGCGGTGGTTCGATCCTGGGTTATTCCTGGGTCTTGACAGCTGCCCACTGCCTATACTGGGATGGTGTTAGGTAACATTTTTTTTGGAATTTGTTATTTTCGAATTTTAGAGCCGACTTTTCCACATGGACAATTGTTGCCGGATCAGCGAGAGTCGGTCCGAAAGGGATAGCAAAAGCTGTGCGTAAAATTTATGACAAGAAGAATTATTTTTTTGCAGCAAACTCGAAAAATCAAGGCCGCCATCTCCCATCCTACTTTTAATTTGTCGTCCACGACCGGTGAAGCGGATATAGCGCTATTAGAGGTAATGGTGTAAAAACCAACTCGGATCGAGTTGGTATTTACACCCTTCAAAAGATCATCGTTACCCTAATAGCTAGAGATCCTACTATATATAAAACAATAGTGTCTGTGTGTGTGTTTGTCTGTGTGTGCCACTTTGCATCCACTTCCGGATGGCTGTCCGGAGGATATCTCGATAGGGGATGAATTTTAAGGTATGTATGATACGTCATTAGATGCGTAATGGCCTGGAGAGACTAGCAATCAGATTTAACAAAATCACCTATTTTCGACATAAATTAAGTTTTGTAAAAACATCTTTGTTAGGAACAATGCGTAGACCGGAAGGGGGATTCGACTATATAAAGGGGTTAAAAGGTAGTTTTCATTTTTTGTCATCTGAATTCAGGAAAATTATGCAAAGTGAAGGATAAAACGGGGTCAGACCGGGCCAGGGTTGAAAAGCCGCGAAGCGGCTTTTCAACCCTGGTCAGCAATTAATATAATTAAAATATAACACTCTTCGGTTTTCAAAGATTTCGGTCTTGCAATCTATGAGTTAAATGCTCATATTGAAAAAGGAAAAGCGCTTGTTTTCTCGCCTAGCCAAGAGCTTTCGATGGATAGCTGAATCGTCAAAATCGAAAGTTTTTGCGGCTCGCTAGAGGGGGTCGATTTCTTTTGGGTCACCTTGTAGACGTTCTACGTACTATAATTTGCACTATATTGTAATATACTTTAATAAACCTTGTTTGTTTCAGCTAGATTTACCGCTACACTTTAACCAAAACGTCGGCAGGATATCGCTTTGGGCAAATATCCCACTGACAAAAATCCGGAGGATCGAGGTGCTTGGTTGGGGCCGGACGACGCCGGAAGGAAAGCTATACTCGGCTGTCTCGTTTTTCTCATTTATTATTCATTTTTGTGGGGTTTTGTTTAGGTTCAACAGCATTCCAACTTCGCGGTTTTTCCACAAGCCTACTCCCTCAAAGAGATTGCCGTCGCCGGGCCTCGAAACAAATTTGTGTTCGAAACGGCCCTATCACGGGGACCTGCCTTGTAAAAACAATTCATATAAATTTTAAACTTTAGCGTTTCAGGGAGACTCTGGAGGTCCTGTCGCCGCTGAGGTAGAACTCTTTAAACGCCGAAAATTCGAATGGGTCCTGGTCGGCGTGCACAGTCAAAACCCGCAGGGGGACTGTAAATTCGATCAATTTGGCTACGGTAAGTAGAATTTATCGTTTTCGATTACTTCCAGTTGATCTCCTTAGATATCATAACATTAAACTTTTATCTGTTTTCCAGGCATTGCTATCGAAGTCTCGAAGTACTGCGATTGGATCCGAGGAATGTCCGCAAACGATTTTTGTTGGCGACACCCTGTTCCCAAATAATAGTTTTATGGAAATAAAGGCATTCCCGTTTCTACCTTTCCTGTTTCAAAGTAAAATGTCCAATATCAAACACGGCCCTTCATTACATATACAATATTAAACCGCGCAGCCGGCGCCCAGCAGTACTTTTTTGTTCCGTATGTCAACAAGATGGGAATAAAGTTTTTGCTGTTTCTGATGCTGTTATTTTTCGTTTTCTGCAAAGAAAGCACATGTTTAGAGGTAGGTTCCTTAGCGCAAGCGCAACAAGGCTGTTCAGCGAAACACAAAAATCGTTAATGGACAAGTGCGCTCAATCCAGAATTACCCCTTTATGGTGTCGCTGCAAACTCGCGACGAAGATCAGTGGGTGACCCACGAGAAACTATACGATATCCGCTTGTTCAGCTGGCTGCAACATCGATGTGGGGGCACGCTGCTCGGTCACAGCTGGGTGCTCACTTCTGCACATTGCTTTACCGGTGGTGATCCTGATAATCGGGCTCGGCCGTAAGTTCAGCCAAAGCTGTTGTTTTTGATCTGGCAGAGTCTGGCAGAGTCAATTCGCTAATTCGCAATTCGCATAAGTCGGAATTCTTACAATAAGATACAACGCAAGCCACTGGACGGCGATTGCTGGCACCAACCACATTGATGAATGGGGATCACCTGAGCAGCAAGCGGTACCTTATAATTGTCGATCGGAAATGCCGATCACTCGGAGCTTTAGCAGCATCGAGCAGTCACCGAAATCCATCTTAGACCGGGATGGATCAGGGAGGGCGATCGAGCGGGCGACATCGCGTTGTTAAGGGTATGGTTTGGATTTGTATAGATTTCATGTCGTGATTTCCTGAAACGCACGATCTACGAATTTTGAAATTTTTTTTAGCGCGTCGATAACTTTGTCAAATTTCAGCTCATCGGACCGATTGCGCAGAGCATCTGGACGAAGAATGTTGTGCTTTGGAAAAATGTGCCGTGGCACCTGGTCAAAGAAGTGGAACTGCTGGGATGGGGAAGGACGGCGGCTGATTGTAAGCGCATTATCCTTCTGAGAAATTCAGAAAGATACCTAGAATAATCAACATAGATAGGGTGCAGATACGATTTTAATCGTTTGTTGCAGCCGACACCTCCGCAAAGCTTCAAGGATATTATACGCGAAAAGTCCCCGATGAACGTTGTCGAGAAGCAAGGTTGTCCACGATGTTTTGCACGGCAACCGGGCCTGTCATCGGAACCTGCATGGTATGTTGATGGTCTTCCGGTTTTTGGCTCATTTTCCACGATATTACCAAATATCATTTGACAGGGGGACTCTGGTGGTCCAATTATTGCCCGATTGGAGTTGTTCAAGAAGCGCTTCGAGTATGTACAGCTTGGTATCATTACAGCCGGGCCGGGAGACTGTGATTATTCTAAGGAACATCCGGGCAAGTTTTGCTAAATTCAGCAACCAAATGATTTGAAATGGCAGTTTCATCAGCGTAACACCTCCAAAAATGACTAAATTTTTAGCGGTTGCGACACGCGTTGACGCATACTGTGAATGGATTCGAACTGTGACCGGGACCAATTTTTGCTATGAGCATACACATGGGGTTTGGTGAATAATGAGAACTCACACTTTTTTGTGTTGAAGGAATGTCTGCTTTTTTGTGTGTTTTGAATAAAAAGGTGTTAACATTTGAGTCTTACTGTATGGGCAAAAAACGAGCCAGCGATTCTGGACTTTGAGGCTTTAACTGTCAAAAATCACAGTTATAAAATTTCGGACGCATAAATTCGTGCACCAATGTTCTTTCGTTGCGAGTCCGATACGTGGCTCGCTTTTTAATAGTCAGACGTCCACTGTTTTTTTATAATGGAAGAAATCTGAAAATTCGGTGTTCAAAAATCGCCGTTATTAAATTCCTGGCTCTCAAGCCACCATAACTTTTGTGCCACCAAAAATTTCAAACATGCTAAGCCTATGTTTTCTTATCGGCTTTCCTCAATCGGCAGAGGTATACGTCACCTTACCTCTATTACCTCTAATGAGTTCAGGCAGCTGGAAAACCTGAAAATCTTAGTTCTCCTCTAAAGGTGAGTCGCGAAGACTTGTTAGTAGCAAGATAGCGTTTTTAGAGAAACATCAAAATCATCGACGGCCAGCTGCGCGCCATCGACAACTACCGCTTCATGGCGTCCATTCTAAGGCCCAGGGAGTCAAAGTAGGGTTTTGGCACCAAAAAGCAAGACATTGAACCCGAGCGCACCTTAAAAATTTGTCCGTTCAGCAGAAACGAATTGATCCATCATTGCGGCGGGTCAATAATTGGGTATAGCTGGATTTTAACAGCTGCACATTGCGTTACGAAGGAGGGCGATAGATGGCAACTGTGGGTTGATCCAGCGGCTTATTAAAATTTTTTCTATACCTTCAGGAAAAACCTGACCGGATGGATCGTGGTCGTGGGTACCGCTCAACTGGGGCGCAATGGCTCTCCAGATCGTGAATCGGTAATTATTTCGGTTCTTTCGCATTACCGGGGGGGGGTGTACGCATTCATTTTTAGTATAAGTCTAGAAATGTGTTTTAATAGTTTCTTAGTAATATATAACTATATTTAAACTAAAAGCTATCTAAACTTTTAAGAAATGTTGAAAAAGCCGCTATTTTAGTCAACAATCTGCCTTTTTTGGCTAATAATAATAAATATTGTTTATATTTTTTGACAAAAATTTGTAAAGATTTGAGGAGAGTAAAGAACCTTTAAAAACCACTTCCACTATTCATATTTGTGAAATTAGGAATTAGGATACAACGTAGCCCGCCTCCTCCCCGATAATGGGCAAGAACCAGTATTTCGAAATTTTATCGTTTTCATAACAACCTACATAAAATTATATTTCGGCAAACGGTCCGCATAAAAGCCGCGCATCGACATCCGAGCTACGCGTCTGGGGGTAGGAATGAGGTACGGTACGACGTCGCGCTGCTGGAGGTATGGATTTCTGAATTAGGCTACACTTTACTTTACCCCCACCCCCAGCCGCAAGGTTTTTGCTATAACTTTTTGATTTTACATTATTATGGGCTGAAATTAAAAATGTTAGTATGCGATGCAAAAATCCCGACAAAATAAGCGAAAATACTTTGGGACCCTTCGGCTCTGGGGGGAGGGATAAAGTAAGGTCTTACCCTGAATTACGTGAGTAAATTGCGGTATGTGGTGTCTAGTTGGAAAGGTCCTTGCGCCCGCGAGGTATCGCCAAGATCAATTTGTGGAAACACCTGCCGATCGAGCATGTCGATGAGATCGAGGTCCTTGGATGGGGCAATACCGAATCCGGAGGTAGGAATACAGGGTGTCCCAATAAAAAACACCCCAAACTCGACGCAGCAGTATCGGATCGGAATAGTGGTTACACTATTCGAAAGCCCTTGAAACGGCTTGTTTGCAAGCATCTTCATAACCATGTTTTTATTTTATGCGCTATTTACAAGCCATTTTGTAAGGTTTTGCGATTTTTCAGGGGTTGCATACGAGCTCATCTACCCCAATTTCTCGATTCAAAATTACCGGAAGTTGCCGATAATGAGATGCAGAGGCCGTTCTTTCATGTTTTTAAAGTCGTTATAATCTGCCTCATGTAAATAAAACATGATTATAAAACTTGTTGCAAACTCGCCGTTTCAAGGGCTTTCGAATGGTGTAACTACCATTTCGATCCGAAACCTCTGGGTCGAGTTAGAGGGGCCTCTTGTTATTGGGTCAACCGGTACAGCCGTGACTGCCTTTCACTTTTCAGGCTTCCCAACGCGATTTCTTCGTGGCTTCAAAGCCACCCTCTATAAGCCTTGTGACGTGCCGAGGTCGATGTTTTGCTTCGCCGGGCTAAATGGGGAGGGCACGTGCTATGTAGGTGCCGGGTTAAGAGTATAAATTGTCGTTTAAGGCTGATTCTGGTGGCCCGGTTTTTGCAAAAATGGAGCTTTTCCCGAACAAATTCGAATGGATCCAACTCGGCGTCGTGACGGGACATGCAAACCTGCATTGTGACTATCATGAAATTCCATGGGGTTGCATTGGGCTTTCTTGGTCAAATGTCCTTTTTAGGGTACTCTGGATGGTTGGGCAGCTACTGCGGCTGGATCGCCGCCATATCCGGATCGAATTTTTGCTATGATCATGTTTATGAATATCCCAAGTGATAAACTATGCCGTACACGACATTACCATGACTTTATTGTGTCAGTGGAGACGATTTTCACCGTATGGTTCTGTCGCGAAATTTCTGCACGGTGTGGACAAGCAGACAGACAAACTGCGAAACGACGCATCTTTTGAATTCCAAATGTTATTGTCCGGGGCTCAAAAATAGCCTGCTCCAAACCTCTGTCAATTGTAGATTCGCGCAGCGTCTTGTACAGCTAAATCTTTATGTACCAAAAGATTCAAGTAAAGCCCTTGTTCGGCCTCCTGGTCTTGTCCGTACTTGTCGCAGAACAACAAGCTGTCGCAGCCATAAATTCTTCAGGCTTAGCGCCGGCGGTAAGTTTAAAACATAAACTGTCGATTTTTTGGCTTTAGAGAAACATCAAGATTATCGGTGGTGAATTGCGCGACATCGACAACTACCGCTTTATCGTCTCTATTCAACGTCCGAGTCGGGATGGGGAAGTTTTTTGCCTAGTTTTTAACTTTTAACTTTCCTTTTCGTTTCATGGATTTCACAGATTCGTATCAAGTACGATGGTACGTATTTAACTTCAGAGATGACACTTACTATCACACGTGCGGCGGAACTATCCTCGGCCATAGCTGGATCTTGACAGCTGCCCATTGTTTGACAGCAAAGAGCGATAACAGCGTCCTGTATGTCGGGAACAAGGTCTGCATCGAATAAGAGCAAATTTAGCAAGAACCTCACGGATTATATCTTGGTTGCGGGTACGTCTCGGCTTGATCAAATCGGATCACCGGAGCCCTGGGCGGTAAGTTAATGCATTGATTGTTGAAACGATTGCACGGTTTCGTCACTTTTAGCAAAAAGTCGGCATCAAGCGTGCCTATACAAGTCCGAAATGGGCTAGCGCGGCGCGGAACGAGAAGCGATTCGACGTGGCACTCCTGGAGGTATATAAGCGATAACGATTTTAAAGCTATAAAAAGACCTGACCCCCCTAAATAACCGCGTTAAAATGTAGTTGAGCGAACCGCTGAAGACTTTCGGCACCGCCCGAATCAATCTGTGGAAAAATTTGCCGGTCGAGTTAGTCGACGAGATCGAGGTGTTGGGCTGGGGACGGACGGACCCGGCAGGTAGATTTCCATTTAGAGCTTGCACTGATTTCAGCACGCTCCGTAAATTTCTTGCGAGGCTATAAAGCCACCTTCTACCGTCCCTGCGAGGTGCCCAAGTCCATGTTCTGTTTTGCAGGACTGCACGGCGAGGGAACTTGCTATGTAGGTATATCTTTGCCAAAAGCTAAGCCGAAGCTTAAGCCTAAGCCTAAGCCTAAGCCTAACCGAAGCCTACGCCTAAGCCTATGCTTAATCGAAGCTTAAACCCAGGGCTATACCTAAGCCGAAGCCCAAGTCGGCAGCCAAAACCTACGACTGAGCCTGAGCCTGAGCCTAAGCCTATGCCTAAACCAGAGCCTAGACTCCGCCTAAAGCCTTTTTAGGGAGATTCCGGTGGTCCAATCATTGCCAAAATGGAACTATTCCCGGGTCAATGGGAATACGTGCAGCTTGGTGTCGTCACGGGACACCTCGGCGCTGGCTGTGACTATCTGGACATACCCTGGGGTATCTGGACTCGACAAACCCGAGTTTAAAACTGCATTTTAGATTTCTCCAACTGGATAAACAAATATTGTGGATGGATCCGGAAAACCACGAAATCTAACTTCTGCCACGACCATGTTTACGAATATCCGAAGCGAGAAGATGTTTGGAAACTTTCTGGAGACCGAACAGTGTTGTACTAAAACGAAATATCGCAAGAATAAATGGAGGGATTGGTGGAATTAATGAAAATTGCTTAAAAAATAATGAGAAAAATGTTCGGGTCTATTTTTAGCGCCTGCAAATTTATACAGATAAGGTGAATTAAAAATGTTATTGCAGCCTCTTTGCCATAATCCATTTTTCCTTTTCGATTGTTTTTTCGGGTTTTTCGTTTCGGACGTGCGAACCAACGAGATGAAATTCTTGGTTCTTCTAGGCTTCTTTATCGACTACCTTTTAACTCGAGTAAGTGTGTTTTCTAGGCCGCAATCATTTTTAGGGAACTGACGCCTTGGAGGTGTTTGGGAATGCCAGTTTATCGCCAAAGGTGGCTTTTCATAAATTTTTCTATCTTTGCTTTCAGAGAAATATCAAAATCGTTGATGGTGAATTACGTGACTTCAGCAACTACCGGTTTATTGTCTCGATTCAAAGCCTGACCAAGTCAAAGTAGGTTTTGCGAAAATTAGGGATTGAAACACCGCTTTATGGCCTTGAAATCTGTCATTTGTAGAATTATATTTTTTGTAGAAAAGGCTACTTCCATCAATGTGGCGGGTCGATACTTGGCTATAGCTGGATATTGACTGCTGCTCATTGTATAACAAAACCGGGCGACAACAGTGTGGTGTAAGTGAAATGAGCACCAAATTTTTACAACCCTTTGCAGCAAAGACCTGGCCAGACACATCGTTGTAGCCGGAACCGGCCGGCTCGGGCCGACCGGATCGCGTGAGCCCTGGGCGGTAAGTGCTTGCTCCCAAATCTCAAAAAAATTTTGAGCAAAAAGTCCGCATCAAGAAGGCGTACCCCTGTCCGGAATGGGCGACCGCCGTGTTGGCCGTAACGCGGGAGCACGACGTTGCGCTGTTGGAGGTAGAACATTGATAAGTCGTGATCAAAAAAAGGCAAAACCTAGCTGACACGCCCTCTAAAAACCCGCGGGATAGCAAAAATCAATTTGTGGCGATACCTTCCCATGAATCGAGTCCGGGATGTGGAAGTGATTGGATGGGGCAGCTTGAAATACTATGGCGGTAAGCCTGTAGGGATAGCCGGACGTACTCGAATGACTTTTTTCAGGTCCGATGGCCGAATTCCTGCGCGGCTACACCACCAGTCTATTCCAACCCTGCTTCGAGCCGGACCCCATGTTCTGCTTCGGGTCCCGGGGCACAGTCGGGCCGTGTTTAGTACTAGGTGTTGTTTTAAAAACGGATCTACCATATTTTAGGGCGATTCTGGAGGTCCAATCTTCTCAAAAATGCAGCTTTTCCCGAATAAGTGGGAATGGGTACAACTTGGTGTGGTGACGGGGCACTTTGGGAAGTGCAATCACACTTCGGTACCATGGAGTGGGTTACGTAACGTATTGTTGCACCCCGTTGTTTTTCAGGTTACTCAAGCAGGCTCAACCCCTACTGTGATTGGATAGCTAAAACGACCGGCACAAATTTTTGCCATGACCATCGACCGTGAAGTATAAAAGCTATAGCTACAGTTTACCTTACCCCCACAGATGGAATGTTTTGCTGCAATTTTTCTTATTTTACATTATTTTAGACTCAAATTAAAACTCCTAGTATAATTTTCGACGCTTTACCGTTAACGTATGGCGTTGAAAAAACCGCGAAAAATTGCGAAAATATGGAAAATTTTGGGACTTTTACCTATCGAGAGGCAGAAAATGTTTTGTGAATGAATCGGCATCGAAGCATAAAATCGAGAGAAATATCATGCAGCACATCAAAGGGCAGTGTTTTGACTTCTGGAGCCGCAGACCTTTCGTTGAAGCGGAAGAAGTGGATGCAGTCACCATGAATTTCCTAAGTCGTCTGACATTACTGTTATTCTCGTTCCATTTAACAGCAACGACAAAGGTTTCATTTCATGATTTTAGAGGAAGCTCTAGCATTAAAGCTAGGGAATTAAGTGAACTAATTCCCTGAAGCTGAGATTCTAAGAGCATCAGGGCTCGTCTGGTCCTATTGATGACGTTAACGCTGGAGATGGCGAGCTTGAGGTACCTCAGCCCAAATCTCGACACCTAGGTTTAGCGCCACATCAAAATCATGAACGGACAGGCAAGGCAAATTCGAGACTACCCCTATATGGTCTCGATCCAGCGCCCTAATCCTCGTGCTCCGAATGTGTAGGTTTTCGAAACCGAGCGATGACCCAAATTTTCGAACTCTCAAAGTCTCGAAATTTCAGTTCGTCTCAAGCTCATCACTGTGGCGGGTCTCTGATCGGCCTGGAATGGGTGCTTTCGGCGGCGCATTGCTTTTTCCATCCAAACGGGAAACGGTAACGCTCGTTTGACTTTTGAGATGCCTAAGATTGAACAAATCAAGGCAAAATGTAGTCCTAGCTTGATAAATGTTAAAGTATCATTCATTTTCCTAAGGTGCGTCCCGGAAAGCCTCAGAAAATTAAAGAAACATTAAAGCGAGGGCTCTTGAAATTCAGGGGCTGAAATTAGCTCACCATTCGAAAAAGGAAAAAAATTTTTCCTCGGGAAAAACTTCCCATTAGTAGACGAACTTCTTATACTATTGGAGCGCTTGATAAATTAATGCTGAGATATCGATCGATTACATACGGTGCACCCTGTTTTTTTATTAAAGGGGCTCCGAAATCTGGTCCACGACCCCTGCTGTGATTCCTGGCAAATAGCCAGATGCGACCGCAACGCGACCGCGCCGCATGATCTTTTTCCCCTGTTTGGACGCGAAAACGCTTGAATTTAAAAATTCTGATGCGATTTTTGGAATCTTCACCAAATTTTGATCATTCTAGACTTTTAAATTATGAAAATTGACCTGAGAATCGCTAAGATCGAGAGATTGGGTGCCTTACAAGGCATTACGACAGGTAATCGCCGCGCAATCAAAATGTCGTTTTCGCCCCAAAAAGAATTCGGATTTTCTCAAATATTTTACGTTTTTTCGCAATGAAATCAGTTTTCTGGCACTTCTCGGCAGTGCCCCGTGCGTTTTTTGACCAGTAGGTTCAATCCCCGCACGCACGAATTTTGACTTCTGAGCCCCTTTAAGCGAAGACGCCAGCCTATGGCGAGTGATGGTGGGCAGCACCTTCTGGAAACTTGGCGGACCAAACGATACACTTGGGGTAGCGTTTACAATTTTTAAGTAGCATCTACAATTTTTAAGCAAACGAGGTTTATCAAAGAAGTGCACATTGCGCCAAACTACGAGTTGGAAGGTGATGAGGACGTTGCGTTGGTTCGGGTAAGGACTTTAACAATTGATTTCATTAAATCGGAAAGCAAAAACAAACCATTATATTTCTAGCTGGAAAGCCCGGTGACTCTGAACGCTAACGTTCACCCAATCGAATTGTGGACGAAAATCGAGCACAGTCAGATGCAGAAGGTCGAAATTAACGGTTGGGGCCGGGTAAATTCAACTAGTAAGTTTTTGGCTATCTTAGCTCGTTTAATAACGGCATTTCCGAAGCCTGGATAAGCTGCATAGCCGAGACCTAAGTCTAAGCCTAATTATAAGCCTAAGCCCAACAATAAGCCCATATCCTCCAAATTTCAGGCAATCGAAACTCGCAAAAATTACTCGGCTATCAGACAAGGATCATGAAGCCCCGGGAGGGCGAACCGGAGTGTGAGTATCGAAAAATTTACTGCTTCCGGGCAAACCTAAACGGGTCCAGGAGCAGCGATTGTCAGGCATGCTTTTTCTTTTCGAGCAGCAGCTTGTTCGTGCTTGCTCTATTTTGTTAAAAATGTCGATGTTAGGGTGATTCTGGAGGCCCGATTGCCGCAAAATTGTCGAAACAAGGCGTGGAACGCTGGGTACAAGTGTCCATGGTAAACTACGGAATGGCCTGCGACCCGGGCTATCCTCCTCGGGAAAGTAAGTGAATCATGTATGTCCTCCTGATGTATGATATTAGCCCAGGGAATGCAAGTGAGCCGTTTCTGTGATTGGATCGCGCAACAGACGTCAATCACTCTGTGTCTGGCACCTGGAGCTTGATGCAAAAATATGAATTTATCCTTTGAACGCGTGTAACCATGTAACGTACATAACACACCTTAAAAAGGACTGTACAAAAATGACATTCATCAAGAGGTAAAGGCCAAAAAAACCCCCCCAACCGGCCGTCAAAAACCATTTTTTTAATAAATTAAAATTTTAATAATTTATAAAAAAGGGGAAAAAAAAGGGGGACCCCCCTTTTAAAATTAAAAAAAATTAAAAAAAAATTAAAAATTTTTAAAAAAAAAAAAAAAAATAAAAAAAAAAAAAAAAAATAAAAAAAGAAAATGAAAAAAAAAAAAAAAAAATAGTTTTTTTGTTTTTGGAAAAAAAAAAAAAAAAAAAAAAAAAAAAAAAAAAAAAAATCCTTTTTTTTTTTCTTTTTTTGAGGGTTGAGAATAAAAATAAAAAAAAAAAAAAAGGAAAGAGGGGGGGCAGGGAGGGGGGGGGGGGGGGGTTTGGTATTATGAAAATAGCCACCATACGTTGGAAAGGGTCAAAGTTGGGAATTCACCAAAATCGATTCAATAAAAATCCCAAATCAACCCTAGAGATCTAGCTAGATCTGGCGTTTCCGGTGGGTAAGGGATAGTCGATACAATTCGCCAGCGGCTACCCCAAGGTAAGATTCTTCTCAGGCTCGAATCCAACCGCAGGACTTTGAAAACACGCTCGATTCTATCATCTTGGATCACTTCTTGTCGCTCCCAGAATTCTTGAAACAGGCCGTTCATCTTCTCGTCCCGCCCCTTCATCTTTTGCTGACGCGCTTTGGGTCCTATTCGTAGAACATTTGTCGTTTAAAAGAATTTATTACCCATCGATCCCAGCTTGACACGTGTCACTCGATATCTAATTGGTTTGTTTGGCACTTTGTCTGGTGTCGGGACGATCTTGATTGGTTCGGGAAAGCTTGCTAAAATCATGGTTCGGGCCTGCAGATTGTGCTTACGAAACAATTCCGGCTTCTCACATAGGAAACGAAGCATCGGCTCCAGGGACTGGAACGATATCTTCATCACCCCGACGCGCACAAAATAGCGATCTAAACATATTATGATTTTTGAAGGCTTTTGAAAAATTCTTGAAAGCAACACAAAAATTTCCAGAAACTGTCCACCCGTTTTATTCCGTTCGCGTAATACACTTTTTCACGTTAACAACATCTACCCACCTTTCTTCGGGACAGACCAATTTTTTTCAAACCGCACAAAATTCTCATCTAAGTAAACGTTCTTTTCTAAAGGGTGCTCTTCAAAACATCATTAGGCGACAGTACCCGAACGGTCTGCAGCCGGCAAAAAGAATATCTCGACGCGTTCATTTTCCAAAAAGCCGATGCGAAAATAGAAGTATGGGTAGAGGTTAGGGCCCATTCGTTCTGCTTGCTGCAAAAGTTCTTCCACCAATAGGCGCATTTCGGGATGGCGTGGAACGAGTTTCCAGTTCGAGATGTAGCGGAGTGCGCGCTCATAGAAAGAGTGGCTTTGGACAAAGTTTAGCTGGGAAGGCGTCGTGCAGTCGTAGCCTAAAGAAAAGGGTTGATGACGATTGGAAAATTTAGAGTAAAGCTATCGCAGCGCTAGGTCAGAAAACCCTCCCTATGCCTGCTTTAATACCCACGCCTTCGCCGCCAAAAAATTGATGCACTGTTTCAGCCGGCAGACCAATTTTTTTTTTGTAAAAGATGGAAGTTATGGCTGTCCTCCCCTCCCCCCCCCCCCCAAGCCCTAAGCCTGAGCCTAAGTCTGTTAAGCATACCAAAATACTCGCCAGAGCAAGATGAACATTTTGTCATACTTTACACACCTGTAAGTAAACAGGTGGCGGAGATACAAAAGTTGGGGTCGACTGAGGGGGGGGGGGGTAAACTGAACTTTTATGGAATTTTCAACAACTATTAAGCTGGCTTACCTTGAATACTTTTTCCGTAGGGATTTTCATATTCACGTTCCCGACATCGCCAATCACATGACACTCGATTGCCGGTCTTCACATGGAAAAACGCGGCTTCATGTTCATCAAGTGGTTCGTATGCATCCCCTCTACGAACCAACTCGACTTTCCCCCGGGTGCGCCTGAGGCATCTGCAAATAGCCTACGCATTACATAGGAAATCTTATCGTTGTCATTTCGATTTGTCAGCATAACTACCTAGGCACCGGTGCGATATTGCAGTCGAAGAAGTAGGCAGCAACGGGCTCATCGGCCAAGAAACAAATCGCGATCTGAGCCTTTTCCCGGCCAAGCATCTTTATGCCAGGAACCCTCCGTTTGTCCAATTTGTCCACACGCCTTTGCTCATACTCTGCAAAGCGCTGCGCCACGCGACTGCGATCGACGAGCGCCCGACGGAGCGCCTCGGTATCGAGGCAGGCTCTCTCGAAGACCTCATTTGGCTGTTCGTCTTCTGCCAGCAGTTGGATTTCGGCAAGATCTCGGCGCACATTATAATTCTGGATTAAGAACCCATCGTTGCGGGAATCCCCGATAGTCATCAACTCGAAATATTGTCGTCGGGCAGAAATTTTGGACAACTGTTCCACGTTGGTCCTGGCAGCCTAGAAAAGATCGGAATTTTTGCTACGCACTTCATGATAAAAGCCGCCTGTTTAATCTGTCTCAATGTAGAGGTTGTGGGGTCACAGACTCCAAAACAGCTCAAAATTGGTGGAAAAATCAAATAAAATACGGGGAACACGATGCGATAAAAATTAGCTGCCAATGGGCACTTTTGTTTAATAAACTTTTAATTTTAAAGTTTTGTATGGAAAACGACCTCGAATCGCGACCTGGGTCGCCAAAACCGTACGCACAGGGGAGCCCTCTTGAAGTCTTCCCAAGAGCCCCTTCCCGTCGGTTCGGTGGTGTAGGGGTAGGGTGCACGAGTGACAGGCTAGGGGTCGAAGGTTCGGATCCCGTCGTGATTTTTAATTTTTGCTTTTGCTGCTTTCGCTTTTATTTTGCAGGAAGAGTGTCTCGAAGGGTTATCGAAAGTTTTTCGGTCCTATTAATCCCAAGGGGTTAATAAAAACCTGGCCAGTAAATAAAATTTCGAAAATTTTGGAATTTTTTGGAAAAAAGGCCTACCTACCTATTACAGTTCGATGAAAACCAACCGAATAGTTAATAAATATTAATTTTGAACCTATATTGTAAAAATAGGATTATTCCGGCAATCTGAAACATCTCGGCGCTCCGATTTGAAGCGCCTAGGGGTCCGAGCCACCTATTTTAAGCAGCTTCCGACGCTCCCAGGATCCGGGGCTATGGGATAGGTCGTCAAAATTTTCGTGAAAAAATATTTTCTAGATAAAATTTTCTTTGGGGCCGGAAAGATGTCTAGTGTCGTGGCGGCTATGAAAATTCCATCAAAACATTTTTCCCAGCCGGAAGGCGCGATAGAGCAGTAAAAGGCATTTCAGCAGCACTTTTTTGCCTAAAATTAAAAGTTATTAAACAAAAGTGCCCATTGGCAGCTAATTTTTATCGCACGTGTTCCCCGATTTTATTTGATTTTCCACCAATTATGGGCCGATTTGGACTCTGTGACCCCGCAACCTCTAATGTCAGCAAAAACACGCCCTCGAGTTCTGGCACCAATTTACCTTCAACAATCGCGTCCATTCAGCGGTAGAGTACATGTTGGTATTTCCGCGTTCCATCACCCTGAGGGCAAAAAAAAGACATCCGGTTTGAATTAGATGATCCAGCATTAGTATCAAGTGGAAGACTTCCTTCTCATCCTTCACGCCGTCCCACGCGGGCAGCGTCGGGCTCCCAGATCCAAGCTTGATCCAGCGTTCAAGGTCATCGAGGATTGCCTCGTATTTGGCGAATGCTCGTTCGATTTGTTCGGCATCGAGGGTGTCAAAGCCTTCGTTGAATTTTTTGATCAAATCTTGACGCCATCGGCTCAAGTGCTGTGCGTTCAGGTCGCTCTGCTCAAAAAATAACGTTGCGTTACGGTTATTTCGGATAAGGGACCGGAACGGCTCCGCGAGAATCTTCGGGCCCAGCATCGTGTGGTCTAACTCCTCGGCTATGGTTGGGCACAGGAGGACGACGTTATCAAAGACCGGCTCGGCGTCCAGCTTATCGAGCCAAGATGAGAACCTTGGGTATGTTCTCCGTCGGCGCACTTGGTTGTTTGTGGCTCCGGGAGTAGCATGCCTCTCAACGGCTCCCTGGTCTGATGTAAAGCCAGTGGAAGTGCTTGGCATCGCCGCGGCGGGGGGAGCTAGCATGTCGTCGAGATCGCGAGCGTCAAGATCCGTGTCCATCGGTACTTCATGTTCGGTTGCATCCAATCCGATGACCCGGTAGAGGATGATGTTTCCGGCTCGCCATTCTGGCTCCTCCTCGAAAGGGAAATCTCTGAAATGCATTAGAAAATCTGGCATTTCAGTATTATCGAAGAATTAACAAAAAAGAACTTTGATGACTTACCAGTGCTGAAAAAGCCGTCATCATTTGCATAGCATCTGGCCTCAGCTCGCACTTAATCTCCAAACACCTAAAGTTTCTGTGAGGACCAAGGCTTCCAGTTCACCTTTTAGCTTCCGCTTCGAGTTTCTCTTGCGGTGTGTCGTCTAGAGAGTCGGTAATATTCGCGGACGGCTCTTTGCTAAAGACAATTTCCGAACTGAATAGGAATTTTGAAGGCAAAAATCTCAATGCTAAAATCATCATCCACCTTCTCCTAATCATCTGCAAAATTACAAGCCCGGCGGCATAAATGTCCCGCTTGAATCGGTCCTAAAAACGATCAAATGCCGATTGAATTGTCGACCCAAACCTCTTTACTGGCAGGCTGGCCGTTCAAGCGCCGTTCCGGGGCTAGATAAGCTGGCGTCGCAAGGTGCTGTGTTCCCGCGTCTGCATCCCTGTTGATCCCCAGGTCTCCAACTTTCAAGGCAAATTTCCGAGTGAAGAGCAAACTGAAAAGTAAGGCGAGTAATGTAATTCTTTCCGTATCGACCAGGGACTGTCCCAATAAAAACACCGTCCTCTAATTCGATGCAGAAATATCGGATCGGACCGATAGTTCGAAAGCCCGCGAAACGGCCAGTTTGCAACAATATTCAAACTGGCGTTTTATTTAAAGCCGCCACCTTACAACGCTTTTGAAAAGATTAGGGACGGCCTAATCTAATTAACGGCTACTTCCGGTCATTTTGCTTAGAGAAATTGAGGCAAATCAGAGGAAAATTACAGCCTCGCAAAATCGCAAAATTTTAGAAATGCCTGTAATAAACAGGTTTAAATAAGATTTTCGAACATTTGAAAATTGTCGCAAACTCGCCGTTCAAGGGCTTTAGAATGGTGTAACTATCATTGCAATCAGATACTTCCGCGTCGAATTAGAGGAGGTGTTTTTGAGCTGAAAAAGACTCCCACTTTGCCGGCTTGATGTCGCAATGAACAATGTTATTCTGCTTCAAATAGTGTAGGGCTTTGAAGAGGTCCTCCGCCCATGTCGAAATTGTCGATACCGAATACAACAGCTCGGGCTTCGCCAGGACTGTAAAACAGATACAAAATTATCGAAAACCTGCCAACTCACGGTCATCGAGCGCGCCATAATCACAATATTCCATGAAAATCAGGTATTGATCAGGTCGATGGTGAACATAGCCATCCGGTGGCTCAATATAATTAACGATATTGTCGTGGGCTAGCATTTTCAGGACACGGTTCTCATTGAGGTACTCGACCTCGGTACCACAGCGCAATTCCTTGACAACGACCGGTCTGAAAAGCAAAGCTTTAACGATACGTGCTTCTGTTTTACGGAAAATAGCGATTTAGCTTGTACACGTCTCCGAAAGCTCCGGAATTAAGTAGTGTTCTCTCAGGTAACGCGTCCTCATCCATCTAAAATCGGTCGTTATAATATCAAAAATCGACCGCAAACGCAAGATAAGGGAAAAGGGGGCAAAAAGTGCTTATAGAGCCTAGCGAAGACAAACGGCAGTCTCGTAATAATTTAGTAAACGCCGAATAGCAAAGAAAAATGGAGTCGGTGCAGATATGAACCAATGCCGGGGAAACAAATCGATACTCCCCCCGCATTTATCTGCTGCAACAAAATGGCCGTTGATACCTAGCCGCTATACGTATTGATACGTGGGATGCAGGATGGCTGGTAACTATAAGGGACCCAATGTCCACACAAGCTTGGCTGACGGTCAGTTGTAACGAATTCAACTATAAGAACTAAAACACGAAGGATATATTTTATTTGATGGCCCGCGGCGATGCTAGTGTCTGAATAAAATAAAACTAAAGCTATATGCACCAATTTAAATACATTCATGAAACGATCGACATGGTTTATTTGATTCGCCGCGGCGCTGTGGTGTCTAAATATACGCAGGTTTCCAATATTCGGATTGATCGGCGCCAGTTCCGAAAAGCAGCATTTCTTTCTTACAATGCTAGAAAAGCTTTCTACCTTGATTTTGACGACATTTGCGCTATCAACGGTAGAGGTAGGTACTTTCGTAGACCTTTTAATGACCTCGCCCAAGACGTTCGAATTCACGGAGCTCTCCTCAAATGCCAGTTCTGCACCCAAGGTAAGTTTTCCTTATTTTTCGCCTATTATTTTCAGCGCAACATCAAAATAGTCGATGGTGATCTTCGAGACATCGACAACTACCGTTTCATTGCCTCCTTACAATGGCCTTCAGCTACAAAGTGAGCACACTAGCTGCCGGCCACTACACAATGGCCTTGTTGCTACGCTGCTTGAGCCATCTCCTTTGCTAAGCACAAAATTAGTAAATATTTTAGAAAAGGAAACTACGCACATTACTGCGGGGCTTCTATCCTTGGCTACAGCTGGCTACTGACAGCTGCACACTGCGTGACGGTCAAGAATAATCATAGCGCTTTGTAGGTCCTTGATAGTGATCAACTAACAAAAATCGTAAAGAAGTGCTTTAAAGTAAAGACTGCAATCCTGATTAACGATAATCCGTAGTTCAGAAGAGACATCAGCAACGATATCGTGGTCGTAGGTACTGCACGACTCGGGCCGACCGGGTCGCCTGATGCGTGGGCGGTACCCTACCAAATCTAAATGTCTTCTCAATACCTAAGGCTCTTTTTAGCAAAAAGTCAAGCTCAAAAAGGCGTATCCTAGCCCGAATTGGGTGCACGTGAAAGTCAAGGACCGGCTATACGATTTGGCGCTTGTCGAGGTAAAAGCCAACGTTTTCGTTGATAAGGTAAGGCATACGTAACGTATCGTTAAGTTGACCACCCCACTGAAACCTCGAGGGATCACAAAGATTAATTTGTGGCGAAACTTGCCGATTAGGAGGGTGGATGAGATGGAGGTAGTCGGATGGGGAAAGATGACGAAAGATGGTACAATTTCTTATCTTTTTTTACCTTGTGAAAGCATTTTTGATGTCGAAAATAGCCTAGCGACACAGCGCATAAAAACAGTATAGTTTGTTTTGACGATCCTGACGTACCTTAAAAATCTGACAAAAAACCGTGGTTTCGTCGTAGAAACCTTGCTCCAAAGTACGATTCAGGATCCGGAGCAACACCAAATTTCCTCCGAGGCTACAAAGCTACGCTCTACGAACCCTGCGATGTTCCAGAATTTATGTTCTGTTTTTCAAGCGGTGATGGAAAGGGACCATGTGGTGTATCTTACACATTTTCAACCCGTAACTAATTATCCAGGGTGATTCCGGTGGTCCTATTTTTTCCAAGATGGAGTTGTTTCCCGGAAAGCGAGAATACGTCCAGCTCGGTGTCGTTACGGGACACGACTCCCATCCATTACCGTGTGACTATGTGACCGTACCTTGGAGTTGGTTCTAAAAAACATCCCCGATCTCTTCTTGTTTTAGGTTATTCCGGTCTTATCGGCCCGTATTGCAATTGGATCATCCGGACGACCGGCTCAAATTTTTGCCTGGATCACGAGCCAGAGGGGAAATAGAGATAGAAACTTGAAAGAATAAAGCGTCCGTCTTTGGAGAAATGACAATGCCAAATGTACAGTCATTGCATGCCCGAAATTTTCCGCATTGAAGAGCGTCCTTGCGAGGTCTTTTCAAAAGCAGCAGGTTGTCGCGGAAAATCGCTGGTCTCAATCGCATTCGTAAAATACAGTATAATCTTTTTGAAACTCGAAAAAATGGCCTTGCTTTACTTGCTCGTCTTGATCAGCTTAGTTTCTGGTTTGCAGGTAAGTTTTGATGAAAGCATGAATATTTTTTGACAGGATAACGAATTAATCGATAAGTCTCCGAATGCCACTTCTTTTCCAGATGTAAAATCCTAGATTTTCGGGCTTTTGGATCTCATTGGGTCATTTATTTTTAGCGAAATATCAAGATAGCTAATGGGCTCCTTCGTGAAATTGACAACTATCGCTTTATGGCTTCACTTCAAAAGCCGACCACACCAGGGTAAGTTGTTTTCTCTATGCGACATTGAGCACGTATGAGATGAGAGCAAGAGGGTGTTGAGAAGTTAAAAAGTTACTCAACTTGATATCTTCCTTTAACAGCGGTCGCACTTTTGCGCATTACTGCGGCGGGACGATCCTCGGCCATAGCTGGATATTGACTGCTTCTCATTGCGTTACGAAATCGGAGAACAGGAGCGAAATGTAGGTGTCGAGAATACCTGTAGAAACACAGAAAAAGTGTATTTCAACGAGTTTTTCAGAAGAAACCTGAAAGGAGAGATGGTGGTGGTCGGTACAGCCAGACTTGGTCCGACCGGATCTCCGGAACCAGGCGCGGTAAGCCTGACCTCTTTAATTTTTTATTTTGATTGACTCCAAATTGAACGTATTCGCTAATTCGACTTTAGCAAAAAGCCTGGATCAAAACTGCATATGCCAGTCCGCACTACACACGTCCGGATCGCAGGGAACATCCGTATGATTTGGCACTCATCGAAGTACTTTACGTTTTTCTGTGTTTCTAAAAGCATTTTAATTCCCAGTTAGTAAAGCCTTTGCAATCACGTGGGATCGCGAAAATTCATCTTTGGAAAAAGCTGTCATTGGAGAAAGTGGGAGACGTCGAGGTGCTTGGCTGGGGCAAGATGACGCCTAGAGGTGAGGAATAGGGTAAAAGTGGTAATTAAACGAAAAGAATTAGGAAAAGAATATCTAGGGGGATAACGTGAAAGGCCAGAAGCTTTTTGAAATCCAGATTGTTCCAGGCGAAAATGCCCAATTTTTGCGCGGTTACACCACAAAACTCTACGAGCCCTGCAAGAAGCCCGAATTCGTATTTTGTATTGCAAATCCCTCTGGCTCGGGGCATTGCGAGGCAAGGGTACCTTTTTCTCTCTCTCTCTCTCTCTCTCTCTCTCTTTCTCTCTCTCTCTCTCTATCTGTTGCTCGCTTGTTTGAGATCAGAATTTTTCTAGGGCGATGATGGCGGTCCGATTATCTCAAAGATGGAGCTCTTCCCTGGCCAATACGAATGGGTACAACTTGGCGTGATCCCGGATGATGGCCGCGCTTGCAACTTCCAATCGTCCGTTGCTTGGAGTAAGCGTTGAATGTGATACCTAGTAACTTCCGCTTCAGGTTCCTCCGGCCTGATCGGCCCCTACTGCGACTGGATCGCTCAGACGACCGGATCGAATTTTTGCCATGATCACTAACCCGTGGCGAGACCTGAAACACTATATGCGATTAGAATAAATATGTGATTTCATTGTCATTAGTGTTAGTTTGGAAACTATTGGGGCACAAACGGTGTTATTCACGACAATCTGTTATAGCTTTTTCAATTTTATGAACTAGCTAAGGCTTATTTTAAGCAGAGGTGTATTTTAAGTGCAACACGGTTTTGTCACACCAGAATCGATTTCTACGTGTTTAAAATTCATCGACCCTGACGGCCAACCGCTCGTTTTGAAAATCCGCTAGCTGGTTCAATGTTTCCAGACCTGCTTCTTCTGGTATAATGGCTACTTTTAATCACTTATTGGATACTTGTTAAGGGCTTTCTACCTCTAATGTGCGTGCTTGCTGACGAGTCCCCAGATTTGAGCGGTGGTTACACAGAGGTTTAGCTAAATGTTGATTTCCAAGCTGAGCTTTAGAGCTCAATAATTCGTGGGTGGACCCGTAGCACTGACATCCATCGGTATATGGTGTCGATGCAGAAAGAGTAAGCTAGTTAGGCTTACTAGGATTACGTTTTTTTTGGTTATTAATTTTGGATTTGGCTTAATTTCTCATTTTGTAGATAAATTAAATTCAATAAAGTAAATTTTAGCCAGCATCCTGGCTTCGCTTCTTGCGGCGGCTCGATCATCGACTATGACTGGGTGCTGACAGCGGCGCATTGCGTGTTTGACTATAACACCGAAACGGTGTAAAAATTATTCAATTCTGGATTCCAAAAAAAGTCCAAAATCTTTCAAAAAATGCCATTTCAGACGACAGTTCGTCGGGGAGTCGGTAGTAGCTGGCACTTCTTGGCTCAACGCGACAGCCGGAACGCCCGGAATGGTATTTTTCCATTCCTCGTTTTATTTCGATTTTTCAGAAGATTAAAACGTAGCAATTCATTTATCTTTTTGTGAAAATTTGGATTTCTCGAGTTTATTCCAACGGCAGCTCGATTTCTACCTTACGTGACAGAATTGTATGGTAGCCAGAACTTTCCTTTTCTGGTTTTCGGCATAGTGAAAACTCAACATTCTGATTTTGAAACATTCAAGTCTCGAAATGACTCGTTCAAAAGACAAATATTTCACCTTCGGATGGCAAAGCTTCACTTAAATTGGAGCTATGACGAAAAACGTAAAGAAAGAAAGCTATAAACGTAAAAAGTAAAGCAGAAAGTATCAAAATACCGACAACCCAGGTCCCGAAACCATAATGCCGAAAGCCATAATTTTACGTGATGGGCTTGACATCGGGTTATCTTATTTTGTTATGTTTCTCTGGGGTTTGACTTTCGAGATTTCCAGAATCAGCTCTTTGGGTTATGATCGTCTGGATTTCGGCGTTTTCCGCTTCACTTTCTAAGTTCAGCAACGAATCGCCATTGAGCGTGGATATATCCACCCCGAATTTACTGGGAAAACCCTTGATCATGATGTAGGGTTGCTGAAGGTACCTTCGAATTTTCCCAACCAACCCATGAGCGTAGCTTAAAACGCAATTCAAATACGACGCGCACGTGCACCCGATTATGCTGTGGCGCGCCAGGATGCCCGCCGGGATCGATGTGAATATGATTGGGTGGGGGAATATTTATGTAGTGCGTAAGTGTACTTCTACCTACGCAAATTCTCGTGGCGATGATTCTGCAGCCAAAGAACAAAGGGTGCAGCCAATGCAGTTGAGAGGTTTCATTGGACAGATGGTACCGGAAGAGGAATGCAGAAAATTGAATACGATGACCCATGCAGCTTGCTTTGACGGGGGGAAGAAACATTCGGGTGTTTGCAATGTAAGTTTCGCCACAGACGTGTTTTATTAGGATCATAAAAATCGCGGTTGCGCCTCGATAAAATTCGCAAAGTTATGAAAGCCTACTTACTACATATATTTGACACTTCCGCGCCCCTGTAAGAAATTTTTGTATTTCCAGACTTTGCTCGAAAAATCGACAAATTTCATAAAGTTTGTAAAACTTTTTTGGTGAGTCATAGTCAAAAACACCGTAGAAACGGGTTAATGCCGTAATGTTGAAATTCCCTAATCACGAAATTTGTGCTGTAGGAATTTACAAGGGCAAGTTTACCTGAAAAACCTCCAAAATACCACATAAAAATTTTCAATATCATGAAATTTCGACATTATGAATTTCGATGTTATGAAGTTCCGGCATTATGGTGGCAAATCCATCGAAATACCCTTCCTCTGATCATTTCAAAAGTTCTGCAACGTTTAGCTTCAGCACAAATGACGCAACCAGTAACGCCATATTCCAGGGCGGGTGATAGTCGGAATCTCGAAATTTCGGAATCTCGAAATTGCGGAATCTCGAAATTCCGGAAATATTAGCAGATTCCTGGAAGCAAAACTATTATGTATCCAAATTTTTCAGATACAAATACAAGATTTCCGCTAAAACGAAAAGTAGACCCTCTGAAAAAAGGCGTTTATCAACTCGTCGTTTCACGGGCTTTCGGATGGTATGACTATCATCCCGATCCGACGCTTCTGGGTCGAGTTAGAGGGGGTCCACTTTTCGTTTTATCGGAAATCTTGTATGTGTATCTGAAAAATTTGGATACATAATAGTTTTGCTTCCAGGAATCTGCTAATATTTCCGGAATTTCGAGATTCCGCAATTTCGAGATTCCGAAATTTCGAGATTCCGAAATTTCGAGATTCCGAAATTTCGAGATTCCGAAATTTCGAGATCCCGACCCCTACCCTCCAGGGCGACTCCGGCAGTCCGATCTCCACCTATGCACCGGCCATCAACAAGCAGTCGTACTACGTGCAAGTCAGCCTGGTCAGCACTGGGAATGGACCTAAGGATGGGACCGGCAACTGCGGAAAAGATGAGACCACCTGGAGTCAGTGTTTTCCCGGATGATCTGTTATAACTTTCAATTCCAGCATTCGGCCCTGAGATTGCCATGTACTGCGACTGGATCGGCAAGGTCACCGGAAAAAAGTTGTGTTTGAGCAAATAAACAATAAATATGGGATCTTGTTTCAAAAATCTGCCAAATTAAAAGTTCAAAGCTCAAATCCATTGCAACACATGAATATTTCTAACACCGAGAATTTAATTTAAGCTATTAACATGCGACAACGGTTTTTAATGAGGTCCTGAGGGATCTGTCTGAATGTCATTAAAAAGTATTACTACCATCCTATCATCAGCAGCCGCATCAGTTTAATAGATAGATTTATCAATTTGTAAAATTAAAGGCATTTAAAAACAAAGGAATCACATTGTTGTCTGCTTCACATAACTCTTAAACCCGCGAACATCATGATAAGTTCCGGTGACAGTTTTCCGCTCCCCGGTCTGTGTGATCACCTCCATCGTGAACGGGATTGAGATGTTCGACATGTAGACGATCAACTCGACGCGCAGTCGGCTCCTAGGCGGCACCTCAACCCGCGTCTCCTCCTTGTACGACTGCTTCGTCACGGATTTGTGTGTGGTGCCCCAATTCTGCTTCTGGCCCCCAGACGCCTCGATCGAGCCCGAGACGCCGACTTTGTAGAACGGGGCGGTCACCTGGAGATGAGGCTTAAAAAAGACCATCCGAAAACCTACTTCGTAAGTCACACCAATCTTGCTGCAAAGGCTCCAGTACGACTCCTTGCTGTAGGTGATCCAGTTCTCTTCCGTGTTCTCCTCGCTGAAGCTGAAGCTGTGGTAGAGTTTTGAATCGGAGCCGGAGTTGTCGAAATCCTTCGATGCTACGCATCTCGGCTGTAGCTGCGGGATGTCGGCGAGGTCAAAGTGGAGCGTCATCTTTTCGACTCTGCAATGGGGACGTCAGGACCAAATTAAAAATGAGAATGTTAGTACCGTGCACAGAATAGTATCGTCACGTACCTCTGCCCCCGATGTGTCTTCCTGTAGTAATTCGCGGCCTTATGAACCAGATCTCGGTTCCAAAGTCCTTGCAGCTCCGAGATGCTACCATATCCCTTGTTGGCCAACTCGACAATGCAGGTATTCCGGAGGTCATCGATGTTCATCGACCGCATCTGATTCCAGCTCCTCCACCCATTCCATCCAATATTGAGCAAGAGCGCGCCGGCGGCTATGAGGGTAGCATCATCCCGGGCCTGAAAAGTTTGTTGCACATAGTTTCTTTGGGAACGAGAGACAGAGAGAGAGAGAGAGAGAGAGAGAGAGAGAGTGTGAGCGATACCAAGAAATGTTTGTTGGGAAAGCATCGCGATACTTATATTAGCTTACCTGGAGTGCACTGATAGATTCATTAGTACGATTATTCAACTCGACAATGATCGTATTCCTCTTGTTATCATCGCTCATCGAGTTGATTTCCGGAACCGACCGCCAGCTGGCTGTAGCTAGGAGATCAGCCAAATTTTCTGGGGTGAGCGTTGCGCAATCAACATCACCGTCACGTCCTAAGTAAAGAGTCGTGATTTTTAGCACTTTTTAGCGCATTAGACTATTGTAATTGTATCAACAGGAAAAAATCTAGGCCTGCCGAGATTGACTCACCCATTATTCCTTAGTTAAGATGTAGATTATAAAAAGTAGCTGAATTAAAAAATTGTGCTGTTCTGTTGCCCGGGTGTATCGTTTAAATACAGGGCTAAGGTCGAAAGTCTGGGACATGTCTTGCCTTTTCGTTTTCCGGCGGGTTCCGGGTGGTGGTGATGAGTCCTCAGAACGCAAATAGAGAGCACGAAAAGTCTTGCCTGTTCCCCAGTAGATCGAAGCCCAGACAAAATTGATGCCAGCATAGGTGCAGTGGTTTTTCTCGGATTAGGTGGAAAACGTCTCGATAAAGCAGAAGATGATCTCAGTTTTTGTCTTTTTCTTTCCCATCTCTCTCTCGCTCTTTCTCTTCTGCTGTCTCTCTCCGGCAAGAATCTATTTGTATATGTTCAAAATTCATAGACCCTGGTGAACAACCACATGTTTTCCAAATCTACTATCTGGTTCAATGTTTCTAGACATGCTTCTTCTGGTATAATGGCTACTCTTAAAACTTAATGGCTCCTTTTTCAAGTGTTTTCTACCTCTAGTGCTCGTGCTAGCTGGCGAGTTCCCAGATTTGAGTGGCGGTTACACAGAAGTTGAGCTAAAGGTGGATTACCAAGTTGGACTTTAGAGCTCGATAATCCGGGGGATGGACCCGACAAACCGACGTTCATCGCTACATGGTCTCGATACAGCAGAGGTATACGATGTTTTAATTCCCCTTCCTTCCCCTTTTATCGTCTAGCCCGGGTGCCAATTGGTGCGGCGGCTCGATCATCGACTACGAATGGATACTGACTGCGGCGCATTGCATCTGCGAGGGCCGTTCGACTACCCTGTATCCTTGTAGTCGTCAGACCGGTGACCTCAGATATTCCAGGATGGATTTGAGTGGTTGGACAGTGCTGGCGGGATCGCCTTTCATCGACAAAGCTGAGGAGGGATCGGTTTGGTTTTAGGTTTTTAATGGACTGAAAGTCGCACAGCAACGCATCGCCATCGAAACGGGATACCGACATCCGGATCTCGTCGTCGGAAACTGGCAAAATGATATCGCATTGTTGAAGGTAGGTGTTAATATCGGGACATTTATAAGGAATTACGGCCTTCTAAATGCCAATAAAGCTAACTCGTAAAGTAAAATGCTTTTAGCTAAAAGAAGCATTTAAATATGACTCTCACGTTCACCCAATCATGTTGTGGCGCGCCAGGATGCCCGACTGGATCCAGGTCAACGTCATTGGATGGGGGAATCAGATGGAGACACGTTGGTTTTGATGAAGCGTTGCTCTACTTTCTCGGCTAAAAACCTGAATGCCTAAGGCTTTGGATCTGGACTGTTAGCGATGGGGGATACTTAGCGGGGTGGGGGTACCAATTTTTATTGGATTCCCTTTGCCACCCCCTCCCCCGCTAACAGACAAGAACCAAAGAAAAAACCATCCATAACGATACCTTTTAGCCAAAGAGGAGCTAGTATATCCGTCGCGACTGATGGGGTTCATCGGGCAAATGAGACCCGTCGACAAATGTGACACCAAGCTGAAACCGAGGACGCGGTGCTTTGATGGCGGGAAGAAGAATTCGGGTGCTTGCTATGTAAGAATTTGGTGAGAAGCCCTCTCTCTCTCTCTCTCTCTCTCTCTCTCCTTCGCGAGGTAGCGAGAAAGGGTCTTTTGTGCGCCAAGTTTTGCGCCGCGCAGGGTGATTCCGGCAGCCCGATCTCCACGTATGCACCTGCGCGAAACAAGCAGTCCTACTACGTCCAAGTTAGCCTGGTTAGCCATGGGAATAGAGAAAATTGTGTGAAGGACGCGGAGGCGATGAGTAAGTGCTTTAATATACTACTGTTTCGAAGGGCGATTCCGACCAGAAAATCTTGTTTAGCGGTTGGCCCTGAAATTGCGCTATACTGTGATTGGATCAAAGCGGTTACCGGCAAGGAGATATGTCTTGAATAAAGTTTTCTGTTGTTTGTGTACATTCTCTCTCTCCCTATCTCTCTCTCTCTCTCTCTCTCTCTCAAAAATGTCTGCAAAAACTTTTATTCAAGGAAGCACCACCGGAATTGGAAAGACACGTATTCAGACCGGGCAAAAATCAGATACATCAAAGGATACAAAAAAATAGACATAGGCACAAAAAAAATCACAAAACTTCTAGGCAATGGCAAATTTTCTTCAGCGTCCTGTCGGCGACGCAGTGGGACGTGTGACCGTACCTGAAAGAGATAAAAAAATCAGCAGACTTGGCGAAGAGATTCATATTTGAAAGAGAAAAGCCAAATTATGACTCCTGCCCTTTAAAAGTGGTTTCGAATTAGTCAAGCCAAGCAATGTAAGCTGACTTGTTATTCCGCTCGACTTCGCCCGTCGGGACGTATACTTCGGAATTCATCCTTTTCACGAGCAGCCCTTCGATTAGGGCTCGGCTTGGCGGCGCGGCTTCGATGACGATACGGTAGCTAAAAGAATACTGAAATCAAGTAATTCAAAAGTTCAAATTTTAGTTGTTTGAATTTAGGTAATTCCTTAGAAAATTAAACGCAAACACCCACAAAATCTCAATGCCATCTTTGGGCAGCTGCCCGCCAGTCTGCGGGTCGTCGACAATTTTTGCGGGCGGTAGACGAACTGAGGCGTAGGTGATGTTGGCCAGCTCGAGGATTTGGCATTTGTAGTTTTTGACCTAAAAACAAGATCCAGATATTTGGATTCAGATCCAGAGACAATACCGGCTCGGTCACGGTTCCTTGTGGCTTCGTGGCGTTGTGCGCGGTGAGCAGCTTGTTCAGATAGGCGATGAAGGTCTGCAATTGAAGATGTTCTTCGAAAAACGAGGGAGAGAGAGAGAGAGAGAGAGAGAGAGAGAGAGAGAGAGAGAGAGAGAGGGGACGAGGGAGGGAGGGACGGAGACCTAAACCTAAGCTAAAACCAACCTCAGCAGCTCCCCTCGCCTCCTCCACCGGGATCGGCATCTCGTTGAAGCAGGGGCAGTAGTCTTCCGGAACATGCGCCTCGTGGCAGATTCGCGTCTCGGGCACCGGATGCCATAGCGGATAGGAGCGGCCCGTTTTCGTGCTGATGTTCATGTAGGTGCCCTGAAAACTAACTTCGAAACGATAGATCTCCAAAAACCGTAGCCACCGCGAGCAGCGTGTCGTACATGTCGAACTGCGTGGTCATCCGGCCGGCGTTGGTCTTCAGCGCCTCGGCGATGTGGGGGTACTTTTCGCGGATGTTCTTGGGCAGCCGAATGGAGAGGAAGGGGAGCCGGGCTTCGAGACGGCCGACGACCTGGAGAAGGCTGAAAATTTGAAGGTTTTCTAGGTTAATCAGACCGTTTCGCGGATGCTGTCGTAGCGGTTGCCGTGGTCGCTGAACACAATCGTGATGGCGTCGTCGAGGAGTGGCGAATTGCGCTTTAGAAACGTCGCGTAGCTGTTGTCGGTTTGGCCTGAAAAATCGGTATTTGGAAGAGAGAGAGAGAGAGAGAGAGAGAGAGAGAGAAAGTGAGAGAAGGATAAAGAGCGACATACCGATCGCATTCAAATAGTCGTGGCTCATGTCTTGCGTCCACCAGTAGGCAAAGTGGCGCTGCCCGCGGTAGGAGTGGAGGAAACTAAGTTCATTCATTAAAATTAGGGAATTTGGCAACTTTTCGAGGTAGTCCAGCTGAATCTCGTGCTTTGGCCGAGCGTCGTAGCAGAACGGCTTGGAACGACGACCGACGAGCGACCAGAACGCGGCCAGCCAGTAGCTCCTGAAGTAGTGGTCGGTGGGCGCCGTCTTGAAGCCGTTCAGCTCGCCAAAGTAGTTGAACGTGCCGATGTCGGGGCGGTCTTCGGCGAACATCGTGACGTAACCTAAAAAAGCGACTGGTTAGAGATGGAGAAAGAGAGCGAGAGAGAGAGAAAGAGCGAGAGAGAGAGAGAGAGAGAGAGAGCGAGAGAGAGCGCGAGCGAGCGAGCAAGAAAGAGGGAGAACCAACCATTCTTCGTAAAATTCTTCCACACAAACGGAAAGTCGTCGAACCATATGTGCCACTCATTGGGCAGCTCGCCGGGGAATTCCTGGGGAAAAGGCGTTGAACTGCTTAAAGTCGAGGTCGTACCTTGACAGCACTTCCTCGTTTTCCGGTCAGGATGGCCAGCCAGTTCGCGTAGGTGTTGTCTCCGATTTTCACGTGGCTCGGCAGGTCTTGAAAACTGAAAAGAGGAAATTATACGTATTAAGGTAGAGCTAGCGAGAGAGAGAGAGAGAGAGAGAGAGAGAGATAGAGATAGAGTCGGCCAAAAATTTTAAATCTCACCCCATCTCCTGCATCCTCTTGTAGGTGAGCGGCATCTGACGCCGAAAGTTGCCGTAGGACATCGAGTCAAGGCCGAGCATGATGACGGGCGGGTGCTCGAGCGTGGCGGGCAAGATGTCACTATTTCAAAAAATGAATTTTTGGTAGCTCTTTCTCACTCTCCGGCCACATTAAGCGACTTCGCCTGCAGATGGTGGTAGTGGTACTTGTAGACGTTGCGTGAGAGCACACCTGTGGTATCGCAGTTGACCTGAAAATAACGATAGGCTAGTGGCTTAATCTTCGGCTTAGGTTTAGGCTTCTATCCGTCGCGACTGATGGGGTTCATCGGGCAAATGAGACCCGTCGACAAATGTGACACCAAGCTGAAACCGAGGACGCGGTGCTTTGATGGCGGGAAGAAGAATTCGGGTGCTTGCTATGTAAGAATTTGGTGAGAAGCCCTCTCTCTCTCTCTCTCTCTCTCTCTCTCTCTCCTTCGCGAGGTAGCGAGAAAGGGTCTTTTGTGCGCCAAGTTTTGCGCCGCGCAGGGTGATTCCGGCAGCCCGATCTCCACGTATGCACCTGCGCGAAACAAGCAGTCCTACTACGTCCAAGTTAGCCTGGTTAGCCATGGGAATAGAGAAAATTGTGTGAAGGACGCGGAGGCGATGAGTAAGTGCTTTAATATACTACTGTTTCGAAGGGCGATTCCGACCAGAAAATCTTGTTTAGCGGTTGGCCCTGAAATTGCGCTATACTGTGATTGGATCAAAGCGGTTACCGGCAAGGAGATATGTCTTGAATAAAGTTTTCTGTTGTTTGTGTACATTCTCTCTCTCCTCTCTCTCTCTCTCTCTCTCTCTCTCAAAAATGTCTGCAAAAACTTTTATTCAAGGAAGCACCACCGGAATTGGAAAGACACGTATTCAGACCGGGCAAAAATCAGATACATCAAAGGATACAAAAAAATAGACATAAGCACAAAAAATCACAAAACTTCTAGGCAATGGCAAATTTTCTTCAGCGTCCTGTCGGCGACGCAGTGGGACGTGTGACCGTACCTGAAAGAGATAAAAAAATCAGCAGACTTGGCGAAGAGATTCATATTTGAAAGAGAAAAGCCAAATTATGACTCCTGCCCTTTAAAAGTGGTTTCGAATTAGTCAAGCCAAGCAATGTAAGCTGACTTGTTATTCCGCTCGACTTCGCCCGTCGGGACGTATACTTCGAATTCATCCTTTTCACGAGCAGCCCTTCGATTAGGGCTCGGCTTGGCGGCGCGGCTTCGATGACGATACGGTAGCTAAAAGAATATTGAAATCGAGTCATTGAAAAGTTCAAATTTTAGTTGTTTAGAATTCCCTAGAAAATTAAACGCAAACACCCACAAAATCTCAATTCCATCTTTGGGCAGCTGCCCGCCAGTCTGCGGGTCGTCGACAATTTTTGCGGGCGGTAGACGAACTGAGGCGTAGGTGATGTTGGCCAGCTCGAGGATTTGGCATTTGTAGTTTTTGACCTAAAAACAAGATCCAGATATTTGGATTCAGATCCAGAGACAATACCGGCTCGGTCACGGTTCCTTGTGGCTTCGTGGCGTTGTGCGCGGTGAGCAGCTTGTTCAGATAGGCGATGAAGGTCTGCAATTGAAGATGTTCTTCGAAAAACGAGGGAGAGAGAGAGAGAGAGAGAGAGAGAGAGAGAGAGAGAGAGAGAGAGAGAGAAGGGGACGAGGGAGGGAGGGACGGAGACCTAAACCTAAGCTAAAACCAACCTCAGCAGCTCCCCTCGCCTCCTCCACCGGGATCGGCATCTCGTTGAAGCAGGGGCAGTAGTCTTCCGGAACATGCGCCTCGTGGCAGATTCGCGTCTCGGGCACCGGATGCCATAGCGGATAGGAGCGGCCCGTTTTCGTGCTGATGTTCATGTAGGTGCCCTGAAAACTAACTTCGAAACGATAGAACTCTCCAAAACCGTAGCCACCGCGAGCAGCGTGTCGTACATGTCGAACTGCGTGGTCATCCGGCCGGCGTTGGTCTTCAGCGCCTCGGCGATGTGGGGGTACTTTTCGCGGATGTTCTTGGGCAGCCGAATGGAGAGGAAGGGGAGCCGGGCTTCGAGACGGCCGACGACCTGGAGAAGGCTGAAAATTTGAAGGTTTTCTAGGTTAATCAGACCGTTTCGCGGATGCTGTCGTAGCGGTTGCCGTGGTCGCTGAACACAATCGTGATGGCGTCGTCGAGGAGTGGCGAATTGCGCTTTAGAAACGTCGCGTAGCTGTTGTCGGTTTGGCCTGAAAAATCGGTATTTGGAAGAGAGAGAGAGAGAGAGAGAGAGAAGAGAGAAGTGAGAGAAGGATAAAGAGCGACATACCGATCGCATTCAAATAGTCGTGGCTCATGTCTTGCGTCCACCAGTAGGCAAAGTGGCGCTGCCCGCGGTAGGAGTGGAGGAAACTAAGTTCATTCATTAAAATTAGGGAATTTGGCAACTTTTCGAGGTAGTCCAGCTGAATCTCGTGCTTTGGCCGAGCGTCGTAGCAGAACGGCTTGGAACGACGACCGACGAGCGACCAGAACGCGGCCAGCCAGTAGCTCCTGAAGTAGTGGTCGGTGGGCGCCGTCTTGAAGCCGTTCAGCTCGCCAAAGTAGTTGAACGTGCCGATGTCGGGGCGGTCTTCGGCGAACATCGTGACGTAACCTAAAAAAGCGACTGGTTAGAGATGGAGAAAGAGAGCGGGAGGGAAGACAGAGAGAGAGAGAGAGAGAGAGAGAGAGCGAGCGAGCGAGCGAGCAAGAAAGAGGGAGAACCAACCATTCTTCGTAAAATTCTTCCACACAAACGGAAAGTCGTCGAACCATATGTGCCACTCATTGGGCAGCTCGCCGGGGAATTCCTGGGGAAAAGGCGTCGAACTGCTTAAAGTCGAGGTCGTACCTTGACAGCACTTCCTCGTTTTCCGGTCAGGATGGCCAGCCAGTTCGCGTAGGTGTTGTCTCCGATTTTCACGTGGCTCGGCAGGTCTTGAAAACTGAAAAGAGGAAATTATACGTATTAAGGTAGAGCTAGCAGAGAGAGAGAGAGAGAGAGAGAGATAGAGATAGAGTCGGCCAAAAATTTTAAATCTCACCCCATCTCCTGCATCCTCTTGTAGGTGAGCGGCATCTGACGCCGAAAGTTGCCGTAGGACATCGAGTCAAGGCCGAGCATGATGACGGGCGGGTGCTCGAGCGTGGCGGGCAAGATGTCACTATTTCAAAAAAATGAATTTTTCGGTAGCTCTTTCTCACTCTCCGGCCACATTAAGCGACTTCGCCTGCAGATGGTGGTAGTGGTACTTGTAGACGTTGCGTGAGAGTACACCTGTCGTGTCACAGTTGACCTGAGAAATAACGATAGGCTGGTACCTTAAACTTAGGCCTAGGCTTAGGCTTACGCCTAGACTTAGCCTTAGGCTTAAGATCACGCTGAGGCTTAGGCTCACGCTGAGGCTCAGGCTAAGGTCTTCTAAGCTTAGACTTAGGCTTAGGTTTCGGCTTAGAAAATTTTCCCACCTCGACAAATTCGTCTTCCAGCGCGTATTCTTGGAGTTTCGTGAGATCCAACTAAAAAATGAAGAAATTACCGTTTGTCTCAATATACCTCAATTTTCTGCCCGTATTCGGCTTCGTTGTCCTGAGTTCCTTTAATTACGGGTCGAATCGAGCACTTCAGCGACAGGCGATCGATTTCGGGTTTGTTGAACTGAATTTCTCAGTTTTAAAAATATTCGGCCATATTACCGTAATGACGCCCTCCTTGAACTTGGTGAGCTGCGGCTGTACGGCGGTGCACTTGAGCGGCTTCTGCCTCGTGTAATACTGGAGGATGGACGGGTCCCAGGGGTCGGGATGCGGGACGCGGCATCCTGTTTGGTTGCCCGCGTTTTGTTGGAGTTGCTAAAAACAGCAAGCAAGTATCGTCGAATCCAGAAACCATGCCTGAAAGTGCCGGAACTCGACGGAAAGCTGCGGCTTTCGAAGGTACGGGCCCAGGTAGAGGTACGCGGCGTAGAGGGCGAGCACGGCGGCGGCCATCCGGGCCACGAAACGGGCCGACAACGTCCGGCGCCACGCGAACCACTGATGACGGGCCCACAGCATCTTGAGGTACTAAAAAAGGTAAAATCGACTTTGAAATCAAAACTCCTTTAAACGGTCCAAAGCTAGAAAAAAATCAGCGAAAAATGCTAAAATGATCACCTTTCCCCAAACAAATGAAGCGGAAAATGAAAAAATCAGGGTCTATTTTGCGGTTCCTGGTATTCATGCGGAGTTTGCTATGCTAATTAGGCCCCAAATGCAAATTAGCATAGAAAAATCAATCCAAAAGCGGACCTTCCGAAAACGTGCCAGGGCCGGTAGAAGGTAGTACCGACAGGCAAATGACAGGAATATCGTGATGGTGATGATCATGGTATGCTACTTTTCGGGACTAAAAAAGGTCAAAAGAGCATGGCAACAAAGCTAACCTTTCCAGGGGTTGGAAACAAGGAAAATGACTGAATTTTCTGCTTTTAGTCGTCATGCAAAAATGCAAATCTAAGTTCCAAATATGATTTGTATGCTTTTGTACCAGTCGGTGTGCTGCAAAACCGTTTATTCGACGCCAAGACACGGGAGGGGATAGACAAAAGGGGCAGCGATGACCGGCCGGCGCCCGGGCGGATCGATGGGGGAGAAGGGCTCGAGAATCTGTTCAGCCACAAGCGATTACACAATGCATTGGAATATAGAGGCGATCGGGGGATGAGGATGGGGAGAACGAGGTGGAGCTGGAGCTGCAGCTGGAGGGGAGCATGAGGTGGACGTGGCGGCGGTGCGCGAGCAGAAGACGTCGACGACTGGCAGGGTGCGGTGGAGGTGACTGGAAAACGGATCATTGTGTTTTCTCCAGCTTACTCTCCCATTCTCTCTATCTCTCTCTCTCATTCCCTCCCTCTCCCGCTCTCCCTCTCGTACCTAGTATTCATGGTCCAGGAGCGGGTTCCGGGTTCGACTGCTGCTCAACTTCCGGCTTGGCCAGCTGCGTGGCCTCGATGACGAATCGGCGACGCTCCTCACGCATCGGCTCGACGCGGTGCCTAAACCCAGATGAGGGTGACGGGGACTTCATTCCTACAGATGGACGCAGACCAGCGCCGAGGCCACGACGACGACAAACACGACGATACCCGCGCCGACGTACAGCCCGGTGGAGATCCTGGAAAGGTTCATTCAGTTCATCGTCAGCTCCAGGCAATGTAAGTTTATGCACTCACGGAGGCTCGGTGTCCGTGGCGTTTGTGGGTGAAGCCGTCGTAACGCTCGGCTTGGGCGACAGATCGTCCGGCTTCGATGACGGAGCGCCTGTCTTGGGCGACGGAGCGTCCGTCTTCGGCGCTGGAGCGTCCGTCTTGGGCGGCGGAGGGGCCGTTTCGGGCTTCGGAGGGGGCGGCTTCGCGGTCGGGTCCTTTGGCTTCACGGGCGGGTCCTTTGGCTTCACGGGCGGATTCGTCTTCGGCTTTTCCTGGGCCCACGTCGGCTAAAAAGGTTTGTTTCGTTCCGTTGGTCGGGAAGGACGGTATTGGACTGTTAGCGGCGGGGGGGGGGCTTTTAGCATTGGCGAAACTAATTTTTTTCCAGTAATGCAGTACGGCATTGTAGACCCAAAATACGTAGACCAGTTTTAAAGTCTTTATGCTGTTTTTCGATATTAAAAGCCCCTAAAAAACTCCTAGAAATTTTGACATGTTGGGCAAAGGGTATCAAAAACTATCAAAAAAGGTCATAAATTTTTAATTGTCAAAGATTAATTAAACTCTCTTTTGTAAGCTTTTAGTTAGATATTTATTTCTATTGTTAACAGGCATATATAGGCGGAAACCAGCCAATTCCAGTTTCCTACCACACTCAGGGCGGCGATGACGAGCAGCAGGGCGACGAAGCGGAAGGCGTGCATCTGCGCGTAGTGATGTCGGGGGCGGCCTTCTGGATGCGGGGCACGCGGGCGAGTAAAATGGAGGAGTACGAATGGGCTTGTTTTTATAGTCAAAAACTCTCATGTAGATCGAACAGGCTTCCGATTTACGCTAATCAAAATGTCTCTCATTCATGCAAATTGAAATGGATATTACAGGTTTTCGTCAAGGTCAGGCAAGGTGGAGTTGGTTTAAAATGTCGAAATGTATATTGTTGAAATTCATGTAATGTCATGCCGAAATTCAGAAATACAAAATTCTTTAGGAAACATTGTGAATTTTCGGCATTATGATAGCAATTCGGCCAAATGTACTCTCCTCTTCGGGATAAGGTGCAAATTGGAAACATTTAAATTCATAAAAATTTATTAGAATTACCGTAACCGAAAGCCAATAATTTAAATCGATGCTATCCGCTAAAATCGGAGAATCGAATAGATTATCGTAGACATAATCAGGAATCCATGGAATCCCAATTGTGACGAAGTCCTCGTCGTCGTTGGCTGGGCCACCGTAGTTCCAACCGAGCCGGTAACCGTAGCCCCAGTTGCAGTAGTCGGAATCTATCAGAAAATCAATCTGTCTCAATCAAAAATCTGCGTTTAGAGGTTCCGGAATTTAGAGATTCCGACATTTAGAGATTATGAAGTTTAGAGACCATCTTTTTAGAGATTCTGACATTTAGCTAATTTTTAGTATTTCTGAAAGGTTCCCCTACGGTAGTTCCAGCCGAGCCGGTGACCGTAGCACCAGTTACAGTAGTCGGTACCGGTGTTGTTGGCCCCGGAGTCGTGGTGGGTCCCGCGGGGAATGGGGTGCTGTAGTCGTTGTAGTAGACAAAGTTGTAAATCATCTGCAGCGCGTGCATCGGGCGATCAAGCGGGACGTAGTGGCCGGAACCCTGGAAGTCAGAGGGGTTTTTTCAAATCGAACATTTTGAATAGATTTTGGCGCCGAAAATGATTTTAGGAATAGGTTTGCAGCAGCTTTGCAAAACAGCTTTGCTCAAAAAAAGTTTTTTATAGCTTTTTGGCTTTTTAGCTTTCAGCATTCCAAAGCTTACCTTAACAGTAATAACGTCAAAGTTGCTGGTGTACCGAATCCATGACCCGGCGACAGTCTTCTCGTAGTTTGGGTCCTGCTGGTAGTACCAATTTGCGCGGGCTTTATCTACCTAAAATACTCTAAAAAATAGGGTTTCCGTCTTACGTGAAGCTTAAGCTTGTCCTGAAGCTTAGCGGCGAACCATTGCGCTCCCAAGAAATTACAGGCCATGTCGACGTCGCCGTTGTAGATGAGGACCTAAAAAACGGGTATAAATGAGTCGAGAGGAGAGAAAGACAGACAGAGAAAGAGAGAGAGAGAGAGAGAGAGAGAGAGAGAGAGAGGGCGAGAGAGTGACGGAGAGGGAGAGCGAGAAACAAAAAGCCCACCTTTGCACCATAATCAAAAACTTTCGCAAAATTGTCGTATTGATCGATGTTTTGTTGAATGTACACATCGAAAATGTCGTCGTTGCTAAAATAGCCAAACAGAATTCGAGTTATTTAAAAAACGTACTCATTCCACCCCTTTACAGCTGACGGAATATTCAGGGCTGTCATCACTTCCGGCAAGTTTAGGTATTTTTCCAGTGCCGTGTCCATATAACAATAGTAGCCGTCGTATGGATCGGAAGAGTTGTAGTTTGAAACAGCCTAAATTATGCTGCATTAAAGATAGAAGAGAGGGAGAAGAGAGAGAGAGAGAGAGAGAGAGAGAGAGAATGAGATAAACAGGTAGAAATTAGCAGAAACCGAATACCTTAATTCCATTGCTGGGCGTGTTATAACAATCCTGATACATGTTATAGCGGTCATACGGCGACGTGTAGCCCGACAGGATAAAGTCGGAAAGCTGAAATATGTGATTTTAGTTCACCTCTATTCTGAGTCAAAACATATTTTGTGAAGATCGATACCTTATTAAAGCAAGGATCACTCGAATTTCCGTCCGGAATTACCGAATCTCCCCAAACAACGTGATCCGAAAATTGGCAGGCGAATTCGTTGGAATTTTCGGGGCAGCAGGTTTTCACCAAGTCGGTGTAGTCGCTGGAAAAGGATGGACTCACTCCCCCTCTCTCTCTCTCTCTCTCTATCTCTCTCTCTCGGCGTAACACCAGAATCACGATTACGAACTTGTAACTGTACAACCCAGAGTAGTACTGTAGATGGATGATCGAGTTGAGATCGGTATTCTTGTCCAGTACCCCATTTCCGACCACCATTCCCTAAATTCGTGTTGAAACGGAATACGAAAAACACTACGGGTCACAGTTTTCGATAATATCATGGGATATTCGAGGTTTATTGGTGGATCCAAAACTTTCTCATACCTTAAAATTAGCCTTGATATCCGCCGCCTTGATGCCGTTGATCAACTTGACAGCTAGTGTAGGTAGATAGACGCCAGCGTAGCTTTCTCCAGTAATGTAAAAGTCGCGAGTCTGGTATTCCGGGTACGCGTTCATAAAGAAGTCGCGGAGTGCCGCATAGTTCTCGGTGGCCGTCTGAAAAAGTAGATGGTAATGGACATAAAATTCAATTTTTGAAATCTTGCCAGACCTTGGTAGGTAAAATTTAGGGTATTCCAGCATTCATAGATATTTGATTCCCAAGGAGTATTTGTTGGCATGCCCAAAAACCGAGACTCTTGTCCCGACTTACATTATTATCATTGTAACTGATTGTCTCATTCGGATCGATGGAGTAGGAGTAGCCGACGCCGACCGGTGATTCGAGGTAGAGCACGTTAGCGAACTAAAAACATCATTTTTAACACTTCACTTCATGATGGTCACTTGACGTTATTTTTCAAATGCTGCCAACTCGACTTACTTTATTCCAAGCATTGTGATTTTGGAACAGCGATTTTCCATCCCTTCCGACTCGGTAGGGCCCATTTTCTTGGAACAGTCCGACTAGGGAGCTCGAGCCGGGTCCACCATTTAGCCATAGTAGGAGAGGAGCGGTACTCGGGTCCCATTCCGCTTCCAGAAGGCTAGACCAAAAAACATCGCGTAATCATTTACTCTTAAATTTTCTGGTCTGGAAAGGCTGAACACTCATACCGTAGCGTATGGAGTGGATTGTGCATTAGTACGTACCGGATCCATGGGATCGTCTCGTACGTTTTACTTAAGGTATCCTACGCCGTGTACCGTACGCACCCTATCGTATATTCACGATGTAAAGAGTATAGTGTCCTATATCACCAGACTGCTCCAGACCATTTTACTCGAGGTTACTCACATGTAATGCAACTTATGCGTAGCCGTGGCATCGAGGTACCCGCTGTACTGGTTGAAGTTGCTGTCAAAGTTGCCACCAGGGAGACTATAGAAGCGGTCTTGATCCTGAAACGTACTTGTTACAGTCATCAATGCTTCATATATCCGGTTTCGGCGATTTACTTACCTTTCTGGAGCAATTCGTCACCGGGGTATCGGTGTATGCATAGGCGGGAAGTAATGGAGCCGGTGTAAAGTCAACCTAAATTTTTTAGTGAAAGTTAAGTTTTATTTATGTTCAGTAATTCCTAATAACAGCTGATACTTACAGCCAATGGCGTGGAATAATTGGTCTGACCGGCCAGGTAGTTGGTGATCATTTGGAGAGCAAAAGCCGGACGGTCCATGGGGACGAAGTGGCCGGATCCCTTAAAACTAGCTAAAGAGAGAGAGAGAGAGAGAGAGAGAGAGAGAGCGAGAGAGAGAGAGATTTAAACAGAATTCTAGAGATCCAGTTTTGATACCTTAATCGTCATCTGCGCCACATTATTTGACCACCTCTTGACAAATCCGGCGACGCTGTTTTCATACTTGCTACCCTCCTGGTAATACCAATGTGACCTTTGCTGGATGACCTATAAAAAGCGGTAATTTTTTAATTTTAAGGCATTACAGTCATATTCCTGGCCAGAACCAGGGCTTCCATAAACCACTCGTCTCCCAAGAATTGGCAAATCGTGTCGACGTCACCGTTGTAGATGAGGAGGCTCATCTGATTGGAAGTGTACCTAGAATAAAAAATTTCTAGGAGCGAGAGAGAGGGAGATTGAGAGAAAGTAAGCAGCATCTGAAATCTGTACCATTTCGAGTCCAAAATCGCGTTGAAGGTGTTCGACATGTCGTAGTACTCCTTCAGAAGGTAGTAATGGAAATACTTCGAGGTGTGACGATCGCTAAAAAATTTTGGTGAACGCAAAACCAAATTTTTGTTTACCTGCATTCCTCCCAGTCGGCACCTTTGTAGTAGATTTTCGCGTGGATCGCTTTTTGGACGTCGTCGCGGTTGAGGTAGCTGAAAATTACCGTACTTGAGAAAATGTAGGTCTTATTACCTCCAGACGGCATCGTCATTAAAGCAAGTGTAACCGGCGAATGGATCAGTCGAATCGAAGCTCATTCGGTCCTAAATTTTGCGAAAATGGAAAGAAATCGATGAATTACCGTATTCTCCTGATAGACGAAGCGCTTCTTGCGGGAGTGGGTGGGTTCAAAACGGACCTGGAAATACAAAAATTTAACAAAATTATACGATTTTTTACTTAACCAAAAGAAAAATAAGATAAAAGGCTTGAAAGCTGATCGGAGTGGGCTCTAATCAGCTCATGGGAACGTTGCCGTGGGTCTGGAAAAATTACCATGTCTGCATCAGTTTTCAGCATTTCTCTGGCTTGGCGTCTGCGCCATCGGGCGCGATCCATCACCTTCGAGCTCTTCCTCTGCGTATAGCAGTCGAGGTACATGTTGTAGGAATCGTAACTGAAGAAGTATAACTGGATTTATTTCTCTCGCTCTCCCTCTCTCTTTTCCTCAGTTTCTCATTCCCCCTGTCTCTCCCTCACTCTCTCTCGCTCTCCCTCTCGCTCTCTCCCTCTCTCTTTTCATATGACAAGAAAAAGCCTATTTTTAATTTTCTGCTTACACTTTATTCTGGAATTTGTCCTCTGCGAAGTTCCATGCCCGGTCGCAAGTGCTGTTCAACGCAGCCTTCGAATAATCGCAGTAGAGTGGATTCCTAGTATCCGGGCAGCAAGCTTCACCCAGTCGAGTCCATTCCCTAAATCGACAGATTCCGAGGGGCTACTTTTCACTGACTCCTCCGAAGTAAAGCCATGAGAGTACTGTAGCGCGATTTCCGAATTTCCCTGGAGATACTCGCTGAGAATTCCATTACCGACAGCCATTCCCTAAAGTAATCTTGGAAATTTTTCGGCGGATTTTGAAGGTGCTGAACAACCTTTTGAAGTTTTGTAATTCTCAGCTTACCTTCAAGTTCAAGGTTAGCTCTCCGTTCTCGATCAACTGGATCAAGTTCCGGGTCAGCGTAGGTCCATAGACCCCGACGTAGCTTTCTCCCGTCACGTAGAAGGGGTGGGTTTTGTATTGTGGGAAAACGTTGTCGAAAAAGTCTTTGATTGCGTAGCCGTTGTCGAAAGCTACCTAAAGAGGGCGTTAAACTACGGAAAACCACTTTATACTATCTTAGGGCCCCTATTAAACGATCTAGTGCGTCGAGTACTTTAAGTCGCAGTGTAGCCAGATTTTCGAAAAACATGTGCATCTTTCAGATCATCATCATTTTTCAGATCAGTTAAAGTTTCGATTTATCGAATTTCCGATCCTCTATCATTAATGCTTCAACCCACCGTCTCATCCGTATTGTTCCAAGCGTTCTCCTCGAAATACGAAAACCCGACGCCGACTGGGGCCTCCATGAACAGGACGTTTGCCTAAAATAAGTTTTCGAAAGTTTTCTTTACAACATATTTCATAAAAAAATTAATTCATAAAAAAATCGATACCTTCTTATTCCAGGCAAAAACATTTTCATACAGTGTCTTCCCCTTGTCATTATTCATGTGGAACGGGCCCAGCTCTTCGAAGAGACCGACTAGAAAAGACCGTACGTTATGTAAACGTCAAAAAAACAAAGAGCATAGACATAAAAACGCAGTGCAGACCAACGTACTCAACGAACTGCATCCAGGCCCCCCATTCAGCCACAAAACCACGGGATCGTTCTTCGGGTCATTTTGCGACTCCATAAACCTAAAAATTAGTAATTTTTTGGCAATTTATCGATCGTTCGAAGGATGAAAAATGCTTGAACCTACCAATAATACAAATGGTGTGTCGGGTTCTTTGACGGGGTCAAGTAGCCGCCGAAGTTTCGGAAATTAATGTTGAAAGTCAGGCCAGGGATCGAGGTGATCATATCGGCCTTGGCACGGTCGGTCAGGTCATCAGTGTTGTTTGGGGCGGCTTCCTGGAATGTCGATTTAAAGTGATACTTCCATAGCGTTTCGCGGCGCGCCTTGCGTGGCGGTTCCCTTTGCGTCTCACGCAGGGTGTCGCACGGCCGTTCGCGCAGCGCACCGCGTGGCTATCCTCGTGGTAACTCACACGGTCCGTGCCGTTGCCCTTTACGCTGCATTTCGCTTTTCGCGCCGCGTCGCGTTTTTTGCATCTTGCAGAGATCTACAAGCTTACTTACCACAATCTTCTCCTTGACCTCGACCTTTGCTTCAGCTCCATCCAGGAATTTCCCATTCTCACATCCCAACACGGCTTGGAAAGCCTGCTTCAACGGTTTCTTCGTGATGTCCATTGGATAGCTGGTGTTGTACGGTTTTTTGTTCACAAAGTTGTAGATGAGCTGCGCAGTCGGGCCGGGACGATCAGCAGCACCAAGATGGCCGGCTCCCTGATAGTTGTGATATTTTGCTGTCTCTCTTCTCTCTCCCTCTCTCTCTCTCTCTCTATCTCTCTCTCTCTCTCTCACTCTCTCTCTCTCTCCATCTCTCTCTTCCATAATACCTTAATCGTCAAGAAGTCGATGTTCTTTTCAAATCGCTCCACAGCACCAGCAAGTACGGGCTGGAACTCCGGCTTCTTCTGATACCACCAATAATCTCGAGGTCCATATCTCTAAAATGGAACTTTTTGAGAAACAACTTAAAATTCTTACCCTTGCTGCCAGCTTCCGGGCAACTCGGTTCAGCCACCAATGCGTCTGCCAGTGACTACACACCTAAATTTTTCGATTTGAAAATTCTTAAAGGAAGTACCGTATCCGTATCGCCATTATACAACAAAATACTCATATTATTTTGCTTGTAATAGTACGAATTGACGATTGAGATGATAAAGTCATCCATTTCCAGGGGCCAACTTTGGTCGTAGAGGTCACCGACGGTACCGCTAGAATCCGATTTTTAGCTCGCACTTTTGAAATCGAAAGAGCTCGAGTCTACTTTATTTTTGTGGAAAATGAGCAACAACCTGAAACAATTAATTTGAGGCTAATTAATTGTGTGGAGAATCAGCACAAACTTGAAATGAACCCATCGCTTGGTCACGAAATCCGGGATATGGAGAGCCTCACGAATTCCGGGTTGATTCATGAATTTCGTGGCGGCACTTCCGCCCCAGCATGGGAAGCCGTTCAGGTGGTCCGTGGAGTAGAGGTTGATCATTTGCTAAAATTGAAAAGCGTCGATTGCTGCATTAATGATTGTCAATGACCCTCACTTCACCAGTCCTTTAAAATCAGAATTTTCCATCAAAGACGTACAGCATTATCAACGTATCCGTCAGCTCTCGGCTTCCGGGTCTTATCCGTCCACTGGCTCATATCACAATCAAGGTACAGGCTGTACATGTCGATGTCTGCGCGAGCCGGATTCCAGGTATCTTTGGTTTGGCGGATTGTCTAAACGTATTGGTCTCGAATATTTGAAAGAAATTAATTATCATCCTTGTCTTTTATTTAAGCCTTAAACACCTTCTTAGTTAAGTTATTAAATTCCCATACCTCGTCAGCACACCACTTATCGCTGGCATTGAGACCGGGTTTAGGATACAAAGCGCCATCAGCCCCGGCGTAGAGGTAGGGATCGTAAAAGTCGCATCGAGTCGGATCGGCAGTGTGACAACATTTGGAGATGAGGTTGTCGTACTCGCTGAAGAAAGAGTAGAGCCAGAACGAGAGCGAGCGAGAACGAGAGTGAGAGAGAGAGAGGGCGTCCGGTTACTACCCCGAAAAGTCACTACCCCGAAAGTCACTACCCCGAAAAGTCAGTACCCCGAAAAGTCACTACCCCGAAAAGTCAGTACCCCGAAAAGTCACTACCCCGAAAAGTCACTACCCCGAAAAGTCACTACACAAGACAGAGAGAGAAAGCGAGATAGAGTGAGAGAGGAGAACCGAGAAGAAAAATGCCTTACAGCTTCCCCTGCAATCCATACAAATACATCTGATGGACAGCCACATTCAGGTTCAGCTCCTGGCTGACGAATCCGGACTGCATGGCAAGTCCCTACAAATTTGAACTTTGTAAATACCTCAAAAATAATGGTTTCTTGGAGAATTCGATAAGAAAAATGTGGAAAACACGTACCTTAAAGTTAATATCCGTGTTTCCAGCCTGAATGGCCTTTATCAACCCATCGGCTAGCATCGGAATGTACACCCCGGCGTAACTTTCGCCCGTAATATAAAATCCATTCGGCTTGTATTCTGGGAATATGTTCTCAAAGAAGTCGATCACCGCGTTGACGGTGTCGCTGGCGGTCTAAAGATAGTTTTGCCGTGATCAAAATGAATCTCAAACAGCTAGGTTTTCATAAATAATTTCTGCTAACTTGCCTGCCTAGTATATAAGTCGTAGACAACGACTTACCACATTATTCGTATAGGTATAATCTAGATCATCGTCCGTTTGATAGGACCAACCAACACCTCGAGGCGATTCCAGGTAGAGCATGTTGGCGAACTAAAAATTCATTTTGGTAAAGTGTTTAGGGTTTTAATGTATAGATAATTTTTTATATACCTTATTCCATGAGAATACATTCTCAAAAATAGTATGCCCCTCTCGGTTGACCCGGAATGGCCCATTTTCATAGAACATCCCCTGGATTCCGGAGCTTCCGGGGCCTCCACCAAGCCAGAGGAGCGTTGGAGCATATTGAGGGTTTGGAGCTTCGAGGAACCTAAAACAATAAATTTAGGCCAGAGGCACCTTAAAATGTCAATAAGGCTCCTGAGTATACAAAAACCGACCAATAATGTATAAAGTGTGTTTTTGAGGCGGTTAGGTATCCAGAAAAGTGCCGGAAGTTGATGTCCCAAGTGAGGCCGGGTAGGTTGTGGACCTAAAGGTATGTATTAAATTAAGCGTATTGAATTAGAGAAAAAACTACTATAAAAATCGTAATGACCGATTTGCACTCTGTACTCCATACTTGGAATTTTCAAACCTATAGAAAAGTTAAGCTCACACCTGATCGGCTTGCTTCCTCCTTATGGGACCATCGTCCTTGGGTTGATACTCAAAACGAAGAGGAGCAGGTGTCAGGTTAATAGTTCGGAGGTCGGAGCTAGAAGCTATACGTACTCCTTAACGTTTATGAAAACTACTTAATGGTGTCGTTGCTCAAGAAGTTCTTCACCAGCTGCAAAGTCTGGCCCGGTCGAGAAAGAGGGGCAAAGTGACCGGCTCCCTAAAAAATAAAATAGGTCGTCCAGGCTATAAAATTTGAAAGAAAAAGGATATTGTCTAATTATGCCAAAGTGGTCTGAAAAAGTAGCCAATCGATACCTTAACCGTAGCAAAAGTAACACCACTCGAAAACTGCTTGTAGTATCCGCCAATCGAGCCGCTGAACTTGGTCAAGTCGGTGGCATATTTCCAGCGGTCTCCACCAAAGGCCTAAAATTTATAAATTATTTTTCAGTAATTACAGTATGTTAATTGGTTAAATGACAAAACGCTCCAAACGATTCCCTACCGTTAGTCCAAAGTTCTCAACAAACCACTCGGCTCCAATATGGTTGGAAGCAGTGTCGAGGTCGCCGTTGTAGATCAGCAACTAAAGGAATTGTGTACGGGAAATTAGCTATGTAGCTAGGTAATCAATACAGTTCTCAGGCGGTAGATGACGATACCCTCATCTTCCGATCACCCCACGCCTCACTGGCAAACAATTTCTTGAACTGCGTGCTGATATCGCCATTCTGTTGCTGGCCGTAGTCTGGCAGTGTGCTAAATTTAGGATTTTTAATATATTGCTTAATGCTATATATTTATTTCTACCTGCAATCCGTCCAATCCGTCTGGGGCACATGTATCGCTTTTTGGACATCGGCGCGGCGGAGGTAATTCTGGATCGCGTCTCCCGCTACGCAAGCATACCCTCCGAACGGGTCAGTGGAAGGATAGGTCTAAACGGGTAGAAAAGCTTATTATAATGTAAAAAAGGTCATTTTTAAATCATTAAATTATAAAAAGGAATAGAGAAAATGTGGTCCGACTGCCGGTACCCATAGGCGAATCTTAACGCCTGTATCTCGGGTCTCTTTTGGACCTACAAGGATGTAAAGCATACCGAAATATTTGTCTTGGTCTACTGAGTATTTTGGTATACTTCATAACCTTGTGACGCCCAAGGGAATCAAGATACAAATGTTGGAAGATTGGAGTTTCGCCGAAAAAGTGCACTACCAACCCCATTCCCATAAAAAGCTTCAGCGCTGGCCCTTGTCCTCGGAATCTGATAGCAATCCTGATACACGTTGTATTTATCGATTCTAAAATGCTTTTCTTATAAAGCAAAATTCTTAATACCCTTGCTGAGTCCTTCGCCAAAGCGCCTGCGCTTGGTTGGCACAATCAGTGTTCTCGGCGGCCGAGTAGAAATCGCACTTGGATACAGAAGGTGTCTGCTCGCAGCAGTAATCGATGAGCTTATCGTAGTCCCTAAGATTATTTTGGATTTATGTAGCTGAAATTCAAGAGCATTGATTTTTAGCAACTTTTCTAAGCTGACTGACTCCTTGAAGTTGATTCCCTTCGCGTAAGACCACTCAAGCAAGGCATTGAATTGCTGTCGGGCCGAAAGAAGGCCATTAGCGATCAGGATACCCTAAATAGGAGATTAATGTAAAATAATGAAATGTTAGTGGTACCTGTAGATTGAAATTGTTGCTTTGCGACTGATCAATGATCGAATTTGCCAATGTCGTGACGTAGACAGAAGCGTAGCCCTCACCAGCGAGGAAAAGGCCTAAAATAATAGATAACCTAATGAATCCGTTTTTAAAAAATACGGAGTAGATTAATGATTTTAATTATGCTTAATAAATAATTTTAACTATTCTACTTTAAATGTAACTCGCCATTATCAGCAATTCCGGGGAATACTGTCAGGAAGTCGGCCAGCGCAAAATAGTTGTAAGCGGCTACCTGTAAATTTAGAGAGGTTAGGGCTAGCGAGAGAAAGTGAGAGAGGGAAGGGGAGAGGGAGAGAGAGAGCGAGCGAGACTGAGAGAGAGAGAAATCTACAAACCTTCCCATCATCCCAGTAGTCTCTAGTAACCGGATTGAACCCAACTCCAGATGGTGACTCCAGGTATAGCACATTAGCGATCTGAAAATGGTCTTTAGGTGTTTTTTTTATTCTGTTTCGACTAGGTTTCCAAAATCACGTCAATTTTTGGTTCTCTGTTTCCGATTCTTATCCCCGACGGCTAGCCGAGATAAGCTCGCTGATGCCAGAATTGGTGTGGTTGCTCAGCGGATTTTGGGGGTAGATAAGTAGTGCATAATTTGAGATGGATTCTAGCTTTGCTTGCTAGAAAGGAAGGATACTGGTTTTAATGATTGAGAAAATTGAGCCTTTGCTGAAAGCTGATACAAGCCCGGCGAAGTTCTACTAACTTAGTAAGTAAGATCCAGTTTGGAGTCGATTTTCACGTCCTACTTACCTTATTCCAAGCATAAATATTTTCATTAACAATTTTTCCATCTTCACTCGGCCGGAATGGCCCGTTTTCCACGAAAAGCCCGCTCAAAGATGAGCAACCAGGTCCACCGTTTAGCCAAACGATCAGGGGTGCGCTTGTCAAATTTTGTTGGGCGGTGATGAGCCTAAAACGTGATAATTTTAATCGATCCAATCCCTTTACTATATATTATTTGATAATTGTTATTGATTAACGCTTATTTTAGTAATTTTTATGATAACAAAGTACGGTAATTAAACACTAAGGATCTACCAGTAGTGAAATTTGGTCCCATTCACTGCTTGCTCTCCGGGAATCCAGAATACTGCCGGAAGTTCTGGACGAACGTGACGTTCGGTAGGTAGTAAACCTCAAAAATTCCAATTTATCAAACAAGAATCTAAAAATTACCCTATCAGCCGCAGCTCTCTCCGTTTCCTGAGCCAAACTAGAAGCCAGGCAGAGCCCCAGTATAAGGGCTAACCTGGGGATCATGGCCCTCAAGGTAATTAATTAAACGCAATGGCAGAAAAAAACGCAGAAAAGTGTCTATAGAATCGTTCCGGAAACGTAGTATTAAGGCCAACGGGTGGAGCATGAAAATAAAGCTGGCATTTTGCACTTCCAAACCTGACACATGAAAATTTTTATTGCTCGTTGCACCTGTAAACAGTGAACCTTCAGCAATTAGGGCAAAAATTAGATAAATTGTGCGGTATTTTGGTAATCCGCCCGAACATTGTATGCTCCCGTTGTCCACCTGCAATGTCAAAAAAATTTTCCAAAAAATTTTCCAAAAATTCCATATTTTTGAACCGAATGCCATGAACTTTGGCCAGTGTTTAAAAGTATAAATACCCTAATTCAACTATTTGTCAAGATGCAGGTTTTTTAGAGGCAAAAACTAATAAAATCTGGTAGCAAATGACCGGCGGGGAAGCCGGGTGGTGGCTGCTGCAACAATGCTGATAACAGGCAACGGCGTGATTTTCGCTCCTAATTCGGGACACGGCCTCCCGTGTATCGTGAGTAATTCTGGAATTTTGATGCCCCGGGTGGTAAGATTGATAACCGGGTCGGAAATTGCCCTTGAAAAGTTCTTTGGTTCTAGTTTAAAGGGGTGGTGACAGGAAGATACAGATTTGTATTCCACGAAACCTAGCAAAACTTATTTTTATTCCTTGCAATTTCTTGTTGTTTGTTCTTGTTTTTATGGTTTTCTGTATGCGAATTTGACCGTAATTTACAAATATTTATCCACATAAGAAATAAATGACATAGAAAATCAATAAAATCGAAAAATTCGCGAGATCACTCCCGCTTGTCGTAGTGGACCCCCAAATCGGTCTCAAACTCGTCGGGATAGGATGCGATTCCCAAATTGGGGTACTGTAATCCCGTCGATTCACAAAATTGAAGATTATCTGGTAGAGTTGAGCGGGACGATCAGTACCCGAAATGTGCCCGGCACCCTAAAAAATTAACTTTTTTATTAATTCCACTCTTATTACGAAGCTCTTACGAATTCTAGAGGTCTCGTTGCTATTTACTTGTTTTCATATTTTTTAATATCAAAAGAGAGATTGAGGTATGTAACGACAAGTTATTTCCAAAGCCATACCTTGATAGTCACGGCATCTAACGAATTTCCATACTTTTCCTGATATCCTCCCACGACCTTTGGATCGTTGGCGGAGAGTTGATAATTCCAGGGCATTCGTTCCAAGGTATTCTGGAAGCTTATTACGTTTTTGTACGGTTTTGATAGTTTTCCAAGTCGCTTTGGTCGAGAAAAAGATTATTTTTGTCTGACCTGGTATCCGATATTCGCCGCCAGATCCCTCGCAAACCATTCAGCGCCCAGATGGTTGCAATGCAAATCGGTATCCCCGTTATAAATTAAGGCCTTAAGAGTTTTGCAGGTTGTCTTGGCCTGAAGTTTGTAGTATTACCCGCGCTCCAGAACCTAGCACCTTCGAAAAATAAGGTTTCATCGTGAACTGCGTTTTCTTGTAGAGGGACTCGATTCTGGAACACAAATAAATCCGGCATTTTTAATTTTTTCTGCTTATAAATTTTCTCTTTAATTCTTAAATGAATTTTTATTTTTTAGCTAAGGAAGATCCGCTTTCTATGCCCGTTAACGGCCGGAACGAGACCTACCCATTTTTCTGCCAAATCGGTACACCTGCTGGGATATGCAAAGCTGTTCGAACCGAGTCCTGCCCCATAAAAATACCCAGTGTATTTTCCATGTAGCACCAATATGATTCGAAAGGCTTTTCTGTATCTAGAGGATAATCCTAAATCCATAATTTTGCCTTGTTCGACCCTTAAAACATACTGTCCTACTCCCATTTATCGGTTGTCTATAACAGTCGTGATATATCGAATAGTCATTATTTTTGGTACCCAAGTAATATGTCATCGTAAAGTCGAGCAGCTAAAACAAAACGGGTGATAACGAAGCCACATTAATAGAAGAAACACAACGCTATTGGTGCCCTAACTAACCATATTGAAGCAGCTGTCATTCTGCGTTTTCGGGTTCGGAAAAGTCGGCCAGTCGATGTGGGAAGACATCTTACACGCAAGTTCGTCGCCATTTTCCGGGCAGCATGTGTCGAGGAGCTGTTCGTAGGCGCTGGAACATAATTGTTAAGGCTTTTAGACACCCTAAAAGTCCGAGTCCAACGCGAAATTGGTCACAACTGCTTTCACGAGCACTGGTTCTTTAGAGAGATAGCTGGCTTGCGCCAGAAAAAAATTTTTTTTGGTCATTTTAGCCTGAGGCCAAGATTTTGTGGGGAAATAACATACCTTATAGTTTGTAGCACAACGATATAAGCCTATTTTGCAGTCCAAGAAATTACCTTTTTCCAATAATCCCGTGGTAATACATTACATGAAACATGCTGTCAATATTTTGATTGTAGTCGATAAGCCCGTTGGCGGCAGCAATCCCCTAAAATGCCAGCAAGTTTAGGCATGTACCACCCTCTTACTTACCCTAAAATACAACTTCAGCTCCTGCGCTTTAATCCCATCAACAACTTTCGTAGCCAGCATGGGTACGTAGACGCCGCCATGACTTTCGCCAATTATGTAAAAGTCACGGTCGATGTATTCTGGATATACGGTAAGAAAATCGAGTAGTGCTGCGTAGTTTTCTTGCATACTCTAGAAAATCAAGTCAATCATGTCAAAAATCAAGAAAGATAACAACTCATGTTAGATAGCTACATAGCCTTTACCATACCTCATCATCGCTGGTAGGTAGAAAAGTACCAATACCTTATCATCGCTGAGCTCCAGTTTTTCGTCCGCATCTGTGGAATAGGAATATCCAACCCCGACTGGCGATTCGAGGTACAGCATGTTGGCGAACTAGATTTTACACTATTTGACGATTTTTCTTTTTGATAATACCTGATTCCACCTAACCGGGTTCTGCCTCAAGCTTTTCCCATCCGGACTCAACAAATAGGGCCCATTCTCGAAAAACATCCCATTCATCGAGGAATCTCCGGGACCGCCGTTTAGCCACAAAAACAGGGGAGCAGATTGCTGGATGGTTTCCGCTTCGACCAGCCTGAAAAGAAGTTAAGATACTGGGATAGCTGCGAAAAACTCTTCAACGGCTTTTTAAAGCTTACCAATAGTGCATTCGATGGTTTTCCAAGCCGTTTATGTAGCCGCTGTATTGGATAGTTTTATCATTTTCTGGCGCTCCCGGTAGGTTTAGAATTTTGTCTTGTTCCTAAGAAACTTTGAGATTGATCTTGCTCACTATGTCTCTCTCTCTTTCTCTCTCTCTTCCTCTCTCTCTCGCTATCTCTCTCTCTTTCTCTGTCTCTCACTCCATCTTTCTCCCTTTCTCCTGCTCTATCTTTCTCTTCCTGTTTGTAAATCTTACCTTCCTCGTTGCGGCCGTCGTCGTTAATTTAAGTTTGGGCGCTTTTCTCGTGTTCCGAGGGGCTTTGGCTGCGATTCCTGTTGAGTTCTTCAGAGGAGATGGATTGAGATCGATGTCAGATAGGTCACCACTAGAAAAAAATCAGACACCTTCCCAAATATACATACCCAAAAATATCCCTCCCATTAACAAAATTCGAGAGCAACTGTAGGACTTGCATAGGGCGATCTTCGGCAAGGTTGTGGCCGGCGCCCTAAACGGCTCTTAATGAAGCTGGTTCTGTTAACCCAGATACCTTCACGGTAGCGCTCCAAACGTCGCCAGCATGCTCTTGAGCATACCCTCCAACACTGGGTTTATACGATTTAGTGTCGTAATTGAACAACCATTCCGCGTAGGGTTTGGTGACCTGCAATTTTGGTATGCAGGAGGGAGAGAGAGGGACTAAGCGAGAGATGCAGGAAAATAGAGAGCGATAGAGAGAGTGAGAGAGAGGGAGAGAGAGAGAAAGAGGAGATCCTCACAGTAAAATTCAGCGCCGAAGTCAATTCGCCGACAAACCGTTGAAAGCCAATAGCATTGTTCACTAGATCATGATCGCCTTTGATCAACAGAGTCTAAAAGCTTAATTTAAAAGCTACAAAAACACTTAGATTAGACTTATCCGGTTTTTACAGAGAATGCGTTAGTTAGCACCGTTTTACCTGCAGCCCTGAATTCGCAAAATTTTTACTGCTAACGATTTCTTTCATTGTGGCCAAGAAGTTGTATTCCATTTTGAAATCATCGTTGGAAAGTTGCCTAAACACAGTTTTTTTAAAACGTTAATATGTCCTTACTTGCACGTCGAAAACCTGTAGTTCTTCCAGATATCGGCATTCAAATGCAGGGCCTTTCGAACCGAGTCTTGGTTCATATAACTTTCCGTAGAAGACGTTTAAAATAATATTCGCATAGGCTGGCGTCAAGCTCATCAGATGAGTCGAAGATCAAAGACTAAAAGAAAATAATAAAATTCTTTTATTTGCAGTTTTTATTTAATTTTGAACCGGGTGTGATTCAATCGAATCCTGATTAACGAACCGGCTCTCGGAGTGGATCATAGAAACTCGGAATTCTGTAGCAATCGTTGAGAAAATTGTTCGGATCCAACCTAAAATAATTATTTGGAGAAAGTTCCATTCAAAAGATCCCTAAAAAATCAATTTAGATCCTCACGCAGAGTTCAAAAGTAAATTCCTCGTTTGACTGGCCAAATCCTGGCATCCTTTCGACCCGCTGTGTACATTACAGTCCAAGAAACGGGTGCAGTTACAGGTATCATAGAATTGGTCGATTTTTCTAGATAGAAACCCTTCGATTAGAAATCAACAAAATTCATCTACCTTTCCGGCAGCAACCCCTTTACGTAAGCATAATCCAAAATTGTTTCATGTTCCGAGGCCGCGTCCCATAAATTGGCATAGATTAGGCCCTGAAAAACGGCTAATGTATAATTTTTTAACAATCTTTTTAAGCTAACTATGAAAAATGATTGATGTTGTATCAAAATTATATTAATCGAACGTGCAAACTTACTTTTAACGGTATGCTGGAATATCTATCATTATTTTCCAGCCATTGCAAAACTGCTCGGGACACGATTTCATTGGTATACCCACCTCCAATTAGATAGACTAGAAAATTCTTGTTATTTTTGGGGATTTTGTCACTACCATAGTCTGTAGAATTGGGATACAGCAAGTTAAAATTGAGCAAGGCATCTAGTAGCTCTGTGGCTACCTAAATCGAATTACGCTTGCAAAAATTTTACGCTTTCCTAAACGCTCTCTGCTAGCATGCCGAGTAGGCCAAGCTAGTTTTAAGCTCCAAAAGCTAATACCTCGCCATTAGTTTTCGATTTCGACGCCAACGAAAACGTCGAGCCAGGCGGTAGATCGAGAAATAGTAGATTTCCAAGCTAAATTTCTAAAATTCCGCAATTTGGTTTTTACTTACCTTATTCCAAGCATAGACATTTTCACTCAACTCCAGACGATTTTTATAAAATTTGAAGGGGGATGCCCCTTCGAAAATTCCCGATAACGGCGTGCACCCGAATTCAGCGCCCAGGTATACTAGCAACTTTTGGGAATTCGCTGGGTTTTGTGAGGTGAAGTACCTTTATTAATAAGTTTAAAAATTGTCACTAACACTACCAGTGATAGATATTATTTAAATAATCAGAATATAGCTCGAAATTCGGTTTAAAAAGCGGACCTGGCAAGTCGGTTACCTAAAATTCATTTTTCCAGTTTTGTTTCGTAAAAACTTGCCTTTCCGGAGGGTTCTGATAGTGCTGAGCCAAAAACCATAGCGGTTAAGAAAAGAAAAAGCATTTTCTAAAGAGTGGATTATACCTTTCAGACCATGGAAAAGAAGCGACCTCCAGTTAGATAAAAAATTGCAGGGCTCAAGGGCAAAAAAAACATTTTCTAAAGCTTAATAAAAAAAATACACCCTTAAAAACTCTAGAAAAGTCTAAAAAAGCAATTCCAAGAGTTGAAAGGCCAAATTTTGATCGTCTAAACTTTTTCGGAAGAGCAAACTATTGGCCTGCCCAGCTGGGTGGAAGAAGCATTGTCCAAACAGAAAATTGGCCCGCGAAATCAGGGCCTTATCTGTTGAAATCGAGGACTAACCGGGGTGAATCACCCGAATAAACGATCACAGAATGAAACTTGCACTAAACGGTGACGAGTAAAAATTTAAAGAGTGCTTAAAAATGTCAAATCATCAGTTGACGTCAACTCCCTCTTATTCTTGGGCTCACCGGGTCAATTTTGAGCTCTGTAAGCGAGCCGTAGTGTAGTCTTCGTCCTGTTCTAGTCATAAACCGTTTATTTCATTTTATTCGCCGTCAATTTGTGTCGTTTCTGTTGTAGATAACATTTTCTATCTCGTCGGATTTTCTTCTTGAGCTTTTGTCGGCTATTCTGCGCTTCTGATTTTTGCTTTTGATTCCAGTCCCTGATTCTCGACTTCAGCTCCTCGGCCTTGATGTCGGTTACCTAAAAATCGAATAAACGAGTGATGTTTTCTACAAAAAATTTGTCCTTTCTAACCTTGTCTATTTTCCTCGTTCTCCAAAATTCCTTAATTTTCGTCATCATCTCTTTGTCGTATTCTGATTTTTCTAGAACAGGGGCAAGAAACTACGATAAAATAATCTACCGGTAACTGATTGGTTTTGCCAGTTGATCTCACCCAGTACGGGTTCCCCATCCTTTACAATGATTTTCAACCGTGCCAGCATGATTTCCAACAGTACACGAAGCTCGGAAAATTTTACCATCATGATACCTGAAAATCTGACTTTTTCAAACCTAAGATACTACGAAACCTGTAAAACAATCAGGCGTGGTGTCTTCCCAGTTTTCGAGCTTTGCAAAGCCCTAAAAAGACATTTTTTAGATAGTTCGATCAGGGATGGATCCTGTAAATCGTTGCAGAGCTAAAACTACCAACCTCTCCCTCCAGCCGCGCGGGCGCTTCATAAAATAGGTAATCGATATACAACGCTAAAAACAGTTTCCAAAGTTATCGATTTCTGACCCATAGCCACGATATGAACCGGCTCAAACTGATGCCCAATAAGTAGCGGAACATCAGCATCTTCGCGCAGAGATTCTGGGCTCCACAACACGAGCAGTGCACCAATATGGTCCCCATTTCCCATCACGAAAAATGGGTAATCCGGGATTCGTTTGCTGCATTTTTCGGTCGATTCTAGCAGCTCTTCTATGAGGAGTTGTAGCACGATCTGCTTCTCGTGTAATCTCCAATACATAAGGTATCGGAATGCGCGCTCGTAGAAGGTGTGGCTGTCGATGAAGTCTTGTTGTTCCCGGGTTGGGGCTGGGGCGTCGTCTGGTGGACCATCATCCTGTAATAAAACCTTTTTAATGTCAGTTCATGCCAGTTACCTCCCAAGGACATGTCCACACCCACGACGCCCCAACGGCTGGCGGACGATTAGGGTGGAAGATGTACTTCAGGGGTAGTCGCTCCAAAGCATCCAAACGGACTGGTGGCATCTTGCTTGCTAATACAAATTATTTTGAAGTGAACTCGTGGTATATTTTGGCGCGTCATTTGTCTACAGATACAAAAGAGTCAGCTACTAAAGAAGAAACGATAAAATGTAAACAAGAAGGAAATTAACAGTGGTGTCGATTTTCCAAAACATACCCAGATCTGTGCCGCCTGCCCAACTGAAAACTCGTATGTTTGCGATGCGAAAAATCCCCACTTACCTGGACATCACGTTCTCGTGCGAGTGCCAGTTCTCGATTTCCGGCCATGCGTCGAAGCGACGCATCGAGCGTACACGCTCATCCAGGGAGCGTCTCAGCATTTCTGTCTTCGGCCTGGCGACGTCGAGCCGGTGCCAGTCATTTTGGGAGGTGTGCCTACGGACGGCTGAAAAGTGTAAGCATGTTTAGCAAATTCTTCAAGCACATACACGGGTCGCTGCCATACCTTCAAAATCTGTACGCACTTCCCACACAGTGTCCAGCCACTGCATCCACGAATGGTTCATCCCGTACGGTGTCGAATTCGCGAGCAGGTAGCCCGTCGTGCGTTGCGCGGTTTGCAACCCGAATTTCGCCGCTTCTTCCACGTTCTTGAGGGCGATATGCGTCAACCATTGCCAATCACGACTCCAACCCGGGCAGCATGCTTCCGGGTGGTTCGTCATGGTGTACAACGCAAAGTTCCATGCACAATCGAACAGCACCGCGTCCAGCCAGAAGAGTTGGAAAAACGTTTCGTGCAGGAAGAGAGAATTTCTTCGTTGGGTCAACGTTTTCGGCAGCTGCACTTGCTCGTGAAGATTGGTGATGCTCAAGGCAGCTTCGTAGGCGGCGGCCCGAAGTGGTAGACGCTCGAGTGGGGCTTTTTCCTTCAATTTCTTGCTGGTTACAACGGGAAAGGCATTACCTTAAAATTAATCGCCATCGCTTTCCGAATGCCGTTAATTTTGCAGCTGGACAGATCGGAGCCCCAAAAATGGTTTCCGAAAGGTCCGACGGGCAGTACGTCGCCATCCTCAGGGTTTGACGATCGTGCTATCCAAATCCCGTTACTGCTATCCTGCCAGGCATCATAGCCCATCTGCCAGCCTTGATCGCTCCTAGGAGGATACAGGTTACGTAAGAAGTATCTCTAATCTACCACGACGTATTCCCAGGAAATCGGAATGCCAGGATGAAGTCGTTGAAGTTGGTCTCCAAATCCAACGTCTTCATCCACCGCTGGAGCTTTGGATATTTTGGAGAGGTCGTGGTAGCTGGCAGATTTGTTGCGATCGGCTGGTCGGGCCCCGTAGAGACGCCCCAAATGGAGCCGGCAGGTTGGTTGACTGGCTCCTCCTCGTCGCTCTTGCTCAGTCCAATCGGCCTCAACAAGATGCCATTGCCATTGGTTTTGACAGAATGCTCAACGTCACATTTCTGAAATGTTCCGATGTTCGATGTCGAAATGTACTGATCCTACTATATATAAAAAAATAGAGTTTGTGTGTGTGTGTGTCTGTGCCACTTTGCATCTAACTTCCGTCATTCTGTCCGGAGGATATCTCAAGAGGGGAAGGGTATTAGGCTACGTGCGATATGTCATTAGGTGCGTAATGGCCCTGAGATGACTGCACGCAGATCAGATTTATCAAAATTGCCTATTTTCGACATTAAAATTAAGTTTTTGTTGGAAAATCGGCGATGCTCTTTGTTAGGACAAAATTAGCATGCGCCGGAAGTTCCGGTAGCCTAGATAATGGGCTAGCGAGCGCGGTTTTCATTTTTGTCCTCGGAAATCCAAGAATTATGCAAAGTGAAGTATATCATGCGATCAGACGGGGCCAGGGTTGAAAAGTCGCGAAGCGGCTTTTCAACCCCGGTTACAAAAAAAAAAATTTTAAGCCTAAAAATTTAAAATGACAGCTATCGTCGAAACCGATAGGGTAAAAAATGGTCCCCCTGTTAACAGAGAAGAACCGAAAAAGCTAGCTTTTAAAGACAAACCAGTTTCGTATAAACATCCAGCATTTCAGCAGCCGAGGAGCGGTTTTTAAATTCTTCTTCGCATGACCTGCCCAATCCTAATGCATAGGATCGCAAATCTCACTTTTGGACAAGATCTCGTAGTTTTTTCCCGATATCACTCGACTTTTCTGCAAACCCAGGATCGAGTATCAGACGCAACCAAGGCCTAGAAAGATTATTTTTGACTAACCTCGCCCACCGTCGTGTCATAGTCTCCCACATCACAAGGCCCATTCCGTAAACATCACATTTACAGGCGTGCTTAATATTGTATCTTTTGAAATGAAACCGATTGAAAACCTCTTCCGGAATCTCCTTCAAGTTTAAGATCTCGGGCGCCATGTATTGTTGTGTTCCGCGGAACAGCTGCTCTACATCGTTTGTAAAACGCATCACACCAAAATCCCCAATTTTCGGAATGTAGTCTTCCGTTAGGAAAATACTAGACGTCAGTTAGGTATTGTCCCGTATCCCAAGGAAAAATTACTTTTCTGGCTTAATGTCATGATGAACCATGTTATTTTCCGCAATGTAATCCAAACCATCATACAGCCCTCGAGCCCAGTAGATGATTGTTCCGACATTATACACGAGTTCAGCGTTGGTAATTACTAAAATTTGTCTCTGATTTAAAGAAATCAAGCTGCAGTATATAAATTAGAAAGGTACGTAAAGAACGTAGAAACGGCTAATTTGTGTGTTTTTTCCGCCTATATTGTGTATACCTGTAAATAATATATTGTGTATTTTTACAATGTTTTTCGTAGTTTTGATGGGCAGAAACTTCACAAAAAAATTTTAAACATTTTTCAAAATTCGAAAATTGGAACCCTTTTTCATAATCTTTGATACCTTTTGACAAAAAATGATTTAGATTGAAAATAAAAAAAATGATTCCCAAAGTTGCAAAGCTTTTATATGCTCTTGATAGCTAAAAACCGTGTAAAATAGTATTAAAATTGGTTGTATTTTGTTCTAGAGCATACAGGATGACTAGGAAATCCCCCTTACCAACAGTCATGCTAAATAGCCTACCATCATACAGCGACCCAAGCTCACAGCATTCCATAAATATCAAAAGTTCCTCAGAATCATTGCCTTTACATTCGTCGGGACGTTCATGGAATCGCACAATATTAGGGTGCATCAGCTTTTTCAGCGCGGTTAGCTCCTTCCCGTGTTCGGCCGCCGTTCCTTTCAGCTTTTTGACCGCTAACAGTCTAGAAAAATGAATATGTTTATCAAAACCACCACAAATTTTCTACGATTCTTCGCTTTGCCGAAAAACCTTACTTCGTAAAGCGTTCCTCAACGTGGACGACGCCAAAATTTCCACGACCAAGAGCTTCATCTTGTTGCTTCATGATTGTTACTTATTAAAATTCTTGAAATAGCTTTCTACGAATCTAGCCGTTTAAATATTTAGCTGGCTGTAGCGGATATTCTGGCAGCTTTATTGTTTTCGGCTCAGCTCTGTCGCAAGAAAACGTCAGAATCGATTTATTCCCCGTCCTATCAGCCCCGGGCCCTGAAAATGGAGAAGAAAGCAAGAAAGGTTTTATGTAGAATCTCATTATAACGTTATATGCTATATTTTGAAGTAATTTTCTTATTTTGGATTTTTGTCTTTTTTTGGATCTCCCATTAGTGTGCGAACGAGTATTCCAATACGCTCCGCCTGCGAACGCGCGCTATGGATCCAGTTACGCCACCTTTCCTGTCTCATTTCGAATTTTTCGTTCCTTTTGGAAAACTTTTCAGCAACTTCTTTTCCTTCTTTCAAATATAAACTTTTTTCTAAACTTCTAAATTTATTCTATTGTTGTGTCTTTCCCTGCTATTTCATAAGTCATATTGTATTTTCCAGGAGCAAAGACGCAGAACAATGGCACCCGCAGAGATCGGCGTCCTCGATTTGCCGGTGACTCTACTACCGATAATTCTGCGCCATCTCGACCTGGCCAGCTCGTACCGACTGGCGATGATCAACCGGAAAATGCGGGAACGTTTGGTGAAGCTGAGGGGCAAGCGTTGGAATGAGACGGTGAGGAATTTGTTATCTAGAAAGTATTAATTTCATTTTAGGTAACGCTAGTCTACCCACGGCATGGCCCCTTCCATGTCCAGCTTGCCGACGGCGATGCGATGACAAACATTGAGGCGATCAAGGTATTTATTGGTTTTCGACGCTCATCAAAAACGTTCTTTTTCCAGTTGCTGCTGAACAATTCGACGATCGAGATGCTGGCGCTCGACTCGTATCGCCCGGGCGGCCAACACTTTCTGCAAGGCGTGACGGCGATGAGCGTCTCCGGAAGCCAAACAGCCCTGCTTCAACTCGCCGACCGGGACCCCGAATTCGCCAACCAAATCGGTTACGACGGCCCGGGACTTGTTGTCGGACTCTGACCCGTTTCTGCTGTATATTTTCATCCCGCTATTTATCACCGCAATCTGTTCCTAAGTCTGTATTCATTCCCTCCAACATCCGAAATTTCCAAGCCCCCAAACCGGTGAATTCACAGCCGATCTTTCATTATCTATACGGTTCTCGTTATATTCTTCTCATTACGATCAAATCGAAACGGTTTTTGTTGTTTTTATGATGTACTTACAGGTTTCTTTTGTTTCAATGCATAATATTATTTTGACGTGATGTAATACTTGCAAAATCTACCTTTCACCTCGGTACTTTGAATAAAAATTCGTACTTGAATACTATGAAAGAATGCGCACACCATGAGCACCAGTGTTTTGCAAAGAAACATTTTACCAATCAGTTTCATAACGTAAGTTTGGCTTTTGGAGAGGTTTTTCAACCTAAAGTTTGCTACAAAAACGCTTCCATGCATTTTCTTCCTTTCTTTATGAGGTTAAAAGTTTCCTTTTCCTTATGTTCTTTCTGAAACCTTTTTTCAGCATTACAAATGCGCGGCCAGATGCACCCCGACGAGATGGCCAACTTCATCGCTACTGCCCCGCAGCGTGCCCGCTCCGACTTCATCTTCTTCGTGACGCTGGGGATCGGGATTGAGCTCGGTAAGGTGTTCTCTCTTTCCTTCCCTATTTTTGGGGTAGTAGCAGTACTAACCAAGTGTTTCTATAAATTCTTTCGCTTCCTGTTTTTACCTTTTTTTTCAGGCTGCTACGTCGCCAACCGCTTCCTGGGCTTCGCCTCGGTCTACAGCTGAATGCGCCGGGCCGCCCACCTTCAAAATTAAAGCTAATGCATTGTTCTGTTTGTATTGAGATAAATATTCGTGCTTACTTGTTGTTTGGCGATAGAAAAATGTAGAAAAAAACAATTTATTGAGCATCAACGCGAACATACGCCAATAGAATCTTTGATCAGCAAGAAGGAGCGACGCTTTTTTGTAGCAGAAAATTTCGTTCGAATCCAAATCACTTGTAACAATGTTGAGGTACTATTTTTAAGTATTGCGCTTTTAGAAATGACCCTATTTAGGAAGAAAGGAAGAAGGTATCATAAAGCGCATTAAAAGAAATGATTAGATTGTGAAAATACATAGTAAGCTACCGGTTCCAACTAGCTTGTGAAAGCTCGCTATTTTTACAATAACCGGGCCAAAAGTGCAATACAGAAAACGGAAAGTAGAGAAATTCCAACGGATGATTTTGTTGGCGTGGGAATCGGTTGAGTGACCGGGTTTGCGCTTGTCGTCGTTGTCGTAGTTGACGCTGTAACCGTAGAGGCATCATTTGGAGGTTGGTTGTTCGAATTTGGTGTACTATAATCGAGCCCCTTCACCCAGTTGTTGATGATCTGCGCCATTTGTGCGGGTCGTTCAGCGGGGACCATGTGGCCGGCGCCCTAAAAACGTGAAAATAGGTTATTTTTTGGAGTTTATATTGTATTGTAGCTACTATTTCAGGTAAACAAGTGTCTAGTTTCTATGACTTGATCCCTTACCTTGATCGTCACGACGTCAAGACCCTGGTTGAAGCGCGTCTGATAACCTCCAACCATCTTCATGTAATCGGTGGTGTATTGGAAGAACCAGGGAGTGCGGGTCACGTTCATCTATGATTTCCGAGGTTGTAATGGACGTTTAAAGTGACGTGTTTTTCGGAAGATAAATTGAATTAGATAAAAATTAAAGATGTATGCAAGTACGAAAAATCTCGAGTTCCACTTACCGTGTACTGGCCCTTTTCAGCCAGCTTGTTGCTGAACCACTGGGCGGCAAAGTGGCTGTCGAAGAGGTCGGTGGCACCGTTGTAGATGAGGACCTTGAAGGAAGGTTTGGATTTCGTAGTCGAAGCACAAATAAATAAAATAAAAGAAGTGGAGAAGAAGATCATAATCTTACCTTAACTCCAGCGGAAATCACGTCCTGAATCGGTTGGTAGACGTCAAAGTACTCGCGGACGTAGGTGGACTCGATACTAAAAAATACATAGGCTTTTGGCGAATTTTGGAAGCCCTCTCGAACTGCCAGAAGAAGTAGTTGTGACTTACTCCCGACTCTGCCAGGGCGGAAGGTCAGCCGGGATGTTCAGTGCCGTCCGGGTTTCCGCATTTCTCAAATAGGTACCCAGGCCAGCTCCCATATAGCAAGAATAGCCATCGAACGGGTCGGAGGAGTTCAGGTTGGCGTCGATTTGGACCTATAAAAACAGATTTATCTCGCTTTTTCCCTTTCTCTCTCTCCCTCTCTCTGCCCGCCCCCCTCTCTCTCTCTCTTTCGCTGCCTCCTCTCTCTATCTCTCTCTCGCTCTCTCTCACTTACAGCCGGTGTCTCAGCGTTTTGTCTAGGTTCTCTGTAGCACATCGTGTATGGGGAATATCCATTAAGGTATGGTGCATCCGAGTAGTCGTTGTAGTAGATCTTCTTGATCTTAAAAAGTAAATTATTACGTAAGTTTTTTATATACTTTTTCTTACCTGATCATAGCACGGATCCGGGGTCTTGGCCGGGAACGGGTCGGTCTTGTTCCAGGTGATGTGGCTCGAGAATTGGCACCCAATCTCGTCAACGCCAGCGCAGCACTGGTTGATGAGGGTACGGTAATCTCTGAAAGCCAAATTTGTAGTATTTTTCATTTTTATTCCTTGTGGTTTTGTAATGCTTTGTAGTGTTTGAAACGTACGTCAAGCTGGTCAAGCCACTGTAGTAAAGCTGATGGAATAGAGCGTCCGATTTCATCAGATTATAATCCATTAATCCGTTCCCAATGGCCATTCCCTAAAAAAAGAGATTTAGCTTTTAGAAGTAAGCTTCTCACGCCTTTTTTTTGAATGTTTTGAAGGAATACAGGTTTTAAAATGTCTGAAAATTAGTTTGAACATAAAATTTAAATATCAAATTTAAGTATTTTGAAAGCAATATTTTGACGGCTTTCAATAAAAAAATTGAAGGCAAAATCCATAGGGTTTCTTAGCTAGACCTACCTTGAAGTTGGCCTTGAAATCCCCGGACTTGACGCCGTCGACCAGCTTTTTGGCCAGGGTCGGCAAGTAGACGCCTCCATAGCTCTCGCCGGTGATGTAGAAGTCACGGCCCTGGTATTCGGGGAAGAGGTTGTTGATGAAGTCCTTCAGGGCTTGGTAGCTGTCCTCGGCGGTCTGAAGAAAGAAGGATTTATAGGCATAAGAATGACCAGAATCGACCCCTCTTCCCGAATAGGTATCGAAAGGTACGGGACATGCCCAAATAAATATTATAAATGGCAAGAAGTCGAAAAAATCCAACTTAATAGCAGATACTTACCTTACTATCACTCCACGTCAACGTCTCGGTCTTGTCCGTCGTATACGAGTACCCGACACCTACTGGAGTCTCAAGGAAGAGCATGTTTGAGAACTAAATATAGTGTTTTTTAAATATTGAATTCTGTCCTTACCGTGCCCCAGGAGAACGGGTTGTAGTAGAGCTTGTTGAAGTCGCGGCTGACGCGGTAGGGGCCATTTTCGTTGATGATACCATCCAGGGAACTGGCTCCAGGGCCACCGTTGAGCCACAGGATAAGTGGATCGGTCGCGGGCTTGTTCTCGGATTCGGTGAGCCTGAATTAAAGTGTTGTAGTCATGAATCTACAAGTCTCTCTCTCTCTCTCTCTCTCTCTCTCTCTCTCTCTCCCTCTGTCTTTCACTTACCAATAGTGCAGCTTGTGCGATCCGGTACCATTCAGGAAACCGCTGAACGAAGAGAATTTCTCGACAAATTGGACACCTGGCAGGCTGAGGACTCGGTCCATTTCCTAGAGTTTCATTCATGTTTATGTTTGTTTAAAAGTAATGTACCTTTCTGGCGCAAGTCGGAACGGTGATATTTGCCTGATAGGTTGGGAGTAGTGGTTGCGGCACAACGCTCACCTAAAAATTATTACTTGCAGGCTCGGCTTCAAGCATGCGAGAGAGAGGAGAGAGATAGAGGCGTAGAAAGAGCGAGGTAAGTAAAAAAAACTGACATCAACCGGGGTACTGTAATCATCCTTGTTCCCCAGGAAGTTGTTGATCATCTGGAGCGCGTACTGTGGACGGTCGGTGGGGACAAAGTGGCCAGCTCCCTATAAAGTAATCATTTGAACTTTAAGGAAAACCAATATGTCCTAGAAAAATGTACTTTTACTTTACCATACCTTTACAGTAAGCTGCACGACATTATTTGTCCACTTCTTGATGTAGCCGGCGACTTGGGGAAGGACAGTCGGGGTCTGCTTGTACCACCACTCGGTGCGGGGTAGTGTCACCTGAAACGTTGAAATCAGCAGGTTATAAATCCCGTGTCTTTACTCTTTAGCATAGATCTAGATATTTTAAATAGAAAATTTAGAAACTTACATTAAGCCCACGATCGACAACCAGATTCTCGATGAACCACTGGTCGCCCAGGAATTGGCAAATCGTGTCGACGTCTCCGTTGTAGATGAGCATCCTCATGTTGTTCGTGTCGTACCTAAAAGTATTGTTAGACAGTTTAAAAGAGAGAAAAGAGAGGGAGAAAGCGAGAGAGAGACGGGGAGATGCTTATAGTGGCCTCAGAGCGTCAAAAAGCCTACCATTTCGATGAAAGGATATCCCTGAACACCTGCGACATATCGTAATAAGCCTCCAGGGCGTGGTAGCTCCAGAATGAGCTGCGATCGCTAAAAAGGGAAATTTGGAAGCCCACATGGCCAAGAAGCAAGATTTACAAAGATTTACATACCGACAATCGCTCCACGTTTCGTTGGGCCAGTAGAGCTTGGCGTGGAGCGCCTGGATGACCTCCGGGCGGTTGAGGTAGCTGAAAAACGAAAGTTAGACGATAACAGTGGTTTGAAGTCGGGTTAATTACGGCTAGTCGGCAGATTCGGACGATATCGCCGATAGTGAAGATACCGAACAACAGGTTGCCGATAATCATACGCGAACACGTAAACGCTGACGGTTAGCAATCACATTCTATGCAAGAAAATTTCAATCAGATGCGCTTGCTCCTCGGCATTTTAGGCATTAAAATCTTAGCTGTCGGGTTTTCGACGCACCGGGTACATTGCTTATCTCATCCAGTCGACTTACCCCCAGGTACCCCCATCAGCGAAGCAGCTCAAACCATTGTTACTGTCAGTGGAACCGAAGTTGGACTTATTGTTGTTGTCTTGATACGGTTGCGCGGCTTTGATTTGGTTCGTCAGCAGTTGGTGTGCTTTGTCGGAAGACTGTACAGAGGAGCGTAACGTAGTTAGTAAGGGTGGAAGGTACCTGTCCTCTCCTATAACGACGAGCCTCCTGTCTCCTATCCAACGCCAGCTGCTTCATCTGATCCGCCTTGTCGGTGTAGCAGTCCATGTAGATGCTGTACGGGTCGTAGCTGAAAGAAAAGATGGTATTAGTTGATAAATTAGGTCTGAATAAAGCATAACCTTTGAATAGATTCGTTGTAAAGCTTAATAAAATATGATAAAAATTACATGTTTTCATAAAAGTTGTTGATCACACGGTCGACGACACGTCCGCAGGGAGACCGGTCTGGGTACTGGTCGTAGTCGCATTGGAATGGGTTTCCGGTATCGACGCAGCAGACTTGTTGAACAGCTTTCCAGTCGCTAAAAAAGAGCTTTTAGGGAAAAAATCACAGGACGTTACTAAAGACAACGTTTCGTACGTCGTCTAACGTTGGTATAGAGGATTGGGACGGAATTCCGGGTTGAAGAGAAAGAGCGAGGGCGAGAGACGGAGCGAACGAGTGAGATAGCATGTGCGAGAGACAGAGAAGGAGCAGGATGGGGAGACAGAAAGGGAGAGATAGAGAGTGATAATGTGATACAGAGAGAAAGCGAAATCACTCACTCAAAACCGGTGAATCCGTGACCGTACTGCAGCGGAACTTGAGAACTGTCTTGGAGGTACTCGCTGAGGATGCCGTTTCCAATTGCCATTCCCTGAAACCCACCAGTTTTCTGGTACCCCTTTCTCTTCGCACCTTCAAATTCAACTCCAAGTTTCCACTGCTGATGAGCGCGATCAAATTGCGGGTCAACGTCGGACCATAAACTCCGGCGTAGCTCTCCCCGGAGACGAAGAATTCGTTCTTCCTGTATTGTGGGAAGACACCGTCAAAGAAGTCTTTGATGGCCCAGGCGTTGTCGAGAGCGGTCTGCAGATGAAAACAGAATAACAATCCTTAAAGGGTTTCTACCGTATCGTCAGTGTTGTTGAACCTTGTCGCATCTTCGTAGTAGGAGAAGCCAACTCCAACAGGGGCTTCCATGAAGATGACGTTGGCCTGAATTTTCTAGTTGCTTTCGGATTTTTTGTGGTGTGAGAAAGAGCGAGAGCCAGAGAGAGAGAAAGTGAGAGCGAGAGATAGATGGAGCAAGAGAGCGAGAGACAGAGAGAGAGAACGAGAGAGAGATAAAAAGGGAAAATAAAGCCCACCTTCTTATTCCAAGCAAACACGTTCTCATACACCGTCTCCCCGTTGTCGTTATTCGGGTGAAGAGGACCAAGTTCGGTGAAGAAACCGCCTTAAAACGCGATATTCTCAAACTTGCCGGTACACACATACCCAGAGAACTGCATCCAGGACCACCATTCAACCAGAGAAGCACGGGATCGTTGACAGGATCGTTTTGGGACTCAACGAACCTGAAAAAAAACACAGAAAACCCGATCAGTTGACGATACGACCTACCAATAGAACAAATGGTGCGTCTTCGCGACCTGCGGGGTCAGATATCCGGAGAACATTCGGTAGGTGATTGGGAAGGTGATGCCGGGCAGGCTCTGGATCATGTCCGCCTTGGCTCTGGCGTTCAGACCGGTGTCGTTGGTGTTGAAGGGAGGCTAAAATTGGATATCTTTATCACTCTCGATCTAGCACTCGCTCATTCACGCTCTCTCTCGCTCTCTCTCTCTCTCTCCCTATCACCAACCACGTCAGGAGCAGCCTGTCTCTCCTCAGCTTGATTCATCTGGCATCCACTCAATGCCTGGTACGCCGGATTCTTCTTGGCCAATTGGATGGTGAACGGGACCGGGATACTGTAGTTAGCACTGCCCATCACGAAGTTGTAGATCATCTGCAGCGCCGGACCAGGGCGATCAAGCGGCACGTAGTGGCCAGCTCCCTAAAAACTACGGCTTGGGATGGGCTACTCCACTTACCTTAACCGTCAGCAAATCCAGATTCTTGTTGAAGCGCTTGACCTGTCCGACGGCGACTGGGGCGTTGTCTGGGGTTTGTTGGTACCACCACCAGGTGCGGGATTGGTTTGTCTATACAATTTCCAGCCTAAGTTATAGGGTCATTGTTACTCACGTCCAGTCTAGCGTGGGACTGCATATCGTACTCCACGAAATATTGGGCTCCCAAGTGGTTGCAGACCTGAAAATGCAGAGTATGACTTTAACCAATTTTCTGATGAATATAAAAGAGTATATAAAGTATATAAAGATGAATTCTCAAATTCAGCTACCTTGTCGACGTCTCCATTATAGATCAAAATCCTCATCCCGTTTGCCTTGTAGTAATACGAGTTGATGATGCGCTCAAAGTCATCGAGCATCGTCAGCTTGTCGTTTTGGACGTACAGGTTGGAGAAGATGGTGTCACTAAAAACAAGACGTTTTCTGACTTTTTGGACTTGAGCTGCTTGATGATTCATGATGCACGTTAAACCTTCCGAATCAGCACTCACTTGAAGCTGGTCCAGGGTGGTAGCGAGGTCGGGATGTGAAGTGCGGTACGCACGCTTTGGAGGTTCATGTAATTCGTCAGAGCCGTCAATCCCCAGCAGGGGAAGCCGTTCCAAGGGTCGGTAGATTGGGTGTTGATCTTGTCCTGGAAATTTTTTTGGTAGCTCTCTTTCTATCGCTATCTCCCTCCCCTCTCTCCCGCTCTCTCTAACTCTCTCGCTCTCTCTCTCACTCTCTCCTACCCCATTATTCTGGAAAGCCGCCGCGAAGAGCGGATTGCTGTTGTTGGGAGGCATGGCGACGTTGAAGCAGTCCTGGTAGATGTTGTACGGGTCGGTGGTGCCGTCGTCGTTGTACCACAACATGTCGGAGGCGTATTTGACGGTCTGAAAAGGTTGTTTCGTCGCTTCAAGAGCAAGAGTAGGTCCCTTTTCCGGTCCTCGACTCACCAAAGTCCCGCATTCTCCGCTCCCATTCTTCGGCAAGTAATTTCCATGTGAATCCACAGTGATGTAGTCAAAATAGTTGCACTCGGTGGGGTCCCGGAGGTGGGACTGTTGCTTCTTACAACAAGTGTCAACGAGGTAGTCGTATTCACTGTAAAAAGGATCATGAGGAACCGGGAAGTCAAACTCAAAACGATATTAGCAAGCTGCTTACGTTTTTCCGATAATTCCGTAGAGGTAGTGCATGTTGATGACGCCATTGACTTGGTCTCGGTAGTTGATCAAACCGTTGCCGACTGCCATTCCCTAAAAAGGCGGAATTTTGATAAGACAAGAGAAAGAGAGAAATCAGAAGAGAGACAGAGAGTCAAAGAGGCAAAGAGAGAGCTAGAGAGACAGAGAGCGAGTGAAACGCTCTCTCACCTTGAAATTAACTTCCAGCTCTCCCCAGCTGATTTCCTGCAACAGCCCTTCAGTCAACATCGGCAAGTAAATGCCGGCGTAGCTTTCTCCGGTGACGAAGAATGGATTCTAAATTGAAGCAGTTAGCAGAGATTCTTGGGAAAACCCCTATCCCTCGTGGCTAACGAAATCAAAGATCCACCTTTGCATACTCGGGGAAAACGTTTTGGAAGAAGTCCTTGATGGCAGCGACGTTTTCCTTTGCCGTCTAAAAAAACGCAACGTAGTCGTTTGTGGCTGGAAAATACCTGATTATTGTTGTAGTCATAATCACTATCGAATTGTTGATACGAGTAGCCGACTCCTCGAGGGGCTTCCATGTAGAGGACATTGGCGAACTAAAAATTGCAGTTTAGAGTTTGTATCTTGAATTTTTTAGTCGGGATTTGAGATGTCGAATTTTCGGATGTCGGTTTTTCGGAGTTTTTCTTTGTAGTTTCTACTGGACCCACCTTATTCCAAGAGTACGGATTCTCAAACAGCGTCGTTCCATCTTGGTTGACGCGGAATGGTCCGTTTTCTAAAAGACACTCTTGGGTTACGAGGATTTTCTGTTTTTATTTTTACTTCATTTCATGAACTGCCTTAATCTCTTTCTTAAAACTGGATACGCACCTGTGAACATTCCCCAAACCGAAGAACTGCCGGGGCCGCCATTGAGCCAGAGCAGGACTGGAGCGTTGGCAGGATCGTTTTGGGACTCGACGAACCTGAAATTAGGTATTTTTATTACCTTTTTGATCTTCGCAATTTTGTTATTTATAAAATTTATAATTTCCTTACCAATAATGCAAAAATCTGTTGTAGGTAGTTTGTAGGTAACCCGAGAATTGCCGGAAGTTGATCTCGAAGGTAAGGCCTGGGAGGTTGAAGATCTGAAATTAACACACTTAGTTAGTCTTGTAATTTTCACAGTTTTAGCTGCGGCCAAGAAAGCGTTAAATAAGCTTTTTTTTTTGAAGCTTACCTGATCAGCAGCCTTCCTGATATCCGGCTCATAGGGCCACTTGAAGTATGGCGGCTGGATGGGGGCGGGCTTCATGTTGAAGCTGCCGAGGCCGTTGCTAAAATAATATTTTTGTAGACGGACGTAAAAAACAACACGACAACACTGTACGGTAATACAGTAAAAAATTGAATTCTTACTTGTATCCCATCTGATTCACAAAATTGTTCATCAACTGCATGGCCTGCATCGGGCGTTGGGAGGGGATGAAGTGGCCGGCTCCCTACAAGAGAAGAAGATGTCTCCTTTTTGGAATGAGTGAGGGATAGAGAAAGAGAGAGAGAGAGAGAGAGAGAGCGCGAGAGAGAGAAAGCGACCAACCATAACAGTCGTAAAATCGATCCGATCCCTATAACGCTTCATATAGCCTCCGATGGTCGGCTGGTTTTGGGCCGTGTATTGGAACGTCCATTGTTTTCCCTCGGCCACAACCTAAACTACGTCTTGTAGAAGGATAACGATAAAAAAGCAAAGAAAGCGCTTTAGATAGTTTTTAAGACTTACGCTCTCATTTGTTGCTTGCGCAAATCGTTCGGTAAACCATTGGGCTCCGATGTGGTTGTTGATGGTGTCGAGGTCACCATGGGCGATCAGGAGCTAAAATAAAAATAAAAATAACTACATAAAATTTAGAAATTCCCAGTCATCTCGAAGCTAAGCCTAAGCCTTAGCCTAAGCCTAAGCCTAAGCCGAAGCCTAAGCCTAAGCCAAGCCTAAGCCTAAGCCTAAGCCTAAGCCGAAGCCTAAGCCTAAGCCCAAGCCTAGGCTTATCCTATGTAATCACTACCTTAATCCCATAGTCATTCCACTTCTTGCTAGTAACAGCATGCCCAAGCTGGACGGAGATGTCCTCGAAGTACTTTGATTGGTAGTCGCTCAGGTTACTAAAAATGCTGTCCTTATGCGTTCTACGGATTTGGCTTCCCAGGCCCTTTAAAGCCCATCAGTTTATTGCCATACGCTCGTTTTTGAACGCACAATAGAATTGACTTCACAAACCCTTAAAAACTACCTGCACAGCTGGAAGCTCTGGTTCAGCGGGATCATCTTGTCGACGTGCAGGGCTTCTCGGACGTCCCGTTGGTTTAGGTAGGTGACCATGGCCTGATCAGCGGTACAGGCGAACCCGTCGAACGGGTCGGATGAGTTGTAGTTGACCGCCAGGTTCTGAAAAAAAATCATTTTGCGCTAAAAGCCTAATTTCCAGACCTGAAGTCCATAGTAGCTCTGCGCTACGGCCTTTGTTTGCTTGAGCATGTAGCAGTCGAGGTCAATGTTGAAAGGGTCGATGCTAAACCAAATGTCGTTATTTTCTGTTATAGCCAACAGCTTTTAAGAGTATCGTAATTGAGGATTAACTTACCCATCAGTCAAAACCTTCGAATTCATCGCCACAGCTTGCTTCTTGCAGTCCGAGTCATCTGGGAAGCTGTAGTAGTTGCAGTCGATGCTCGTGTTTTGGCAGCTGCTGGCACAGGCTTTCTTCAGGGCTGTGAAGTCACTAGAATTAGGTAATACAATTTTTATGGATTTAAATCTAAGCAAGCTACTGTTTGAAAGTCACAACTGGGGTACCTACCCTATCTGGATACCTTAAATCGAAATAACATACCCCTGAGAAGTCAGTCCCTTGATGTAGGCGAACTCAAGCAGCGAGTTGAACTGATCCTTCTTGGAGAGAGCTCCGCTCATGAGCACGAGACCCTGGAAATGGAAGGTTTGATGTCTAGCCCATCACCGAACCTGTAGTTTGAAGTCGTCAAAGCTCAAGGCCCCTGAATCAAGTTGCTGGATGGCTGCGTAGCCGAGTGTGGAGACGTACACGCTTCCGTAGCCCTCACCAACGAGGTAGACGCCTGAAAAAGACAGGATCAACGTCTTTGGCACCAAATTGCGTTGAATTTTGGTTCCTCAACTCCCAGCTACGTTTCTAGGTTCGATTCGGAGCTTACCATTCTTTCCAGCGCCAGGGAACACCGTCAGGAAGTCCTTCAGGGCCAGCAGATTGTTGGTAGCAACCTGAACGTTATTAAGCAAGCTTTGAAAGTCGATAAGCTCAAGGTGCCTGGAAAAAGTGGCACTCGAAAGCTTACAGCATCATCATCGCTGTTGGCAGTGCCGGGCGGGGAGAAGCCGACTCCACTTGGGGCTTCCAGGAAGAGGAGGTTGCCAATCTGAAAAATGACTGTTAGCTCGAAAATGGATTAAAATAACATAATCGCGGGGTAAGCCTAAGCGAAAGCCAAGTCTTGGCATAAGCCTAAATCTAAGCCTTAGCCTAGGTCTAATTCAAAACCTGCGCCTAAGCTTATGCCTAAGCCAACGCCTACGCCTAAGCACTGGCTTAAGCCCACGCCTAATCCAAAACCTAAGCCGAAGCCTAAGCATCATTTTTTCTGCTTTCCTCATCATACAACCCGATTTGGTGTCACCATCCCTTTAAAATCGAAAACCTTAACCGTTACTTTCCATCACTTCCGCCCTGACCTTTCGTTTTTGCCCTCCCCCTCCCACCCAGCGGCTACATCCATTCCCTAATCACTATCACCTCCCGCCAAAGACAAGACAATTTTTGGTTCCGAAATCATGGCTAGCCCCCTTCCTTCGCCACTCCACCTCCCGGCCATAATGTTTGCTTTACGCGCCCATTAGCGTCGTTTTTATGTGCCGATGGGGTGGCCGCTTTGGGACTGACTTGGAGTATTTGGAATGGGCACGCACCGTACACGCCCATTTTCACGCTATTGACCGCGGTGGGCTCGGCGAGAATTTTTTGGATTGAATGGGAAGCGTTTCAAAAGGATGACTATCCCGGCCGAAAGTCGGACAAATCAACAAAACGATGGAAAATATGGATTTTAAAACATGGAGGAAAATAGCCCAGAAATCTCTTATAATTTTCAAAAATTAGACTTTTTCAAAAGGCAAATCCGGACCTCACGTATTTTTAGAGATTACCAAAGAAACTTAAAAAAGGAGAACCTAAGAATTACTGCAACTACCAAATAGCTAATCCATAACTTTTCAAGGCTTGAAAAATTTGGCTTTTTCAGAAAAGGCACTTTAGGGTTCCACGTATTTTTAAGGAGAGCCAAACGATTTTTAAAATCTAAACTAAGAATCACTGTAACTATCGGCTTGCCGATCCAAAACTTGAAAAAAGTATTCGAAAAAGCGTAAAACGTCGGCAAAGCCATTCTTTTCTGAAATCATGTAATCCGGAATTTCACGTCCAGATAAAACCGACAAAAAGAACAAAATAAAGGGAATTTCGCAGGTTGCTGTAATGCCAAAATCGGCAATCGATGACTTGAGGGGGAAATCTTGAAATATAGGCTTGCTATGGTTCGAAACATTTTAAATCCTATTTTGTGTATAAAACCTCGCAAAATTAAGCGAAAAGTTTGTTGGGATTAAAGTGGAAACTGACGCCGTTATTAGCTGAGCCTACCTTATTCCACGCAAACGTGTTCTCGTTGAGCGTCGTTCCATCAGCCGATGGTTGGAAGGGTCCGACTTCTTGGAAGGCGCCAATCAAGGAAGAGCATCCGGGGCCACCGTTCAGCCAAACGATCAGCGGCAGATTTTGTGGCGTCACCGACTGCGCTGTGAAGTACCTGGAAAATTGGGAATTTCCGAACTACCATAAAAATTAAAGTTTATGCTACAGTATGCTACTGAAACGTCGGCGGCAGGGTACGGTAGTTTCCAGATGACGTATTATTGGAAATTTTTAAGATTTACCAGTAGTGAAGTTGGTTGTTCGAATGCGTATTCGAGTTGTTGGCCCACAAAAATCCGGAATACTGGTTGAATTGGATGGCGAAGGTGACGTTCGGGAGGGCGATTACCTAGAATTTACCAAAATTAAAATTATAGAAATCACTCATTCAGCTACTGTAGCCTCCAATAATGCTAATTTTCAAAACTCGAAACTTGGCGACTATTGTAGCGTTTTAGCTAACGCTAACATAAAGCCTAAGCCGGAACCCGAGCCTACGCAAGTAGCCTATACCGAATCCATCCTGAGCCTAACTAAGCCTAAGCCTAAGCCAGGCCTAAGCCTAAAACTAAGCTAAGCCCAAGCCTTTGCCTAAGCCTAAGCCTAAGCCTAAGCCTAAGCCTAAGCCTAAGCCTAATCCTAAGCCTAAGCCTAAGCCCTAAGCCTAAGCCTAACCCTAAGCTTAAGCCTAAGTCTAAGCCTAAACCCAAGACTAATAAACCTGAAATTCTATCCCACACCCCGCCTACCGTACCCTATCCTGCTCAGCCCGCGTTTTCTGAGCCAGAGCCCCTTGGCTTGCGGCCAATATTAGGGCCACTAGGGCCCATCGGAGTGCCATTAGAGAGACCCCTCCACCTAGCCGAGACTGTCTAGGCGATTGCGCTTCTTCCGTGGGGGCAGCGGCTCCAAAAATGATTCTCCGTGGCCTCCTGGGGCTTTTGTCCGCTATCCGCCTCCACCCTCCTCCCCTCGAATTGTGCATACAAGCATAAAACGCGCGAACGACATCCCGATAAGACTCACCCCCGGCTCTGCACTGATTTCTTTTTCGGGCCCTCATGAATTGGGTTTGGGGGTGACGTGGCGTTTCGGAGGAGGTGCCCGTGAATAGAGGTATTTTTTTGGGAGGTCGGGGCAAAGGGCGATCAAAAATTGGAACTATTAAAGACTTGTAATAAGGGAGAGGATTCCGGGTAGGAGGATTCCGTTTCACCTGACGAAAATCCTGCTTTCATCCATCTTTCGGCTTCTTCGGTAAATGAGTGGTATTTTTTAGAGTTCGGGGCAAAAGGCAATCAAGAATTGAGTTGGCCAAAACTCTGTAATGAAGCCGATACTTCGGGGTCTGCAAATTGTAGACTTCACATTGTCATGCTTGACTTTGCCACTGTTTCACTGTTTTTTTTTGGAGATTGTCTACAAGACCTGGAACCCGGAAATAAAGATTTGAATAATTTTTCAAAAATTTTCAAGGGCATTTCTACGATTTTCACATGTTTGCACAAGCACTCTCCAGGATGATTCATAAGATATGAAATACCGTTCGAATTTATAGAAATTTTCGAAATCCTTTCCTCTAGTCGGGTACACGCCCAAAACCGTTTGATGATTCATAAAGCGAGTCTCCACCGATTTCTGAAGATTTTAGAGTCGGCGGCAAAAATAGATAAACGGAATATCACTGCAATTGGCCTTGTGAAAACATGGATGTAGTCTGGAAGCCAGTAGAATGAAGCAGAAAAATACTAAAGTTTCCTCGAAAAAAACACAAAATTCAACAAAATACGAATTTTTGTTAGCTTTTCCCCCAGATTATTTTGTATGTTTTCATGGCAATAATGCAGTGGAAACATCAAAAGCGGCCAGAATTACATTTTAAAACGTTGATTAATCCTTAATTTGAAAAGCAACACCTTTTCTCAGGGGTTCATTTTTTTCGAGAATGTTTTAACGACATTTCTGCGTGAATCTACATACCGAAAAACCAGAATAACTGCATTTTCATGTTATTTTCATTATTCTTTTATTATTCGCAATACGATCCACTCCCCACCCAATTTTTGAAGGAACGAAATTCGAGAAGATTCCCCCGGGCGCCCCCTTTTGCCGTCTGTCTACGGTAACCGCTGGGCCTAACGAGGCCTCCGCACCACTCCTGTGCACAGCCCTAATCACGGCTAATAACAAGACGAAGAAGCGGCCCCCGGGGACTTCATCTCTCCCACCATCACTGCCTTGCCCTGAAAATTACAAATTACAGAATCATCGCGGAAAAACCGAGCACCAGAAGTGGGGCCTCATCACAATAGTCCCGCAGCCACCATCGGTTTCTCTAACAAAATACGGTAGCCATGTGACTATCACTATTGGGCGATCGTCGAAAATATCTTTGTTTTTGTCTTTTGTAACGCCTTCCATTTCTCATTCAAAGATACGTGGAATCGAAAAACAATTGGAGTCTGGGAATGGGGTGATTTTTATTTTTAATTCGTCGTTTTAAATCGGGTTTGGGCCGACGATTTCTGAAATTTGTTTGGATAATTAAGAACAGCTATCATATCCAAGCGAATTTCGGTGTCTAACAGCCAAAATGCCGACATCCGGGTCCCAACAAACTCTTAGCGGTGATTCGAATCCCACGCCATTTTAAACAGCTAATTTGCATGTCTGGATTTCGCTGCCTGGAATATGGCATTCATCTTTCTGGTTCTCGGGATGTTGCTGTTTTGCTCAATTGAAGTTTTTTCTTTAATTTTTGAACCTGAAAATATCGGGCTTTTCACAATATTAGTCCGCAAGCCTTCCGCTGTCGACAAAATTGATGACAAACGTTTTTTGACGCCTCCTTTGACCTTTTGGCAATTTGATTTTTTTGTACCATTGTGTGCGTTTCCTGAAAATGATCGGCCAATTTAAGCTTTCCGAGATCTCTGCGATCGATTTTCCATATTTTCCAGATGAGCACACCTCACAGCCTGGCAGATCACCCATTCCCTGGTGGCCAGACGATCCTCGCGCAGACTTTGGCTTTTTATGAGGGGTGAGTCGAGCATTAAGATTTTGCAACAAGGTGTGCATTGTCATTGTAGCACAACTGAGGCCTAGGATTATGTGCTCCAGGAACGGCAGTTAGCTGTTTCTCGATTGCATAGCTTTCCGGAGCAAAAATTTTGCACTTTTGGAGCTGTTTCCGCAATTCTTTATTCTCAAATTCTTCCAAGTCTGCCTACCAATTTTTCTTTCATTCATGCGAGCAAGGCTGCCACAAACCGCCTGAGTAAACCACCTTTTCGATTTTTCAGTTTTTCTGTCTAGGGGTATTTCTAGGTTTTTGTGTCCCTACCATATTGCATATACTGATAACCATTGTTCTAAAAAGAACTCGAACCCCGAAAAACCGAACCCAACTGGTCACCCCCGATTCCATCCGAAAGTCGCGACTTTTCACGCTTCAAATCCAATCCCCCGAGCGCATATCTGCCGTCCTCGCCACTCTTGCTGGAGTCAGGTCATTTACATATTTCAGCTGGAGGGGGGGGGGGAGGGGGGTGGGGGTAGCTCTACCCTCCGGCTATCAGTTTGTGGGATCTTCGAAGCTGGCTAGAATCATGGGGGGGGGGAGCTCGAGTGGATGTTCCAGCAATAGTGGTGGTGGTGGTGGGACCTCCCATAAATTATCCCTCCTGCTACCACCACCGGGCATGACATAGACAGACAGACAGACGGATAGATACATACGAACATTCGTATCGACATACAAACCGGCAAATAGACACACTGACAATCAGACGGAAATAAAGACGAACAGACAGAAAGAAGAGCCCGAAACAGATAAACGGTCAGATTTCCGGATTGACACAGATACAGATGTACGGGGAAAACGGGCAAGCAAACAGACAGCCAGACAGACAAGAAGGCAAACATGCAACAATCAAAACGGAGAGCCGGCGGACATGGTGGTTTTTCAAAATACAAGACCGAAATTTCTCAACGTCGGTTTTCTGAATCCCGAAAATCAAACGCCGAAACTGAATTAAGTCGAACGGTGTCCACCTTTTTATTATGGTCTATAGGTCTTCCTCGGAAAGAGTCATCAAACACGACCAGGCCCGTAAGAGGGGGGCGAGGGGGCGAGCCCCCCGAAATCGGCCGAAGGCCGAAAAGTTCATAAGGGGGGACCCTTATGATTTAATTTTTCCAAAAATTTTTTTGCCTGCGGCGCTGTTTTTGTCTATTTTTAACACTAGTTTTAGTGTTATAAACCTTATGTTTTCAAAAATTTTGCCTGCGGCGCTGTAGTTTTAGTCATATTAGTGAAAAATTTTTGGCGTCGCCCCCCCGAAATTTGGGTTTGTTACGGCCCTGAACACGACGAATTCGACGTTTTCGTTTTGAAATTCTGACATTTCGACATTTTGATTTTTCAGTTTGTTCCTTGACCCTTCTGGATATTTTTATACAAAATCGACAAACATACATGCAAACAAACAGCTAATTTACACCAATTTGTCAGCGATCCGCATTCTTGCTGGGGGCATTTTTCACGCCACTCCCCACTTTCGAGTCGCGTCCTCAAAATTTGCATTTCATAAATGGGCGGCTGGCGGCAGGTGCTGGAAACGGGGGTGGTGGCGGAGAGCAGTGACACACTGTGGAATATGATAATTTTGACAGCCACTGCTCCCGGCCGGAAATTGGTCGTTTTGCTGGTCCACGCTGGCACCAAGAACAATGACGATGAAAAATGGGATTACAGGATCTACAGTAGTCTTCATACTTTCCTCGGACTTTCTTAGCTTTTTATACTGTAGTATTACTTCCACCGTCAAAACCCATTTTTTGTTGAAAAAGCTAAGTGGAAGAATGAAAATTTATTATAGTAAATGACTAGCTTCTGATCCAATTTTTGTACTCTTTGGGGGGTACGGTACTGTTCTAAAAATTTCTGGTTTTGGCGCCTATGTTTTAGCGCTTTAAAAAATTTTTGTGCTGTAGTACGGACGTCAAACGTATCGAAAAAGGCCCGTTTGGTAAATTTATATTTATTGGCTGTCCTTTTTAAGACGGGTTTTAAATATAATGAACAATAGTAGCACTGTAGCTTGTATTTTATACCATCAGAAGTAACACTTTCCAAATTCGATCCCGCTTTTTCAACGAGCAGCGGAAGTGGAAGAATTTTTGCAAGGCGAGAGGGCCCTTACCCTTAACTGACTCCTTTCGACCTTCTTCGCGCTCTCTCTCTGTCTCTCTCTCTCTCTCTCTTTCGCTTCAAGATCGATGGGCTACCGTGGCCCCGAGAGGCCCGTTTGGGGATTGGCCAGGGGGCGGACCCAAAATAGGGAAAGGGCCCAGGGCCCGAAGCTAGGGCCCCCTCCACCACCAACTAATGAAGACACGTCCCCCGGGGCCACACACAAGACAATCCCCCTCGGACCCGACTGACCCTGCTTGGCCCCCGAGGATCTTCACGCAGCTGATCATCTGATCTGATCAGCCCCAGCCATGTTTTTCTCCGATTCGACGACCCTGCTGAGGTCGATGAAGGAGGAGGGGCGGAGGGGAGCATGGGGTCTCCCTGACGCTAATCCTGCCAGGTACTGTTTACAGGAGTGGGGCGCACTGTGCTTGATTTGATGGTTTTTGGACTCTAGCTTACCCAGAATTTTGTTTTCTGAATCTTGAAGTTTTTGATTCCGCGGCGACTTCTTTTCCCACCTCCTTTTTTCGCAGAACACTTTACTTTCTCCAGTTCATTTATTGCTAGGAGCAGTTGGCGCTACAAATTTAGCGTAGAAATTTCGCGCCGACGTCCTGCTTCATCAACACAACTAAACCTTATGAACAAACTTGGAATTTCCAGTTCTTGCAAAATTGAAAAATTTCGAGCCTAAATTTTTACGGTGCCTTTCAATTTCGATGCACATCGGCACTGACATTTTTCTTTCGAAGTTTACACTTTACACCAAAACAAAACCCAATATCCAATTTTATAACTGTTTCTAAAATTCGGAGATTCGTTGGAGTTTGAAAACAGAAAGCTTTTAAAGTCAAATCGAAAAACCATCTTTCATGGAAAATCGCAAATTGTGGCCAAGTCTCCTTTCGTCGCACCGACTACTTTTTAATCTGCGTCGTGAAGCGTAGCAGTGCAAACAAAAAATAAACAAAATTCTGCAAAAATAACAATAATTATGTCCAAATTCTTAAAATCGTTTGGACCTCATGTAACACATAAAACACTGTCGTTTTACATGCGAAATTCCAAACCTAGCTTACAAACCTAGTAATTGAGAGCAATGTCGGTACAAAACACTGTAATCCGAGAGTTGTATCTCGGTTTTAGTAGTAATAAGCATTGTTCTAAGGTGAAAGTGAGAAAATTACAACTAGCGTCAAAATCGTAAAATTCTTGGCCGCACCGTTGTTCCTGGTGTCAGGACCAGATCGTTTGTTAATTCGACGCCATGTTCGGCAGAATAGGCTAGATAGTCGGCCGAGCAGGAATATCCAAATCCAAAGAACAGCTGCTTCCGTCCGTCGCAAACGAACTGGCCCATTTGGGTTGGCGTCTAGATGGTGGTGCCACCACCATCCTCGAGGGAGCCACCCCGGCGGCTTGAGCCCGGTCCCCAGGTCCCACCACGGGGACCTGCCCGCCGCTCCCCGAGCAATTTCAGATGGGCCAGAAGCTGGCTGCCTGGCTTCACAATGTCGCTTCTATGCCTTCTAGAGCCCTTCCAAACGATCTTCGCCACCACGCCTCCTTTTTTTAATGAATTTCACGGCATCTTTTGGCCGAGGTCGGGCCATTTTCTTCACCCGCTCCGTCGACAGGCGTCGTAAACTTGACGCCGTTGTTTGCCTTCCTAGCCCTAGCAAAATTTGGGTCCTAGCCTTGGGCTTGTATCGATTTTTCGTTCTTAGCTATTTTTCTAGATTTTTGACGAAGATAATACTAATCGATATCGCGAAAAATCGATTTTTTTTGTGACTGATAGTGACTTTTCAGTCATTTTTGGTCTTGAATAATCATTTTGACGTCTAGAGCTTTCGTCTTCTTCAAAATTTGGCGCGTAGCATGGTAATAAAGTCAGGTTTTGATTGGTACGACTGAAAAACTATACTTGAAGCACCCAAACGTCGAGAAGCAATAGAAAGAATCTAATTTTGTATAGAAATTTTTTCTTATTTGTTTAAAGGTTTAGAAAAGCTTTTTTCTTATCAATCAGATAGCTTTACCTTGCTCGTGCTCGCATGCGGTCCCCTCTCAGTCTCTCTTTATCACTTTCTGGCCGTTTCTCTTCCTCCCCTCTCTCGCGCTCTCTCTCCCTCTCGCATCTGTTTCTGCCTCTCACTCTTTCTCATTTTAACGATCTCGTCTCCCTTAAAATGCACCAAAACCAATTGATCACAAAGGTATTAAAAAGAGACATCCCTTCCTTCCACAGTCCCCTTTAAGCTCCATTTTTCAGCTCCCAACTCGCCCGCGCCCATTTCGAGAAACATCCACCAAACAACTTGAGAAAAAGCAACTTTTTCCACTTTGTCATCGCGCTCTACGATCGGGCCAACCAACCCGTGGAGATCGAGAGGACTACGGTAGCCCTTTCTTCAGCAAGTAATTGTATTGTTTTAGTTCGCCGGCTTCGTGGAAAATGAGAAGGAGGTCGATGGGCAGCACACAAAAAACGGCATCCACTACAAGCTGTATTTGGCTTATCAGAATGGTAGGTTTTTGGCGAATATAGTGCCCTTTCAAAACGACCAAAACAATTCAAAATACAAAATTAGGAATTTTAAAATCCTCGGAAACTATTAACATAGATTACGGTAGCAGAAGCCAAAAATTTACTTTTTTGCGCTTTTAGGAGAAATGTATACCTTAAGACAATGTCTTTCTTACTCCTCCTGAATACCTCAAGTTTCATTTGAACTTAATTTCTATGACTAGATTTCTAACATTAAAAAATAAAAATAAAATGCCGCTCTGCACGGAACACTTATTTTAATTTCATAGATTTGGAAATCATTTCTTGCGTTGCTAAGCCCTGTTGTATCGAGAATCCGCCTTAAAAGGAAAGTTTGACTCCAGTTTCCGGTAACTCGCATCCTCCTAAGGCCCGAATGACCCGGGGATGCTATCTGTCCCCATTTGGGGTAATGAGATTACCGGGCGGCCGGCGGGAACGGATCCACCCTATAACGGGAATAGCTTGTTCTCTTTCACTCTCACTCTCTCCCTCTTTCTCTCTCCCCCACCCACCGGTAAACCACTCAATGGAACACCCGGTTCCCCCTTCTTCCAAACTTGCGCCCCCGGGGCTCATCCCTGATATTGTTAAAACGAGTACCCCGGCCCGGGGTGAGTCCATTAGCTATTGAAAGGGCCAGAGGGTACTAGGGCCAACTCCCGAAACGGGGGGATAGGCCGGAATTGGGTTTTGGAGCATCTTGGAGCCTGGCGTGGGACGTAGGATGACGAGGAATTTGAAGAAATAGGGGGTAGAATTTGCAGAAAAATTAAAGATAATGTTCTAGCCACAAAACAGCTGATTTTTCGTTTTTGCACTGACCCGATTGCTAAAAACCGTCTTATAAGCCGTGTCTAAAGCGGTGTTATTTTTTCGCTAAATTCTCGCTAATGCACGACGTCGGAAGAGGGAGATAGCGCCATCCATTTAAAGGATGACAAAAAATTCGATTTTTGGAAAATAAAGAGCCAAATTTCGATTTTTCTTTTCAGGAATCCGCTGCGAACAAGACCTTTTCGTCCGGCTTATCGACAGCAACAGCAAGCAGGTCAGGATTTTTTCTCTTTTTTAAAGAGTTTTCTATTTGGCTCTCAGCCAGATGTTTATGTCTTTTTCAAGCTGATCGATAAGTTTTCTAGGACTTGTAATACTCCTTAAATTGACAAAGCGCACTTTGCAGTTCAGCGAGGACAGGATTGTGACAGTTTTGGACAGTCTAAAAGTTCCCTTTATCCAACTTTATTCGTAGCAAGTTGGCGGCGGTCTTCAAGTCCTAAAGCGGATCGGATCGGTTTATGAAAGTTTGGAAACTTCTTTTTAGAGCCTTCAAGTGTTCCACTACAGTACTAAACCTTCTCTCGAACTCACTTCGTAACAAAAAAAAGCAATTCTTCATCTTTTCCAACTTCAGAAGGCCTGGCACTAGCCGTCAGACGGCCTAGGGCCATATTTGTTACCCTTTATCCGCCTCTTCTTCTATCCGTTTTCGAAAAGAAGAGTATCCGGCTGCCAAAAACGGGGAGAAGCCGAAGGAAGAGCCGGGGGGTGAAGCCGAAAAAGGGCTGTGAGGGGGAAATGTGTCTTCTTTTGCCACTTGACGCCTGGCCCGGATACACCAGCCCAATCTCTGGGGGTACGGTAGCCAAGATGGGCAGAGGGAGCGGAAGGCCAAGAAACATGGCGCACGGACTGGGATGTCGGGTTGGCTATATAAAGAATGTTTTTTGGAGCAAAAATGGGAAGAAGAAGATGGGAATTTGAGATTAAAGGGGCTGAGAACGTGGGAATCCATAGCTTATAATTTGTAAAACCTTAACCTCATGAGGCTAAAGACGTCAAGAAGACAACGTTTCCCTTAAAAAAAGCCTGAAAAATATGAATGGCTCTGGAAATAGTTTGGTGCGTGCAAGAATAGCCTAAAAAGTGTACCATTCCTCTGTCGAAGCCAAAATATCATAGCGGAACCGATTTACCGGTATACCTTTTGATAATCCAGGCTATACAAAATTTGGGTTTCCTCTAATGATTACATGTATCGATTTGTTTTAGGCGATTGCCTACGAGGGCCAGGACAAAAATCCGGAAATGTGTCGAGTCCTTCTGACCCACGAGGTGATGTGCAGTCGGTGTTGCGAGAAGAAGAGCTGTGGAAATCGGAATGAGACGCCTAGCGATCCGGTTATTATTGATAGGTGAGTTTTAGATTACGAATTTCTGCGTGAAAAGCTATAGATTTGTCTTCAGTGTTCCTTTAAAAAACGGTCATTTGGTCAGGATTAATGTTTTGACTTTCCCATGCCCAAATATGAGTCGTCAACAAAGCAACACACAGTCTAAAGGCGATGAGAAGTCAGTCGCCTTTGGCCATCTGTCCACCTCCACCCACACACCCCGGGAATCCTTTGCTTTTTCGGGTTGACGTTCGTCTGTCTCTCTCTCTCTCTTTCCCTCTCTCTCTCTCTCACCATCTCTAGTGCCAGCAGTCATTCAATCAAGGGAAACGGGCACCACCGGATTGCGCAATTACAACACACTCCTACCCCCGCCGTCACTGCCCACCATCTAGCCATAAAAACCGGGGAAGGGGTGCGCGGTCGGGTTAAGGAAATGCCCTTTCCGGCTGAATTAAATTCGATTGGTTTCTTGGGTCTGGAACCAATTTTGTTGCTTTTAAGGTTTCAGGTTTCAGGGGTCTGTCCTTATTACCTTACCCTGAAAATCCACAGTAACGACCGAAACGTCTGCTGTTTCAAAACGTCCAAATCAGACAAGAACTGCTCTGAAAATTCTAAATAGTTTCGTTTCAGATACTTTCTGAAGTTCTTCCTGAAATGCAACCAGAACTGCTTGAAGAACGCGGGGAATCCACGGGATATGAGGAGATTTCAGGTGGGTTTGCTTCTTTTAAAGGAACCCGAAAGCGTGTTGACAGCTTTGTCTACACTTAACTTCTAAAGTTCGTATAAATAAGGTACACGACGCGTTTTTTTGTTCGAATACGTTGAGCTGCTCTTGAAATTTTTGCGCTGCCACGATCCGCTCTGAGACCCCAGGCTACCAGTGTCAGCCTTTCACCATTGTCATTGCCTTACCCCAGGGTATTGAAGCGTAACTAATTGACCGATCGAATATGCGTAGGAGAGCAGTAGCTCAATGGCCCGCTGGAACCCGAAAAATAGAAAAATGCAAATGACACGAAACGAAAAATTTCATTAAGAAAATTCTGAATTCAGGTGGTGCTCGGGACGACGCCTCGAGTAGATGGCCCAATGTTGGCGGTATCGGAGAATATGTTCGTTCATAACAACTCGAAACATGGTCGCCGAGTGAAGCGGAATGATGCTAGTGATGGTGACGATGCCGGAGAAGAAGCTGGTGAGTTGAATTTTCAAGTTTGCGATATCTCTCTCTTTCTCTCTTCCCCTCTACCTGTCTGTATCTCTGGCTCTCTCTCTCTCTCTCCCTTATTTTTCTGCGATCAATTCTTTCCTCGCAGCATTTTAAGCGTAAATTAGCCAGCCACACCCCGGGGACAGGAGGTGCGCTAATGACTTTGTGGCCCTCTTTCTCTGCGTCTCTCCATCTTACAACCTCTCTTCCCAATGCCCCGAGAAGCGGATCCATTGCCTAATAGGATGGGTGTTGGGCGGGAGGGGGGGGTGGGGTAGTTATGACTTGCCAACCGTCTGTCACCATCTAGGGTTTGGCGAAACCACTAACATCTTTGTAAGCACCCTTGGGCCAGGGTATCGTTTTGGGGATTAAGCGGAAGTGTGAACTAAGTCTATTAATGCTTAGTAGCCTTGATGAAGCAATCTTTAGAAACCAGAAGCCTTTTCTCGTCCTCTAGCACTTCCGGTTCCCTTTAAAGGTCTTGGCAAGGCAAGTCTATTGATTTTTTAGCCCCTTGTCGCGGGCGCTTCAGAACTTACAGAAATACGTAGCCTACAAAATCCATAGTCTTTCCTTAGCGATCCTTTAACCCAATCCTTAATTTTTTCGCATTCCACGAAAATTAAAGCTTCTATGACTCTATGACTTCCGAGTCTCCTTAAGATAATCCGATTTACGATTGCTTCTCGGAAGAGATCAAACGATAATCCGGGGTCTTCGATTATTCTCTGGTGGGCTGTAAAAGCTTCTAGCTTTCCGGATCCGGCCTATGAATAGGGTGAAGCGAGAGAGAGAGAGAGAGAGAGAGAGAGAGAGAGAGAGAGAGATATGGGGGAGGAGCCAAGAATTCGGGCCTGGGGGCACTGGATCGAACCCATCTATAAAAACGTCACATATGCTAATGGGGTGAAAGAGGGGGGGCAGAGGCAGAGGGGGCCAGCCGCCAGCTTGGCCCTATATCATCCCCCCAGTAGGACCCGGATAGCACTTCCCAGCATCGGGACATGTTGCCTTTTGAGGGAAGGGACGGGAAAGGAGAAGCTGAATTTCAGAGATATAGATAGAGAAATTCCTCTAAAACACATTACCGAACATTCATGCCATCAACAAAATCCTTGAAAAAATTTGGGCGAACCTTGAACAGTAAAGAAATCAGAAACGCGAATCTTATACCGTAACCAGCTAAACTTTAAGATAAAGAACAGCGCTCTTCAGAATTCTCCGAAATTGCGGACATGTCGATGGGAGCGGCGTCGCCGGTGATCAAAGCCATCGTTCCGGCGGAGGGATGGGTCCAAGGCGGGACGCAGGTCGTCCTCATCGGCGAGAACTTCTTCGACGGGCTGCAAGTGGCGTTTGGGAGCACGACGGTGTGGAGTGATGTAAGTTACAGCCCGAGGCTAAGCTCACTGAAAGCTTGAACATCAGCTTCGTAAGCTTCAAAAGCTATCCTGTTCCAGGCTGTTCAAGTAATAACCGCGACGGCAATACGTGTCACGACTCCGCCAAGGCATAACGCTGGTGTCGTGGATGTCTCCCTACAGTACAAGAGCAAGACGGTATCCCGAGGATCGACCGTCCGGTTTTCATATGTTTGTAAGTTTTGTGGGCTGATCCTGTTTTTGAAAATGGGTAGATTAGCTCTTCAAAAACGCGAGAAAGCCAGCTCATGAACCGACAGCTGGAAGGCTATGAAATTGCGTATGCGTAACTTCAGCTATTTAAAAATCGTTTATGCTCTTACCTAATCGCGGCTTTTCAGCCCTAACCGAGCCATCGATCGACTTTGGCTTCCAACGACTCCAAAAACTACTCCCAAAATATCCTGGAGACCCGGAACGACTACCCAAGGACCTGATCCTCAAGCGAGCAGCCGAATTGGCAGAAGCATTGTATAATAGGTATGGTTTTAACGATCAATGCTTGACGGCAAACGGTCATATCAGTTTTGTTTTGCCTTGAGTAGACGGTGAAAACACGAATTACCAACCTTTTACAGAACCCCAGCCGCTGACCAACTGTACTCTGCCTACGCGACGTTTGACAACGGTAAGAGTGCTTCAAACAATCTAAGGCCAAAAATTTAACTTTAGGTTACGGTGCGGCACCGCACACCTTATCTACCGTATACCCAAACACATACCAGACGACGGTCAGCGCCAGCCCGGCGGCGAATTTTTTGAGCACGCAAACAGGTACGTATGCGTTTTCGGATCTCAAAATTTTTTTATTTAAGGATTGTTTTTGGGATGTTTGCCGTGTTTATATTTTATTTAAAAAGTATGAAGGTTCTTAGTCCCGAAAGTTTTGACCTCTTTATTTTTTAAGCGTAAGGTACGCCGTACACCGTTTCATTAGAAAGTTTGGAAAATCTGACTTTCGAGGACTCAAACATCCAAACCAATTCGCGCCCAAGAGTTTCTGTTTTGTACCCGGCTGCGCGACATAAACCCAAAAACTATCTCTTTCTCGGAAGAATTGGCTAAAAATAACTTCACTTGATTGATGAGATGCCCGTTTTGTCGCGGGTTCCGCATTTTTCTCTTCTTTAAAGGTGCCCCGTCAAAGAGAAATTATTTTTTCGGATGCCAGAGACTACAACTCACAAATTACGGTAGCGCAAATGCGCCAACTTATCGCTGAACTAAGGAACAAGCGTGAAAAAGTCTAAGATACCCACAAATCATGAAATTTAAGGCGGCGAAAATCATTTTAAAAGCATTCGCTAAGCAAAATGCCTACTACATTAATTAATTTTTAGCACATAAAATAAAAAACATGAATTTGCAAAACACCTCAAATTAGCTAAAATGCCATCTTAAAGTATCTCGCGACGATAACTTTTGCAGATCTACTTCCATCAAAGGCCTATCGTAACTCCGGCATTTTTCAGGCTTCACCCCGTTCGGCACCGTAAATCCGTTTGCCGCCTCGCTCCAATCGACGACGCGATTAACATAAAAGTATTAGTTTTGCGTTTCAAATTTTCCAAATAAGTTTTCTTGCATTTATCGTTTTCTTAAGATTTTCCATGTAAATTCTCCGGATTGCTCGACGTCGTGATTCTCCCCTAGCCGTTAGCTCAACGTTAACTTTGTGGCTTGAGATTTTGAATTATTTTTCTATGGTTTTCATGTTACCTACTGTATGTTCCAAGTGCCAAATGTTGTGTGTATCGGGATCTCATACCAGACTCGTATTTTTTTATTTTCCTCGTTTTAAAGGGACCGGGAAGGCTGAATTTTTAGATTTTTGGCTGCCCTCCAACGTCCATTTTGACTTTGACTCCAAAAGACATTTTCAAAAAATCATTGAAAAGCCGAGCCATGGATGTTAGCTTCCTGGTCCCTCATTTCTCCGTGTTTATTCATAACCTATGGTCTCAAAAATGTAGCAATGTTACAGCCGTGCAATAACACTCATGGAAACGTGATTCAACCATTTGTTTTCTTTTTAAATTTATGGTTTTTGTGACTACTGTACTTGGTGACTCGTGCGCAAATAAAAAAAAATTATTCTGGAATGCAAGCAATTACCCATTTAAGTTACACTTGCCGCCGATTTGCAGCCCATCTCGCTTCTCTAATTAAATGTTAAATGTTCGTAATTTCCTAGAAAAACAACATAAAACAGCGACAAAAAGGGAGTGAGAGAGAGAGAGAGAGAGAGAGAGAGAGAGTGAGAGTGAGAGTGAGCGACGCAGAGAAAGCTAAAGAGAGGGAGAAAGTATTTGTGGCTCAAAAAGCAGTATCAAGTCTGTAGTGGACAAAGATCTTTGCTGCTATTGCCAGGGTAACGTGAATTGGGTAACTATTCTGACGCCGCCGAAAAAATCAGTGAGACAGACAGGCAGACAGAACGATTCGGCGACATGATGCGGCGTGTAGAGGGTATTTTCGGAAACGACAGTTTTGGCTGTCACCGAAATAGTGTAGGAGAGGGAAAGGAGGATGAAAGAGAGAGAGAGAGCGAGATATGGAGAGAGCGAGATATGGGGAGAGAGAGAGAGATAGAGAGAGAGCAATAGATAGAACCCAAGACAGAGAAACCTGGATCGAAAAAGATGGAGACGTTCGGGCCAAACCACCAGCGCGCACTTTTCAACGAAATATCGCCGAAAGCCGAGAGAATCCCCGCGCGAGATTGATATCGTAGAGGGGATGGGGAAGAAGACAACGCTGTGGTGGTGGTGGAACTTGACGCAAAAAATGCGTCTGAGCGATGACCTCTCGTCGCTGGTACGGAAAAGCCGACTGATTGATGGGTGGACGGATGGGGAACGGCGCATGAAGCTGATGGTTTTAAAGGGGCTGTGACATTAGGATTGCAAGCTACCAAAAATTGAGGATCTGAAATAATCTGAGAAAATATGGACTGTGACATGAGATGATTCGCTGCTTTCGGCAGTGCGACTGGCAACTTCTAGCGACTTTCAAGGACGGATAAGTGAGGATAACGCGTCGAGCCGCCCGTGCTACGCAACGCACGCGACTACGACGTTCCACGCGCGCTGCTGCAATGCGCAACCCTATTAGCCGCAACACGAGAGGCAAGCAGCCGCGATAGGTTACGCAAGCAGCTGCAACACGCAATGCAATCAGCCGCGACAGGCAACGCACGTAGCTGCGAAACGCAACGAAATGCTTATCCTTACATGGATTCGTAATGGTTTACGATCCATTCGAGTTTGCAAATCGACGCGTTGCGTGTCGCGGGTTCGCTAAAATCCGTAAGCGCCCAAATGGGACGTGCATGAGTCTTTAATAGGGATTACCTAAAACATGATTTTTCCGGTTATTTTTCTCAATTTTGCTAGCAAGCACCATGCCCAAAACCTATTCAAATTTTTTAGCTTCACAACCCCTTCAGCGATCAATATTCGGTTTTGGTAGCATCTGAAAATCTGAGTACCATCAATCACGCTGCCATTTTTCCCACGCTCCAAAAAATTTTTGATACTAACCACCAAATCGCCGGTCACCTGTCGACTTTTTCGATTTCGTTGCAAGGCACATCTCGCGTTTCGGCAACATTTACACGATGGGAAAATCGTCGAAACCTCGGCTCTCGGCCTGCTTTGACCGGAGATATTCCGGGTTCTGCAAAAACGGCTGGTCGCGCGATCCACTACCCGGTGCGATAAATCCGACTCACATCCACTATCCGCGACGAATTTCGTTGACACGACCTGTCCACCACCACTGAAATGGATGGATGGGAATGGGCTTTTGATTTATCGCCCCACCGTAGCTTATCATCCCCCTTCCCCCATCTGTTAAGAAATTATGGCAAAACAAATTTTTTTGCCGCGCAGAGTGGCATGATATCGGTGGTTTTGGGGAAAATATTTTGCATTGGGGACGTTGCAGAAGAAATAGGAAAGATTGTAGTTTTGCAGGCGGCGTTCCAACAAGTTAAAAAATTCTAAGTTTAGGCAGACCGCTTTCCAAAAGTTGGATCTTTTAAACGCAGAGCGAAGTGGCAAATCCATCGGTGCGCTTGCTTTTTCCTCCAGAACGGCCTAAACGCAAGAATTCAAAATAGGTTCAGTACAAAAAGGGCTAAAATGGCCGCATCGAAAAACAACGAAAATATCTGTTTCCGGCGAAATGTGTCGTTTCTAAATAGATTTTAAATCCTTTTAGAATGAAGAAATTTAGATAAGTTCAATGTGGTATTGGTTATTTTCTGATAACTCTTATTTTTGTAGTTATTAGCAGCCAAAAAATTTCAGTTTTAATGGTATGATTGTATTCTTCAATTTATGATCTGGTATTTCCGTATTTCTTATTGTTTGCGCGAAAAACAAGCAGCAAAAACAATGGTTTTTTGTGCGTCACTGTAGCTTTCATTTTATGTTTTGTAATATTTTCAGGATTTATCGGTAGATCCCCTGTTTTCGACGATTTCAGTTATCCCACAAACCTATTGAACCGCAGTCCAAACGGTCTATAAAAATATTTTCCCAGAATATATCCCTAAAATGCCGGTCTGTGATAACCGGAAAATGACGATGACGGTCAGCAAGTGCAAGTTGTGCGCGGTGTGTGGGCTAGCGGGACAGTACATAGGATAGAGACGGAGACTGTACACAACAAAGCGACGCGGAAAATAATAACTACACTCGCTGGGAAAGGCAACGTGATAACATGATCATACAAAACACTAGGGAACAAACTAAATGAAAAGAGCATACGCCGGATCGTATTTTGTGTGTCGTTGTCTATAGGTGCTGGCCGCACGTTTTTCCTAGTCTAATATGACCTCGAAAGGCTGAAAAATGCGATAAAACAGTAAAATTCAATCGGTTTCCAAAAGCTAGGGTCTTACGGTATTTAATAATTGATCGTGGCAAAAATGGAAAATTTGTTCAGAAGAAAAACATCTCAAATGACCAAAAAAACCAAGGGAAAACATGAAAATCTTGTTAGAATTCGGAAAGTTAGGAAATTTTGGTCGTTGAATTTAGGGATGTGGAAATTTTCTACCATTTTGAAAAAGATATTGTATGTATCCGTTTCGATTTGTCTAATTTTCAGCGAGTTGCGTACGAACCCGCAGCAAAAATCCACCGTCCCAATTTGCTCGTTTCGATGGGCGCGACCCGTCGGGTGCCTGTGACGCGCTAACAAACCCAACTGGACTCGTCACGATTTTTATAAAAAACTCGGTTTGACCAACGTTTTTAACCCTATTGAATTCAATTCCAATCGATTTATTTTATTCCTTCCGCTCCATTTTTTTATTCATGATCGATTGGGCGCCTGGCTGGCTGACTCAAAATTGTTTTGTCTCCTTCTTCGAATCATGGATTCTTTCTTTTTCATTCATTCAACTGTCTTCTGAAACCGATCCCGCTTTTCGCCGTCCTGCTTTTTATTTTGCGTCTTTCTAACCATTTTGTAAGTTTTAACTATCCTAGAGTTACAAAGTACCTGCAAATCAGCTAAATTTTTTCAAGGAGAATCGAAGCGTAAAACTGTCGTATAAAATTTTTTGAATAGATTTTTTGGCGGGTTGATGCACAGAAACGGCTAGATTAAAAATTCAAGGGGGTAAAAAGCCAGACTATCTTGCCCCTGGAAAGCCTTTTTTGGAAGTTTTTGCCTTTTTCTGTGGCTACCGTCTATTTTAGGGAAAACGAAATACCATCCCATCACCATAAATAGCATATTACCTAGAACGCTGAAATTATCAAGTTTTGGTCCCTCGACGTGTCCCCCGTCCCCTTCACCGCCGTCCCAACCCGATACTGGCTGGGGGGACGGCGTGGATAGATGTCTATAAAATGCCCTGTTTGGGTGACAATAAATCATTGCCCCCCTCGACCACCCAACACTCGCCAAAATCGTCGCCACGTGAGCCGTTTCGTCGTCATAGCGGGTGCGAGCCAATGGGGAGAGCGAGAGAAATAGAGTGGGAAAGACAGAGACAGGGAGAGAGCGAGAGAGTACGAGAAATAGAGAGAGAGGCGAGGTGGTGATTGTATATCTAATCTCAAGCCATATGATGCTATGCAAATCACGGTGATCATGAGGACGAGAAGAGCTCTGGTCATGAGGTTGATCGGATCTCTTAGTGGGAATTGTAGCGGAATCATAGCTTTCGGCAAGTATCCCAAGCTATGCGCTATCATACGCTCTAATACGTTTCTTGGCGCTACACTACCCTACCGCAACGCGCATGCGTTAAAGAGATGGATGGCATCTGTTGCGAACGACCCCCTCCCCAAGGGGGGGTTCACTACGAGATGTGGCGAACGAAAAACAGGGCGCCACACGTGAGACGCGCACAAATGTTTCTTTTCCGCGCGTAATCGATTGACTTATGCCGCCCCTATCCCTTTAATCTTTGATATGTTGCGAAATGAGTATCGAGACATTGCAGTCTGTTACGCAAAATTTGCTGGCGATACGCTACGGCGTCGTAAAGGTGACATGTCTATCTTTGTTCCATGC